TATAATAACTAAATTATTATTATTTTAATTATTATATATTATAATATAAAGTTTTAAGCCTTTAATGCCTTAATATATTATTATAAGATAAAGTAAAGTTGCTTAATATTTATTAATATTATTAAAATAATATAATAAAATTTAAGAATGCCTTATATTGCTTATAAAATTATATTTTATAAAGGGTTATTCCTATAAGTAATATACCTAAGTACTTTATAATAAAGCTGCATTTTATTAATAAGTATTTAAAGAATATTTATATGGCTTTTATTTAAATTTCTTTATTAAAAAGTAGAAAAAGTTAAAGTATTTTAATTTATAAAATAATTATAATGATTATTATTTATATTAAATTAGTTCTTAAGTTTCTTATATGCTTAAGTAAATAAATTCTCTTAATTAATAATTTAAGTATAATATATTTTTACTAATTCCTTAAGCATATATAAAAAAGCTACCTTAAACTATTAAGATTAAATTTATAAGTTGCTGCAAGCCTTATAAAAAAAATCTTATTATTAAAAATATTATATAATTCTTTAATAAATATTTTATCTTTATAATAATATTTACTTAAGTTAGCTATTATATTTAAATTAAGTAAAAAGTTTTTTATCTTTATTAAAAGTAAAAGGGCATAATAATTATATACTATATAAAAGTTATTAGCTAAAGAAAGGTTGCTGCCTTTTTTTAATAAATTAAGAGGTTTTAAAGGGCTATCATTGCCTTTATTATTATCATTAAATAGGCTAAGTAATTTAAGTAATTTAAGATTAGGAAAATCATTATTATTAAATAATTCCTTAGCTTTTATTAAGGCATAATTAAAGTTAAGAATAATATAAATATTTAAATTATAGTTTTAAATTTAATTAGTTTTAAATATAATATAATATTTTTGCTTTTAATTTATTAGCTATTTAGGATAATTTAATGCTTTAAGGATATATATTAATCCCCTTAAAGTATTCACTCCCTAAGTATAAATGCCCTTAACTTAAAGAGTTTTCTTAATAATACATAGCAAATCTTTATTAACTTATATAAATATTAACTTAATTTAATTATAAAAGTCCTTAATAAATACTTTATATACTTTATTACTTAATATATATGCCATAATTTAAATTTAGCCTTAAATATAAGTATTTAAGTATTATTTATTATTAAGAAATCCTAAGGAATTTATTTATATTAAGGAATTAAGTATCTTAATAATGCTTTTAAATATAAGAATATGATTTATTATAATTAATATTAATAAACTATTTTAGCTAATAATATTACTTATTATATTTACTATATTATTATTATTTCTTATTATTTTAATAAAGTAATAATAAGAGTATATTTAATTTAAAAAAAAGAGTAATAAAAAGGGGAAATAAGTAATATTAAGGGAAAATAAAAAAGTTAAGGGTTACTTTTATAACTTAACTATTAAGAAGCAAATTAATTCCTTTCTTTATATTTATTTATATAATAAGATATAAATAAATATATTATTAATAAAAATAAATATTAATTTAATTTTTTTAATTATAGCTATTAAATTTAAAAATCATTATTAAGGTTATTTAAGGCATGATAAATATGTATATATTAAGGGTAAGGAAGTCCGCTATAATTTCTTACTGTAATAACTACCTCTTTATATATTAAGTATTGTTATCATTATAAACTATGTTATATAAATTCGCAATGTTAATAATATTAATTAATATAATTAAAAGGTTATTTCTTTAAGCCTTGCTAATTTATAATCGCCCTTATAATTACTAATTAATATTAACTAAGTTATATATTGCAATATAACGTTTAGTTAATATAATAATTAATTATTATTAACTATGGAAAGAAGGAAGGCAAAAGGCCTAACTATGCTAGCTATTTTATATATAGCGCTAAGGCTGCTGCCTGCCAGGCATCCTAACGGGTCAAAGCTGCCTAATCCCAAACAGTCCTCCACATAAACAACACCCATTATTCCCACATTAATTAAAAATAAGGAATTAAAAGTAATTAGCATTAATTAATGCTAACTTTTTATTTATTTATTAGCCTTAAGGTAATGCTAGTGTTAGCTAAAGTTAGGTAAAGTTGCGAAAATCTGCCACTTATTAATATCCGCCACTTACTAGTAAACTACATTATTATTATGGGCTAGCCTTGGGTTGTTTGCCATAAGGTATTTAAATAAGGTTTATATTTAAAGTGCAAAGGAAAAGGTTTACTTTTTATTTATATTTACGTTAAAGCTTATTCTTATAAGGCTAAAGCTTATTAATTAATTATAATAAGCAAAGCTTAAACCATAATATATCCTCCTTTTTTAAATCCCTATAATAGGTTTTAAAGGGTAGCTATATAATAAAAAATAAAGAATATTATAATTTAATTATAAATTAAATATTGCTCTTTACCTAGCTATTTAATTATACCTTAATGCCTTTTAACTATATTAAAGGCCTAGCTTATTATTTATAATTAATATATCTTAGCCCTTATAATTTAATATATTAATTAAAGCAAGTTAATAAAAAATAATTATTTAAATATAAGTTAGCGGCTACATTAACGGCATTTTTATAATTCTTTAATGCAAGCCTTTTATATAAGCTCCCTTACTTAAAATCTTAAAATTATGGATTTATTATATAATTTATAATTAATTAATGCTTAATTATAGGCAATTTACTTTATTAATAAGAATTTCTTAAATTTTAAGTATTTCTATAAGGCTAAATTAATTAACATGCAATTAATTTGCTTTAAGTTTAGGCCGGCATTAAGCTAGCATTACTTTTAGGCCCTACTTTATAAAAAAAAATTTTACGCCCCCTTAAATAAACTCCTTTCTTTTATTAACCTTAATTAATAAAAGCTATATCTTTATTCTTTTATAATAATTAAGGTAATTATGCTTATAATAGCTAAGTTAATTATATATAAAATACTTAATTTTACTTATTAAAACTATTATAATATTAATATTTATTACTTTGCTATTTTAAGGTTAAGTATTATTTTTTCCTATTATAGCGTTAAAAACGCCCTTATATTACTATAAAGTAAAGTAAAAAGCCTTAAATATATTTAATTATTCTTTATAATTAAGCTAAGCTTTTATTATAAAGGTTAAGCTATTAATTATTAATAATATTTTGCATTTATTTAGCTAACTTTAAGCCTTTATTATATAAGTTAATTAATTAAATTAAGTAAGAAATTTTGCTATTTCCTCCTTATAATGCTATTATAATGTAATTAAGCTAAGCTTAATATGCCTTTATTTAAAAGGGTCCTTAAATATAAGATAAACCTTCTTTAAGAAGCTTTTTAGCTGCCCCTTAAATATCTTTATAAAATTAATATAAGGTAAAAATTAATTATAAAAAGTTCTTAGCTAATTAAATATATAAAAAAATTAAGCCTTTTTAACGTTAATTGCCTTTTTATTTATTATAAACTTAGCCTTTATTTTTATTAATTAAGTTGCTAAGTATTCTTAAAATAAAAATTCCTTTAAATAAGAAAGGGCTTAATGGGCTGCTATTATTCTTTTTAAATCTTGCTATATTAGGTTTTATATAATTATACTATGGGTTTATAATGCAAGAGGACTTTAAATATATATTATAAGCTAGCCTTAAATTATTTACTATAAGGTATTTAAATAGGGTTTATATTTAAAGTGCAAAGGAAAAGGTTTACTTCTTATTTATATTTACGCTAAAGCCTATTCTTATAGGGCCAAAGCCTACTAACTAATTACAATGGGCAAAGCCCAAACCGTAACAGTTATAAGTATTTTAAATGCTTATTTATATTATAAAAGCTGCTTGTATTATAAAAAGGGGGGGGGGAGTTTAATTAAAGAAAGAAAGGGGAGAAGAAAAGGTAAGTTTAGTTATATTTTACTTTATAAATATATTGCTTAAGCGCTACTTTTGCGCTGCTTACTTATTTTGTATCACTAGTTATTCTGCTTGTATTCCAACACCCTTACATGCACCTATAATACCGTCTGGGACCATTGTCGTCCTAGTTGTTGGTGGCTGTTAGGCTTCTGTGCATCCTGACATCTGATCGAGCTATAGCAAACTAAGCATACAATTTTCACTACTGTTGCAGCCAAAGATATTCGTCAGACCATGGGACGACAATGACTAAGCTCATAGACAGGGCTTGAGAAGGCTTATGAGCTGGACCTCAAGTTGTGGCTAAATATGTTTCTGGTAATAATAATTATAACCAGATGGGCCAGAGCCATAAATTTGAAGTTGCAATCAAATCAGTCCTGGTTTTGCCACCATCAACTCCCACCAGAGACAACAGAAGGACCTTGATTTCTTCTTCAGCACAGTACTCGCTTTGTTAAACCCTAAAAATCGTTGCAACCCAAAATTGGTTTCAACATGTATAGTAGTTCAAGTGGTAGAGACAATGATGAGAAAATCTTTCTATAGAGATCATCCCTGAAATTTGTATCCTAAAGGTCTTCCAACTTGAACTGCATTAAGTGCTGTACATGCAAGCAATTTGGTATGATGAGAAGTGTACATCTTGCTCAGATGATGATCTATACCTAGGCATCAATTGATTTTCAACTGTCTTCCATTTTGTCAACTTGATGCGTCTTGATATTTATTACTACTGAGAGACGTTAGGTAGCACCCTTGTGTGCTTCTCCAAGTCTGCTTTTCTTCTCATGTATTGGTAAACACGACGATCAGGCCAGATAACCTTCAACCACACATTGACCATAAATGGCAGTCCAGACCAAGTCTCCAATATGAAAACCTTGCACAACCTCGCAGCATTGTCGACTGAGATGCGGTTGTTCATTTCCTCCGTTCAGAGCCACAACGAGCTTCCATGCTAGAGGTGTCAGACCTGGTATGTCTTTTCGAGGGCGTTCGGCTCACGCCTCCCGGCGGATCGTAAACGTAACCGATGCTGTTCCAGGACTCGCTGGCCATGCCCTGTTCCATCTATCGGCCGACTGATATGAGTAGTTAGCACTTCTCACACCTTGAATAGAATGATAACGCGCAAAGCCCACATGAGAAATCACTATATAATATATTTTTTGGAACAGCACTTCCGGGTTCCCCTCCAGAGAGCCCGCATGTCCAATGCCTTCAAGAACAAGGGAACAACGAAATATCGAGTATCTTACTGGGGTCCATGTCCTGCGCTATCTTGGTCTCGCCGGTACTACTGGTCGATTTGTGCTGGCCTCCCCATGGTCGGTTGATCTGATTCCAGCTCACTGTGGTGCTGTCAACAGTTGAGGTCTGATGATTCAAGCCAGAGGTGCAAGACATTTGAGCTGAGGTAGCCACCTGGCCCTGTGTGCCGGAATTCGAATCGGTGTCCTTGGCTGGAGGCATGACGGTCATGAATGAACTTCAAAATAGAGGAGGAAGAGCCATGGGACTGAACATCAATGGGGTCTTTGGGCTCGGTCGATTTCGTTATCATGTGTCTAGAACTGCTTCCAGACCTGGGAGGCTTATATAATCGTAAAGCTAGGGCTCACAAAGAATGGCTCTTGACCGATTTGCAACGCCAGAAAAGACGACGCCAGTATAATCTTCTCCAGTAACAGCTTCTGATGCAGTAAGCGCCATTCAGCATCGCCCCGACAAAAATATTGGCCCATGACATTTGATATCATGAGGCTTCTCCGAAAGAGCCAATGCTAGATTGCTCCTTGCACTGATCAATTACGGCTGCCCAGGCGTGCAAGCATTAGATGACAAATGTGGCCCAGTCCAAACACACAGCGCTGCGGAAAACAAATCCAGCCCACTTGCCATCTTTTGCTGACATGGCGATGCCAATGTTCGCCATACAAGATATTACGCCTGTAGTGCAAGTACCTTCCCATGGAGTTGCTTTTGGGGGCGAATTGGCCGAAAAGAAATGGCCATGTTTTGTGGATGAATCCGCAGACAAGAATCTGGATTTGGCCCGGTTTTGTCACACAAGAGAATGAGATGCGAAGAAATTGGCCCACTTGAGAAGGGGCTGAAAAGTGCAGTTTGTGAATGATGTCCGCAACGCGCAGCCAGAAATGGCCCAGAAATGGCGCAGGCAAGCTTCGCCCGTTTCTCATGTATGACAAGTGATGTAACCGCAACATCCAAGTGCATGTATTGGTCAGAGCAAATGGCCCATTCATTCACAGGTCAGCTTATAATCCCCAAGGGCTGGATTGCTTTTCTCTTCCCGTTTTGTCTTCTCTTCACCAGTTGGTGGGGCCTCTGTTCCCCATGCTCTGTTCGGGCGGTCTACCTACACACATGTAGGTAGCTGCCCTCTCATCAATTTTCATGTCTCATATCTGGCTGCATTCACCTTGGTAATGAAGTGGACTGCATTCCTGCTTTATTCGTCTGGGAGTAAGTATGATTTCATTTTCAGAAGGCTCGGTGCCGTCAGTCACCGTAATCTGACTTGATTCCAGGGCAGAGCAAAACCTCATGATTCTGGAACCCTTCGGGGTGACCAAAAGCATCTACCCCATCACTTGTCTAACACACATGCTCTCCTCGCTTACAATTCGTCACACATTTGTCAACATTGTTCCGCTCCTTTTTGGTTCTTTGTGAATCTTGAGCGTCTCATTTATCGTTAGTCTGTTGTTCTTCGGGGACTTCCGAAGTCCCTGCAGATAAAATTCAGGAGCAACATTTTTTCTACACAACCGTGGCTGCGCTTGAATTTAGTATCAATGCTTTTGACGACAACTACATCTGGTGGGACGTACCCAATACTTGGGATAATGTTTTGGAGGACTCTGATTTCGAGAGACTTGATGGAAGGGGGCAAGGTGATTGGGACTGCCTATTTCAAGGTGACCTCTTTTTGAACGGAGACTGTTCTCACCTTTGTCCTTACAGAGGCTCTGCTCACGGAATCGCGCATGTGGTACTTCCTCTGCTAGGTGGAGATGATGAACAGCTAACGGCTCCAACAGAGAACATCTCAAGACGAGTCACCATGAGGGATCATCTCGTGCTCTCATTTCATGCACCAGACAGGGTGAGCCCGGCTGCAAGCAGGTGTTCAACGACGAAAGAAGCCGAGCACGCCACAGGCAGCAATCCTGTAAGGCTCTCTCCCCGCAACTTTTTCAGTGCTGCTGCGACGGAAAAGTCAGGCGTTGGGCAAACTTCGTTAAGGGTCACAGAGCTTGTGTCTCGAGAGCTGGGGGTCTCTACAAATGTAATTGCAAGGAACAGTTTGCGAATTTCAAGGGACTGGAGGAACACTATAATGGGAATCACATGGGCAAGAAAGGTCGAACTCCATCAGATAGCCAGAAACTGGCGAGATGATTGGACAGGCGTCAAGAAAGATCGATGATCGAAAGCAATGTTGCTGGATGTTAAGTAATCGAATGATGATGACTGATAACAATACGTACTCTGGTTCTCGCCCGCGCGCCTCGTGATCCTGGGGTAACTATAGTACCCGAAGGACAACATCAACACACTCAGTAAGAACCCATGTGCGACACTTCTACAGACCAAGTCCTACTAATGCTGTCTCAAGCTCGTGCTGAGCCTCTCGATCGATGGTCTTGATCAGACACTCATGACTCTCACTAACCATGTTCTTCTCCCCAGGTGCTCCCCTAAGTACAGATTCTCTTCCCCATCCCAGACCCCCTCGAGAACATACTCATGACCGAGACAGAGTTGCGACTGCCTCTTTATCAGTCCATACTCATCGCCACAGTCCAGAACAGGGGCGTGTCCGCAGCCAGGACAATAGTCCTCGTGACGCCCTTCGGCGGAGGCGGCGGAGGCAGCATATGCATGGGACGCTGGCGATGCGATTGTCGCATCATACGAGAGCGTCCGGTTCCTGCCGCCCGCCACTTCCTCAGCTTTCCTGATCTAGCAAGCGCGCCGCTCCTCCGTCCGGGGACTCCACAGGTTTGCGAATATGTCTTCGTCAAGAACCTCTAGGCCTTGTGTCTCCCGTGGACCTCCCTGCCTGTGATGAGCTACCGTTCTAGCAGAGTCTAGCAAACGTAAACATGCATGCGAGGGACATTTTATACACACCAAAGCCCACAACCCTGGCTTACTAGGCCGTTCTGACGATAGCTATTAAGGTTCCTGCTGGGCGGGTGTACCCGTGCGACAGGTGTGGCGATCCTGCTGCCAGCGGTGACAGGCCGGGCCCACCTGTCTCCATGTGACAAGGTGGAGGAGGAAGAAGCACTTGCTCCGGAAAGGGAAACATGTGAACAACTCCTAGAAGCTATAGCAAGTGAGTGCCGAAAATACTACCAACCGGTGCGGTGAGAATTGGAACGCATGCTACCTACGTACCCCGGGGTGCTCGCACGCATTAGCCTTGAACCTTAAAGAGCGCAGCATCTGAGGCAACACAAGGTAACTAACTACCTGCATATGCCTGCTTGCTCCTCCATCCGAGACCGCCCGTGGTGCAGCAAGTATCAATACAAAGAATACAAACAACAAAGGAAAAAGGCTTTCACCGATCTGCACGGCATCAGCGCAACAGACCCCGAAAGCCTCGGCGACGACGTTTGGAAACGAGCGGTTCGGCCTGCCCTCGCTTGAATTACCCCTGCCCCTGCCCTACACGGCGAACATGATCGCCCCCAATCGGGGTGTCCACACGGGAGAGATGGGACGAAAGAATCGACCAAATCCCGCCGCGGAGAGAAACCTGCGGTGCCAGGGCCAATGGTTGCCCTTCCACAGTTCCCGCAGGGCACGGCAGATGTTGGCTTCTCCTCAGGACAGCCTGCCCCCTTCGTCGCGGGCTTCCGCGGATTTCGGGACGAAGGCATCTCCGAACGGCGTGTCCGCCCAACAGACAGGCAGGCAGGCAGGCACACAAGCACACAAGCAAGCAAGCAAGCAAGCAAGCAGACAGACAGACGCCTAACGGTTGGTTCGGGAAGAGAACGCTCAGGGAGCCTCGGGGGCCCTGGGGGCCGGAGAGCAGCTGATCCCTCGCCCCTCATGAGGCTGATCATACGTCGAGCCTCGTGTAACTCCGTGATTCCGCCCGGGGTTTCCGAGGCTCAGATTGGACACCATTGCACGCCTGACATACGCTGACATCCCTGGAGAGACGGTGACCCCAGAACTTCACGGTGGCTACTTGTGCCCACGAATTGCTACGAACTCGACTTTTGAGTGGCAAAACGCGTCAAGAACTTCGAGGCCAGTGCCTTATAACATATATAACAACAAGCAGTAGATGATATGTCCGTGTTGAAAGTTAACCCTACAAAGTATATAGTCCGCCGGTATGAGTAAATGCAGAAAAATGGCCTCATGGCCAAACGCTCAAAACTCCAATGCCATGCTCCGATCCGGTGCAACCATTCCCTTCGAAAGTGTTGACCGCGCCACTGATAAAATTCCTATGCATGTTCCCCTTAAAGTGCCATCCCAGTCGTAAGCCTAGTCCCATCCTCCAGAATCGTGGGGTATAATGGTATACAATGGACATAGTCGCCGTTCGGTATCAAATATCGGTATTCCACGTCTCGTTTCGTCGTTGATGAAAACAGCCAGCCGTAATTATCACGCATTTTTCGGTGTCATTCATGTCTCGTCCCATCCAACTCTCGACACAGAAGCAGATCTCGCTAACTCTGGTTCGCAGCCTCAGTGGTCGTCGATGGTGAGCTACCTGTCCGTTCGGAGGATCGCTGCACAGCTCGTTCTGATGCGGAACCTATCCCTGAGTCGGTTGGTAAGTCCGGACCGATCACGACCCTCATCTTCGTTGCTCGCAGATGACCCTGAACGCTGCTCCGTTCGATATCGTCGGAGGACCTCGATGCGTTCCTCGACAGTCGCGTGCCGAAGTCGGTGCAGATCAAACAGCCTAGACCGACGTCGAGAAGGGTTCGAAGACTCTGCGTTGTCGTTGGCATCAGCGCCTAGTGGCGGTGCCTCGCTGTTCTCGTTGCGTTCATCATCACCACCTTCGCCTTGCTCTGGGCGTAGGTCAAGTCGACTATAAGCAACATTGTTAGCATGCATTTACTCCAAGAAGGCAGACAAGCGGCTTACCAGAGTGGGCAGGTGCCTGATACATTCACTAGCCAAGGATCGACACACGGTGGGTGGAATTTGTGGTTGCAGGGAAGCACGCGGACGTCCTCGCCAACAGTGAAATCCTCTGTGCAAATTGAGCAACCCAGGACCTCATCAGCCTGGGTGCCACTGGCTGTATTGTCTGTGCCGTGCTGGGCAACACGGCTGGTCCCTGCGGCATCTGCCTCGCAGTCCGATCCGGGCCCAAGAGCACCCGACGCGGCGGGTGCGACAGGAGAGCCGAGTGGACTCTCTGGAATAGTAGATAGGTGGCGACTAGAGCCATTCTCGGGTGACTGACGGTCCGCGTTGTTGTCACCTGTCTGCTGCGACGCGCCATTCTCGAGCTCGAGATTGGGATCTGGTTTCGGTTGGGAGTCTCCGAACTTGACGATGGGAATGGTTTCGAGCACAGCACGAGCCAGACCCTTCGCACGACTCTGCCTTGGCCTCCCACCGAAGGCATTGCGGGGTCCATATCTCTCGGGATATCTATGCGCTCGTATGGCGCCGGTTGCAATAATGATGAGGAACAGAAGTGTAATGAGGCCGGTGATGCTGTACAGTATGCTCATGGCGACGGCCGAGTTGTTTCCGCCCTGCTGGCCGGCATTGTTGTTGTCAGTTTCGGTGAAGTTACCGGAAATCTGAGCTCGTGCTGTCCCTTCGGACATATTGGCCATGAGTAAGGTCTGAGAAGCGGCCTGCTCGTCCGACATGGTCAAAATGCGGTTGAAATTAAGGTTCTGGCCAGTCAAGCCGCAGCACATTCCCTGTTGGCTGTACAAGAGGATCGCGGCTGGCTGTGGGTCGTTGCTCATGAGGGCGTTCAGAACTGCGCTTGGTTCCAGGAACGACGTGTTTGTCTGGTCACAAGACAAATACGGGATCACATCCGAGCCACTGATACTGGCATAATTGCTCGCATCGGCAGCAACCATGTTGCCCTCGATGTTGACTCGCTAGTGGCATGTTAGTGACATGTTGGGCTTGACGGGGAGTGTGTCGCGGGGTGGTGTCGCTTACCCCTCGAGCAAGCTGCGACTCATTCAGACCAAGATTTGTTGTCAATGGTATGACAGTGTAGGACAGTGGAACCGGGTCTCCCTCCGACGCCGATATCAGCATCTGCATTTCAGACTTCCGCTGCCAGTCGAGCACCTCGTTCATTGTGTACGTCCCCGCCATCTCGGATACGGCGCATCGAACACTGGCAACTGCCAATGACAGCGCAAAGATCCAATGTCGACCCATCCTACCTCGCAGTGAGACCGGCGACGGTTTTCGCGGTCCCAATGAGCGATGTGGTGTTGTGGCGTGCGGCTCTGACGAACGACACACAGCTCAGGGGCCAGCTCGCGCGGCGGGCGCTCTGGTCAAGGCCAGTACTGGACCAATTATTTTGTCTGTCCGCGGGGACGTCGTCACATAGCGGTCTCGTAAACGTTGTGATGGCGTTTCTCTGCAGCGTTGCAGTGGATTCGGCGTGAAAGCAGGGCGAAGGGCGAGATATATCTCACACGGGCGGACTTGACATGAGGTGAGATGAGGGCAGTGAAGAGGACAAGACGGTAGGCAGATCCCAAGGAGAGGAGAGAGCGACTGGGCGGTCTTAGTGCTGGTCGCGCTGGGTCAATGAGAAGCGGCTATTATGGTGCCAAGATGGCTTGGGTTCTGGCTGAGAGCCAAATATCTGGGGACGAGGAGCGGCGTGTCGGTGATGTGGCCTGGGCACACGGCAGACAAGAGAAGCGGGCGGCGGGGATTAGATGCAGGCCGGACTGGCGGGCAGCTTAATGATCTGACTTGAGGCTGTGTGGTCGGTCAATGGTCACGCGAAAGGATCGAAAGGGAAAGCCAAAGCCAGCTTCGGTTCCGGCGGCGACTGCTCTGACTTGGTCCTCTAAGTCTTCGGCTTGCGCGGACGTTGGGTGAGGCGAGCGAGCGAGCGATAGAGTTGTGGATTTGGATGTCGAGGGGTAGTGAGCTGAGCCGATCGAGCCACAGGGCAAGGAAGGTTGAGACAAGACAGTCTATAGGTGATAGGAGAGCTCGGCATCAGGAAGGTGGCTTGGCCTGACCCGACTGACCCGGGTGTCACAACAAGACTATAGTGCAGGCCTCGTTATGGCAGGGTGTTTCCCCCAAAGAAGGGCAGCAATTCGCAGGCGGCACGAGATACAGCAGTTCGTGATTGATGAGCGGTTCCGAGACAGGTGCAGAGGGCGAGGGAAAAGCAGCGGCAGAGGCGGGAGGCAGGACGAAGCGCCGCCACCGCGATTGACTGCTGGCAACAGCTGCCACAACTGCTACCGCTGCATTGAGGCACTGGTTCGTTTGGTGGTTTGTGGCAGGTCTGAGACGCCGTCGACGTTTTAGCGCGGTGGCTTCGTCAAAGCAAGCAGGCACATGCCCTGATCAGTCGAGCCTGCCGCAGCAAGCACCTGGGCAATTAGCACAGTTCCGTGGTCGCAGTTGCAGCTGGCAGTCCCAGCAAAACCGGTAGGTGCTGCACCGTATAAGGCAGGCAGTCAGTCGAGAGCTGGCTAATTTTTCTTTCTTTTCTTGTTCCCAATTGCCAAGGGCCGATGAGGCACGACTGATGACGCCTTGCCCAAAACTGCCAATGACCCTCCAGCCCGCGCGCCTTCCCAGCCTTGGCGCATGCTCCCCAACTCGATGGACAGCTCTTGCCCATTGAGGGACCAAGACGCCAAGAATCCGCCCAGTTGCGCACTCCCTCGAGCGGACTCGAAGGTTGGAGTAATTAGGGTTAGGACAAGCAGTCACCGTCTACTCCTCTTCGTCCGACGTCTGGCCATGCCCAGCTAATGACTGACCTCGGCGCTCTGTTCTGCTGTAACGTGTGTATGTGTCAAGTCTCTTGTTTATTTATCTATTCGAAATCGGACGGAGCGCCTCTGCCCGTCAAACCGGCGGCAGCCCTAGCCCCAGCCCTAGAGGCTCTAACTTTGTTCTCGGGGTCTCCATGCTCTCGGAGTCTCCATGTGGCCCCTGAACGAACCGGCCCCAACCGGCCTCCAAACAGCCTCCAAACCAGTCAGTGCCCTCAGGTCGAGCGCAGCTTTGGGAAGAGATGCACATAGGCCAGTCCGATTTTGATATGTGCAATGCCCGTCTGTCTTGCATGCCGGATACTTCGCATGAACGGAGATGCACCTCAAGGGTCGTCCTGCCGGCTCGGCTAGTGTCGATGAGGCTCAAGATCCCACGGCATTGCACTGCATGGGATCCCCCATGTAGCAGGTTTTGAGCCTCACACGGCATCGGTTTGAGGTTGGAGGGGGGCCCTGCCGGGGCAGACCGCTCCCACGCTGCCCTCCTGACATCTTGCCATTTCTCGGACAAGAACACCGGGTCCCAGCGCCTTGCGTGTAGGAGAATAAGACTGATCAACACCACGCCCAGTTCAGGCTGAAGGCTTCTCCCGCCTCCAAGGGCCAATGAATCGAGGGAGCATCCGGCACATCTCCGCCAAGACGTCTTTCACCCCGTCTCCTCCCAAAAAATGGTCCCTATTCTCCTACGCGATCCGATCATGGCTCAGCCACCTCTGAGAAGGCGCTGTTTCTAGACCATGCGCAAAGGGCTGACTGCATAAGGCAGACCTGGGGAAGATGAATCGTAGCCCAGTGTAGCCCTGCGGCGATCGTCTCGTCGCAACTACAGCGCCTAGGGCTTGCGTGTGGACGTGGGTCAAGACAGGACGTTGAGCGCCATGGCTGCGAATTGATCCGAACGCTGCGCAAGATATTGGAAAGCCCAGGCGTGATGGCCTCTGTGTCATTCGAGAGAAAGATCGGGTGAAACCTCGTCAAAGGCCTTGCGGGCAGGATTCGGACGCCTGGCCGCGCGGAAGGCCACGGGATCCGCGATCCACGAGTCCTGTAGAGGCAACCACGCCGAGGGCAAGCATTTCTCGGCTGGACGAGAAGCCGGGCTATTTATGAGGACTTGGGACGAAGCAGCCACTTCCAGACTCTTCTTGGGATGAGAATCACGAACATCAAGCAAGTCGGCCATGGTTCTGATCCACCGCGTCGCTGTACGTGGATTCGGTCCAACCACTGCATCAAATTTCCTCCATGTCGCCCAGATCGTCCATCGCAGGAAAGTCGCCTATCTCCACCCTCTCCGGTCTGACAAACACACCATGCTTCATGTCCGACGGCTGGCCCCAGTACCTGGCGCCGTTGACACTGCCGTCGTTCTTGCCGACGGGCTCGTCAAGCTGAATGCCGACCCACGCACCTGAACCATTGGGGATCTCCTTCACGTCGCCTGCGTACATGACGGTACCCCTTCGCGTGTCATCGCCTCCGACGCGGCAACGCTTCCCGGCCTCGATGCCGCGACTGCGCACCTCCTGAGCGAAGGCCGCAATCTTGGCTTCCTCTCGGCTGGGGGCGTCGGGGTCGAATCGACCCAGCTTCTCAGCCTTCTTCCAAGCGAGCACCGAGTCGGTCTTCTTGGCGTATTCTTCCTCCGGCATAACGTACTTGTCGACGCCGCTGGCATCTGTGTAGTTCGGCCTGGCCCCGGGAGGCCGTGTGTCAAGAACCTAAGCTGCTGTCAGCGTGGTCTGTTGACGAGCATGAGACTGATTCTCGGAGTTCGCTCGAGGAGACTGATGAGGCTGACAACTGTGTCTTGCAGCGGCGGAACCTGCAGGACTTCGATACAATGCAATTGCCCGTGGTAACAAGACCAATAGCACACAGGCCTTCGAGGCGGCACGAATCATGGACGTTCGGAAACGTGACAAGGCCGAGCGACATGACTTCTGGAGCACCAAGACACTTGTTCGTTGATTTTCCACGTGCAAAGCAAGACGCCCTTCCTCAAGAGCGCTGACACTTGCGATCCATGTCGAGGCTTCTTGTCCATGCTCACCGAAGCAACCAGTAGTGCACAGACAGCGACCGCTCGCGCAGACACAAGGGGAAAACACTCACGTGGAGTTCAGCATACGCAGTCAGGCGGAATGCGGTGAGTTGAGTTGAGTCCTCATCGCCGGCCTCGACGGGTACGTTGCCGTCAGCTGCGGTCTTGAGGAGGATCCTTTGGGCCGAGGGAGGTATTCCCGTGACGGTCTCAAGCTTTGACTTGAGTGTGCTGATTGACCATGATGGGGTAATGCGGCGCTCCGCTGATGAGTTTTCGGAGACGACCAGAAGTGGTACGTCAGCCATTGTGCCTGTACGAGACTGGAGCTTTTAATGTAGTGTATTGTGCCGTGTCTCGTCGACACTCCCAAAAACCACACACAGTCGAGTCAAGACCCAAAGCTCGTAGTCCGTCCGCAAAATGCACCCAGTCTCTCCGCACGCAATCGAATAAAGTGCCGAGACAGTAAGTTCGTAGGTGCCAGGCTCGTTTGGTGTCTGCCGTGCTTCTGGTTGTCAAGTGTGCTGCCCTTGGAAGACGATGAGGGCATCCAAACCCTGTTGAGCCTCAGCCTGTGTAGTCAGTGCCGGGCACAGATAGTTGGACCGTGCACCATGTTATCTTATCAGCGGCTGGCTCCTTCCTCCTCCCGCGGTGTAACTCCGCCATCCCCTTGTCGCCTGCTAACCTGGTTCTCTCTGCCTGTCCGCACGTTGAGTTCTCAAGCTTTGACATTGACTGACAGCCAACTTGATTGACCTGACTTGTCTTGTCTTTTTGCCACGATCTTCGCAGGGTCGCATCCGAACCCTTCCACTCTTATGCATTCCAGCCCCTCTGTCCCTGCTCTCCTCGGCTGCAATTCTTCGAGCTTGAGATTCATTCCGCGGCGCGATACTACCCTAATACGTACAGCATGTCCTACTATGACAGCACACTCCTACTAGGTACGCAGTACCATCTGATCGGCGCGAGACAACGCCCCTCTCCAGCCCTAAAACACGTTTGGACCACATTGCGAGGGCGGTGACACAGGGATCACAGCTCCTCGGAGTGACCGGCGTCCGTGGGGAGCAGGTGACGGCCGCCAGTAAGGTCGGCTGGAGGAGGTCATTTGAAACCAGTCAGGTCGGCCAGCCTGACCTGCTCGCTCGCCACGCTCAACATTCACGCGGATGCTTGGCTGTCTCTGCGCAAGTAGAATCGACCGTCACCGACGATAGTGACCATTCATGTCGAGTAGCTGGTCTCGAAGCCGTTTGCAGGCCCTGGATCTGAGCCCTTCCTGCATCGTGGCGGCACGCCGTTGACGACGCTGCAGCCGGACGCAGAGCCGAACGTCACACCCGAGATTTCGCGTGTTTCTGTCTCTGGCCACCAGAGTATCTCCTCGTCCTAGATCTTGCCCAGGACATCATTGGCTTCCCGCATCCCTGGACAAACAAGTCGAGCTGCTGTCTGGTCTGGCTTGCTGCACCTCACCTCGGCGCCGTTGAGCGGTGCCGCCGAGAAGCAATTCCATGGTGCCACCAGCCGCGGCAGACTGCAGTCTCACATGGGCATGCCCATGCTCGCTGTCGCCTCGATGCCATTGTCAGCCGAAACAAACGGAAACAGAACACACCCACAGAGGGTTGTTGCATGACAGGCCAGGCCGGTTGACATGACTAGTCCGTGTGCAGTAGCAAGCTGCATAGCTACTTGTTGCAGATTCTTCAGCTGGTCATTGGCTGGTTTCGGATGTGCGCCCAGACAGGTTCATCTCGCATCTTCGCATCTGCTCCGGCTCGCAATCAATTTCCGAAACTGTACCGGTTCGTCTGGGTACCACGTCGTCAAGATCTCCGCGATCTAATGAACCTAACGCCTCCTCGTGCCGTCCCATCTCGTCGCCGCGGACCAGTCAAAACGCGTTCGTGGCAATATGGACAAGGTCACGACTTATCTTCCCGGTGTGCGGCATACTGGTCACGTTGGCTCCAGTGACGCAGCCGGCTCACGTAGCTCCAATCCAAGTGCTCTCGGCGCCGCCTGCTGCAAAAAGTAGCCCACCGGTGCCAATTGGCGTCCTCAGGCCATATATTTGCGTCATCCTTGCTACCTTAGAACCCGTCTTGCCTATGCAATACTCACCGCCTGGCTGGATTCTTGCACGAAGCCTGCCAACAAAGCCTTCGATGCGACGTTTCCAGAAGTACGAGGCCGAACTGGGCCGTAACGCGTGATGACGGCGCCTCATCAAGAGGCTGCCCAAAGCCACGGTGGGGGCGTTGGTCTAGCACAGGACCCAATGCAATGGTCGCACTAGCTCAAGGTCTTGCTTGCGTACCATCATCTAGCTTCACAAAGCCACCAGCGCCGCCTGCTCCTGTGTTGAAGGTTTCTGGCTCAGGGCTGGCATTGAGAGCATGGTTTCGCGGCATGTCGGCCTGTTCCTGCTGAGAGATATTCGGGATCGGCTTCGCCTTGATCGCCGGCATCAAGATATGCCCACCAAACGAGCGTCCCGATAGTGGCGAGATGGGCCGATGAAGTATGCCCAGCAGATGCACCTTACGATCCATCAGCGATCCAACGAACCAGCCTAAGCCCTGGCCTCATGCAAGGCCAACAAACCGTTCTGTTGACCTGCATTGCTCTGCTCCGCTCCGGTGCTCCATGGGGCTACATCCTGCCTGACCCCAAGCTACCTTGCCACCCATCCTCACGTCTTGTCCAATCACTTAAGGGAGGCTACTGGCAAAGTCAGGGTTTCTGGGCGCCTATTTGGTGCGGTTGCCTTACATACGGTACCAATTATGCCGGCACCAAATGTTCGCGCACATGAGATTTCCCTCACTTGACTTGCGTGTTTGTCCGGAGAGGATTGACCCTAGCTCCTCCATCTTCGGCGGCAGGCAGACGCATCTAGGTTGTTCGACAGCCGAACTCGTTAATCTCGCAGCCGCAGGAACTTTACTTTCTCCGGCCCGCGTACAGACTGTCAAAATTGTGTTGTGAGTGTCGCGCAACGTCTACAATTCTTTGTGGCACTAGAAGAGACGACCCGAGACACAGACCGCGCTTTGTACTATTGTGGCTCGGGCAGCAACAGCTACGACGGCCTGGGCGCACCCTTGCGCCGCATCCCTGGTCCCTACCATGCATCACGTAGTACGGACTGTCATCTCGCAGATGCGGCATCGTGCGTCCAAGGCTTGATGGCGCCTGGACAGCCCAATCGCCTTTTTGTTTTCTGCTTGGAGCTTCCGTGGTCAGCTTTACTGCCCTGAGGATGTTGCGCAAGACCGCTACGTGTTCAGGGTCAACCCTTGCCCACTGATCCCACACGCAGTGTGGATATACGTGCTGCGGCATATCATAAAACCCAATCTTGCCTACGATAGGTCCGAGAGGGGATCCAGGCGTGGAAATCAAGACTGCCTTACTCGTTGTCAGACAGACAGGGCAAACAATCCGGCAACGCAAGGTCGTAAAATACTCAGTGTGCGGACCGGTGCCCAAATGAGGAGAAGTCAATTCTCGTTAGGTATGCAAAGGACCAGCCCTCTTTACTAATGAATCGTAGTTCGTGCAAGCCATCGGCTACTATCGCGTCAAACGCATCTTGTACCGAATCGTACCGCACGGGGAGAGGGACATCTTAGATGCTGGTGATCACGGCTCATGGACAGGGGCTGTACCGTGACGGAAGTCAATTTACAATGCAGACCACGGTGAAGTGCGGCGGTTTGCGCATGCCAAAGTCGTTGAACGACGGGCCATGCGACTCAATGCTCATTGATCAAAGATCGATGATTTATTCTACATCCGATCCTGATGGGCATCCGAGCGAACTGATTCAGTAAGGAGGGGAATGGATTGGGACGCAGAGCTGACCGCCAGTTCATCACTTCAACGCAGGCGTGAGCTAAGGCTCGGCGTCCCAGGGAATGTCCCAGAGGCAGATATGCAGCCGTTTGGGCGTCGTGCTGACGGCAAGCTGAAGTGTTGGCGCATGCTGCTGCAACCTGCCACCACCAAACAATGCGCTGAGCACAGGAGGATCCTAAAAGCAAAGGTCGCAACGACAATGACCTTGTCGACACCGAGTAGCTTTCTCGGTCCGGACCCCACATCCACTTCCGAGACGTCTAGACAAGCCTCCTCCAGTCCATACAGAGTATAGACCGGCAAATCAACGCACATTCGAAATTGTCGAGCCCGGAGGAACTGGGCCAGGGGCATTTTATTACGCACAGACTTGGGTCTCTGACGTCCCGACTCCAACGGTGACCTTCGGGCCATCCGCCGAAACTGCGACACCATCCAACGGATGCAAAGGTTTCCAGGCCCCACCAACATCCCGCTGGTGTCCGAGCTGGGAGGGGGTGGGGAACAATGGGACGGAACGCGCGCACCCCCAACTCATCCATACTATCTACGTTATTCATCTGTCCATGGTGTGGCTGGACTGGGCTTCAAGCACGCTGTCAGCAGCTCCGACGGTGGCCACCACAGCGAGCGAGACCTTCAAGACATGCAGTCCGTGGCCCAGCGCTCCGGGACCTAGTTGCAGCCCTGGCGTCCATGGGCGCGACCCTTGCTGCTAACCAGGCTGGGCCGTAGTGGCGAAGAGCTTGGTCTGCTGTACACATCAAGAAGCTGTCAAGCGAGATAGACGTGGCGCACGCGAAACTTTAACAGCGTCGGCTTGCTCAGGCTTCTCAAACTTGGACTACAAAGTCGACAGTACACTGACTCTGGCTCCAATGTGTTATCTCGGACACTGACATCGCTGCCGGGGCATACCTACATCAGTACCCTGACTTGACAGTGAAACTGTTTGCAATGCCCGAGAGGCGCCCGGGACTCGTGGAGTCAATGCAGATCCCAAGATGGTCAAGCGCAAGAATCGCGGGTCATGTTCACAAGCCCAAACACAACCGTTGAGCCAGCCAGTTTGATTCAGTCTCTGGACTCTCTGGTAACCGAGCCCCAAGTGCTCCTGAGCCTCATTTTCGCCCTGACATCAACTTCTGGACAGTGACGAAGGCGTGGACGGCCAGCGCCCGTAACGGCTGAAGACGAGGCGTAGGATTTCGCTGGAACTCGCCAACCACCTCGCAGACCTTTGGATGGAATGGTTTCACCGCTCATGCGCCCGCGCTTATGCCACAACCTCGACGAGCAGCCACTCGCATCGCATTCATACTAATTAATCCGTGGCCTTGTCAACCTTATCCGCACAGCCATCAGTCAAAGGATTCCTGCTGCCCCCCCCCTCCCCAACCCACCCGAGTTGACTACGTATACCAGCGTTTCCTGCACACTGACACAATGACCACATTGCCGCAATCCACTGACCTCAGCGGTGCACCTTACTCAGTCCGCGGGCTCCCTGAAGGTCCGATTCAGACCCAAGCTCCAAGTGCTTCCGAGAAAACCATAACCCAGAGCCGCCATCCCGGCAACTGGAACTATAATTGCCGTGTCGGCGAACTGGCCCACAGCCCTCGCTCTCATCTCATCACCTGCCCCGGTTTGCCCGCTACCAGCATCTCACCCACAGCAGGGACCCGTCTGGTCTAGGGCCGGCCCCCGTAAGGCAAAGCCGCGAGCGCTGTCCTTGGGCCCAATGGGCTGGCATGATGCCGGACCTTGGTCGCGATTAGGCCATGGCAAGCAGTGGGCATCGAGGCGATGGACCGAAGGGGAGCACCCATCAGGTCGCAACCAGGGGTGTAAATGGAATAGCCGACTGCCCAGCGAGCTCATGCATGAATTCGTGGCCATGTCAGCAGCCCCTAGTCGTAGCTCACACACCAACAAACCCCTTCTTGGGTCTGCATTCGAGAAGTCTTCCCAGGGTGTCCCTCGTGGTGGCCCACAGCTCGGTGGAGGGTAAGCGCACGTCCGGGGGGCGCCCCTACAGACCTCGACCTAGTTACGCATTCCTTTCTGACGATTTTGCTTTTTCTGACTTTGTTTCGAGTAATGTGCAGCAGCCACCTGCCCACTCCTGGCCCCTATGGTTCATCCAGCTAAAGACGGCGCCGCAACCCTGTGGTGATCATCACACTTCTTACTGCCGACTTTGACACTGCAACCTTCGGCGGGTCGTGACCTTTCCCAGATCAACCCTATATCTGAAAAATGTTCGCCCTGATATAGGCGCCGGGCATGCTAGAACCCAGCCCTGGTCTCCCAAACCCGTCACAAGTCACTCATACCCGACATGATATCAGCAACCCACTTGGGCTGCCTTGTCCCTCGACTTTTGATTCTGGACACACCCCTCCGCTCTGGCTACCCCCTCCCCGGCCTCTGCCTCGCCTTGTGTGCTTGGCCTAGCTAGTGTTCTTTTCTCATCCTCTGCGTCGTCTACCTACCTGACTGTACTTCTCGTTGGCCCTCGACTGAGGCATCTCGCCTCATAGCACTCTCAGAATCAGACTTCTACCTTCTGTATCCCGGTGATGCCCCCACAGGCGACTCCACATCCTAGATCACTTGCTTTCCCTTGAACCTTCTTATTTCCTTGCTCTCCTTCTTCCTATCATTTGCTTGCAGGCGCATCTTCCCGCAGCTAGCCCAGCTCCAACCCTGTCGAGCCCGCCTCCATCCCACACTCCATGCCCTTGGGAGGACAACGACCACACTGGCGGCTTGCTCTCCTGCGGTGAAAGGAAAACTTTGACAAACTGGGTTGACTGACGTATTCGCCCGCTTCTGGGGCTGCCATCTTGCGCTACTTGCTGGGGACTCTCTGGACGGGACTCGTGGGAGTGGGATCTTGTCCCCTTCTTCTGCCTCGTCAGGAGCTGCCGTAGCGCCAATCATGTTCATGTCTTTTACTTCCCGAGACGCGACCCACGCCTTATTATAACTCTAAAGAGCTCGTCTGAGCCACCTGGAAAGCCACCTCGACTTTCCGTGTCAAGCTTGTCTTGTCCAGATTTGTCCACTCCGCACCCTTTACGCCTTCAGCCTCCCTCGCGTGGCGTTCAAGGTTTGGGTCCATCATTTTGCTTTTCTATTACAACATATCCCTCCAGTCACCCACCCAATAAGCACCAAAGACCCTTTGGTCGAAGCATTGGCTTCTTTCTCCAAGGCGGCACGAGAAGGAAACGAAGTGTGGGCAGCCCTGAGCTGGACAGCCACACGTAGCGAAGAAGCCCGTGACGGAGCCGACGGAGGAGCTATCAGGCCTTGAATCGCAAACGGCCAGGTATCACCGAGGAGGCTCATACGTCACCCCCCGAGCGGTGGTTCGACTGAGTCTCCACTTCTGATCGCAAGGAGGCAGGGGGTGAGCCAGACTGCCAGAGAAAGAGAAGGAAGCGCAAAGTCAACCGCACAAAACTATCTCGACGGCCTCTTAGCCCATGACACCTGCCATTCATTGGCAACATCAGGGCTAAGACACCATCACCGTGGATATCAGGTCTCTCCTCAAGGTCCCTCCCGACTCAAATGAGTCCTCCGACTCGCCTCCCAAGCAGCCCCCCCAAGAACGATCTTCGTCCGTCCCTGCGCCTCCCCCTTCAGCGGCAGCACAAGCAGCCGCTGATCCCTCAAGGCCAGCAACCACGGCAACCTTGGCACCCGCTGCGGCCATCTTCGGTGGTCCGCATTCAGTCGCCAGCGTGGCTCCTTCAGTCGGAACTCTGTACGCCGCGCCGCCGCCGGCGTACCCTCCGCCAGGCGCATACCCTTTCCTCGGAGGAGGAGGATATGCACCAGCAGGGGCTGTCCCGGGAGGGGGGGGAGGGCAAAGGCCTGGTTCGGCAGCATCAGGAGGCCTTGGGTCAATAGGTCCTGGCCCGGGGCCGGGGCCGGCCCCGTCGCCAGCGAGCAAGCGCAGCATGCCACCGCACACAACCGAGAGCCCCGCCAAGAAACAGAGCAAATGGTCCCCGGAGGAGGACGCGCTGATTATCGAACTACGCGGCAGTGGTATGAAGTGGGAGGACATCTCGAAGCGGCTCCCCGGGCGCAGTGCGATTAGTTGTCGCCTGCACTACCAGAACTACCTCGAGAGACGGAGTGAGTGGGACGAGGAGCGCAAGAACAAGCTTGCGCGCTTGTACGAGAGGTGAGTGGTCGCCACACCATGCATTCGTTTCCCCATTTGCGCAGTCCATGGCCGCCTTCGTGTCCGTCTTTTCTGCTTGCAGGTCCAGCCCCCAAAAGGACAGCAACTGGGCTGGACCGCCCGGGTGAGGCCCCAACCACCGCTCCGATCTGTGGGCAGTGGGCACAGGAATGCCAGCAGGAAGATCCACACCCCCATCAAGATGCTCGATTCAAGATTCTCGATCTCGTGAAAAAGCCAGTGCCGGAGATTTACTGACTCGTGCGGCCTTGCATAATTGCAGGTTCAAGCCGGAAATGTGGGCCAAAGTGGCAGAGGAGATGCAAGTCCCATGGCGAGCCGCCGAAGCGATGCACTGGCAGCTGGGCGAGGCCGACATGGCGCGGCGGGCGGGCGTCGTGCCCTTCTCGCTTACGTCGGTCAACATGCAGCAGGACAACACCCGGCAGTCACCAACCAGGGGCCACATGCACTCCCACTCGCAGGGAAGCATGCCGAGGAGCGACCCGCACCTGCTGAGCCGATACGCGCATCGCGGAGGCACGCCTCACCTTGCTCAGCCGCCGCCGCCGCCGCAGCAGCAGCAGCAGCAACTGCCACCGCAGCACCATCACCAACACCCTCCACCGCCACACACGCTGACGATCCCCCCGCCCGTACCGACGATACCGCCGCCGGGGTCTGCTGGACGTGGTCCACTGCCGCCGAGAAGGGAGAGTCTGCCGCCCCGACAACCCCCCGGCGACCTGTACGACCACGTCCTTCCCGCTCCGGGGCCGGGACTGGCGCCCATTCAGACGCCCGGCGGCAGGGAGCGGGGCGGGACAGGGGCAATGCACCTGCCAAGCGTGGCCGAGCTGACGACAGGCGTCAGCCCATACTCGACCCCTGCCTACTCGCTGAGCCGTGCCAGCGCGAGCCCAAGCGCGACGGCCAGCCCGAGACAGACTGCGTTGCAGGCCTCGCCTCTGGGCTATGGGGAGTCCAGCAGCATCGGAGGAGGCGGGCCGGCCACTCCAGGGTCTGGCAAGAGGGGGCGGTCAAGTCCGGACGCCGGGAGGGAGGCGATCAGGAGGCGGCACTAAGCGAGATGGGGAGACACACAGACAGAGAGGGTAATCCCGGGGTGTGCATGAAATTGGGACGAGGATGAAAGTTACGAAGACTACGATGATTTTTCTTGGGGGGCCTAGAGATATTCCTACACATACACAGCGTCATAAAACGAGATGGGACGGCCGGCGGGGCCCAACGGATGGACGGACGGGGGTTGGGAACGGACATGGCCGGGGCAGGACAGGACGATGGATGGCTGGTTCAACGTTTTTCCACACTCAACACAACACACACACAATGGCGCGAGGATCACACGGGAATTGTTTGCGTCGTCAAGTGGGACGGACCTTGACGGGGGGAAGGGGAGACGAGCCGAGTCCACGACGATGCGATGCGATGCCAATGAGACATGCTGGGGCAACACGGTACTTTGCATTTTACGGTGTGCATTCTGGAATCGGAACAGGTTATCCACATTCTGGTTTTTTGTTTTTCTGGTCGGTTTTTCCTTTTCCTGTCTTGAACTGTCCTTTTGTCCCGATTTTTGGGCAAATCAAAAAAGAGCGAGAACAAGCATCACACGCATTTTATCATCATCATCATCGTCATCATCATCATCATACCGGAAAGGGGGCGGGGCGGGAGAAGGCCGGAGCAACCTGTGCTTATTTTTGGACAACCTGGGAAACATCGGGGAATTTTTCCCCTTCTCTTGCGAGCCGGTTTCCTTTATTCCCAACCTTGTTGTTGTGTTTTTACACCTACGATACCAAAACCCCCTGTTCTTTTCCTCGCCAGCGGACCCCCACCCACGCGCTCACGAGGCCCCGGGTTCCCTTTCCACCACCCCTTCATCCGTCCTTGTCAAACACGCAGCCGGACACGCCGGGACGAAAGGGAGATGGAAAGCGTGGTATTTTCATCCGAGTGGTTCGGGAGGGACGGGGGAGGGGGGAGGGGTGTGAGTATGAGAGGGAGGTTGCTGTTGGAAAAGGAAAAACCCCTTCCTCTTGGACAAAACCTTCTGCAGAAATTTTTAACGTTGGCATGGGGGCGCGGCGGCACGGCGGCGGCGACTACTGGCATGGACAGGCAGGAGGGGGCTACTTGCATGGATTCGGAGTCAAGGGGAGAAGTTCGCGATGCTTACTTGCGACGAACAAGAAGTATCAGCCCAACTGGGTTGTCTCTCTCTCTCTCTCTCTACGTATCTTCGACGAGGGTGGGGGACGGGACAACCCAGGCCAGGATCAAGCAAGGGAAAAAGAAACGGAGGGAAGGCAACGCCCAACATCATCACTCCCACAGAGAGAGAGAGAGACTTAGACCTCCCTCTTTCGAACGCCTTGAGACGCGGCGGCTTCTTGTACAGTCACTACTTTTTATTTCACAGCGGCATAATCATACAGATATTTTGTTTAATTTTCCCCTTCCCCATGATCACACGTGTCGTCCTCTCCCCCCTCCCACCCCCGGCGGCCGCCTCGCGTGGTATGGTTCTCAGCCGCTGGGGCGCCCAGGGACGAGGTGGGTAAGGGCGGGGGGCTATTAGACTGGGAAGCGCTGGCATAACATACATCACACTGACACGCTCGGGTTTTGAATATTGCTCGGGGTCGTGGGTGACTCGGGTGCCATTCGTGGGAAAGATGGGATCACGGGATGGTGGGGAATGGGCGCGCAAGGACAGGCCAGGCATCTCTTTGTTGTTCTTTTTTTGTCCTTGGTGTTAATCTCGTTGCATACCGGCTGTTCCCATTTTTTCGGCGTCATTTTTTCCTTTTCTACACTGCTTCTATTTTTGTTTTGTTTTTATTTTTTATTCTTCTTCGCTTTCCACCCCTTGCGCGATCCCCGGGCATAGCGATGGATGGGATGGAAATGGAATGAAACGACGGGAAAAGATGAGACCTGATACCAGCACGGCACCTGAAATGGGTGAGAGGAAAAAGTGTGGAGACCCCTTTTCTCGGTGTCTATTCCTGGGTTTGCATGGGGAGGGCGTCACCACCACTGGGCCACACCACCACATCATCTGCCGAGTGTCTGAACTGCCGGCTTCAGTCCGAATCGCGTGTGTCCGACCTTTGGTTCAGGCCTGGCCCCACGAGGTTAGATCTGGCACGTGCGTGTATGTGTGTGCGTGAAGTGTGTGCTCTTCGGGCAATAGTTGGGAACAAAAACGGGTTCGATAGAGTTTTGGCCTGACAGCATAGTCGCGGCGTATCTAACTATCAAACACCTCCCGCGCGCCGATCAGAAAGAAGCAAGCGATGAGATGGATCATCGATGGAGCCCTAGATCGTTTTCTGTCAACCGTTTCGATCCCGTCATGTCCGTTGTCCGCCAGGGGAGTCCCATCCTCCTCCTCTTCTTTTCCTTTTGGTCTTGTTGCCCCTTTTGGTCAAAGAGTCTGGTTGGGTCACCCTGCAATGACCCACCAATTGTCTCGCTCGTAGCCGCTGTTCAGGACCGACCCCCCTGCGGCGGCGACTTCTTCCTCCAGCTCGCCCTTTCTGTAGAGGTGGTAGTACCGGTGGAAGGTCTTGTCGGTGTGGGCTGTCTGCTGCGAGTTCCCGTCGGCCACGTCGTTTTCGGCTGTGCCCGGATCTGCAGTAGCGTCGGCTGCAACGGCTTCGTCTTCTGCATGCTGTCGCTGCTGTCGTTGTTGGCAATGCTGCTGCTGCTGCTGCTGCCCGCCGTCCGACGTGCGGTCGCCTCCTTCACCGCCGCTTGCCCCGCGATGTTCATCTGTTGACCTGTCCACATGCTGTGTCTTTGCTTCTTCTGCCGCGGCGCCGCCCTCGGATTGCTTCTGCCGCTGTCCCTGCTTCTTCTGGCCCTTCACCCTGGCCTTCTTCTGCTGGGGTGCCTTCATTACCCAGGGAACCAGCAGGTCCTGCTCCCCACCTTCAGCCCATCCCCTCCTGCTGCCGCTCTGCTCCAGCGCCCAGACGTACACAAGTACTTGGCCTGAGCCTGAGCTCGAGCCCTGCGCATCTGCAGCGCCTGTAGCGGCGCCTGCAGCATCATGCACATCATGCGCCTGGGGCGTCACCCCTGCTGGCGTGCCGCGGCGCTCTCCCCGCCTCACGCACCGCAGGAGCTGCCTGATGGCGTCAACCCGCCTCTCCCTCGTGGACAGGTGGTGGATCACGGCGATGCAGATGACAAAGTCGGCGCTAGCCTCCCTGAAGGGCAGTACGAGACTGTCGGCCGTTACGGCGTCCGCGCCTGCTATGGTCTCCCCTGGGGGAGCTGGGCCTGCTTCGGCATCTGCCAGCTTGCCGTCACCCTGCTGCTGCTGCTGCTGCTGCTGTTGTTTCCGATAGCGTGTGGTGCACATCGAGTCCCTGGCGAGAGCCACCAGCGCAGCACTCCTGTCGCAGCCCAGCATGGCGACATCCCGGTTGACGCCCATGTTCTTGCCATTTCCGCAGCCAATGTCCAGGCCCACGGAGCCCGGTGGCCGCGAGGCCAGAAAAGACGACACAAAGGGCCACGGCTTGTGTCGCGTCGCGCTGAAATGAGAGGCGATGGCCTCGTATACGCCGTGGACATGGGTCCTCGTAGGCATCTGCTGGCCCATCGCCGTCGCCTGGGTGCGATGGCTTCGCCGCGGGAGGTGACGCCAGCACCATGGCCGTGCTCTCGACTGCAGTACGGACTCCAATTTCCGCCCCGGACGAATGCAGGGGCGCTGGTTGGTGGGGCGGGGAGCTGCCTCAGGCTGAGGACAGTTCAAGCAGGCCACTTCTTGGCTCCCAGCGGACACCAGACGGCCAGCTCAATGTCGGTGCCGTCTGGGTTCGTCGAGAAAAAAAAAAGGGGGGGGGCCTCGCCGTGCGTTGGCCAACTCGTGTGTGCGTGTGCGTATGTGTGTGTGTGCGTGTGTGGTAGGTGCAGGCAGGAATGCTGGACGTGGTCCGATTTGCAAGCAGGACCGTTGCAGGCGATGTGATCCCGGATCTAAAGCTTCGGATTGGGCAAGTTCCAGCGGACAGGTCCAGATAAGGTTCAGCACGGTCCGACCCCAGATCACACTCTAGTGTGGGTGTCGTTTCTCTAGACCGTCAGACCGTTGGGCCGGAACCGGGTAGGGCAAACTGGGTCAGGACAGGACAGGATACAACGGAACGGAACAGAACAGATCGCCCGCGGAACAGAGCACAGCAGCAGGTAGTGCCGAAGGTGGAACACAGGCCTGGCGCCCGTTGTGCGTCTGTGTGTCTTGGTTGTGCGCTGTGCGCCTGTCTCGCCTTGTCACTCGCTGGTACTGTACTGCGGTCGAGTCGAGTCGGGTCGAGTCGAGTCTCGTGGTCCCCTGCCGCTCGCACCTCGTCCCCCGTACCTTGTCTGCTCAACGTCTGCGGTCACAGTGCGCTTTTTTTTGAGACCTGTCACAGCAACGGTAACAGTGACAGTGACAGTCCAATACCAGGGATGTACCTGCGACCCAGCAACAGGCGAGGGAGGTGGTCAGCTAGCGGCCCCCAACTGTGGTGTTACCCGACCGAACCAGTGGCTGCGCAGCTCTCGGAGTTTTATTATTGAATACCACTCCGTCGATGTTCGCTGGCCAGTCCCCTTGGCCCGAACGCTTGTGAGATGATCTCGTAATCGAGACTGGGGGGAGCCTGCGTGCGGGTGTGGGTGCCGGTGTGGGTGAAGCAGTCAGGCGGCTGCATAAGGGTGAGTAAGATGCAGGCGGAACGGTACCATCGCGCGCCTCTAGCAGCGGCTGTGAGGTCGCTCTGCCTGCCCGCGGGAATACACTAAGGGGGAGGTGGAACAGAGGACTTGGCTGTGTGGTACGTGTGCGGTACACTACAGACGCAGACAAGACAGACCGACTGCCAGACCGACAGATTAATAACTGGCAGACACGTTGTCTGACAGACAGACAGCGGCAGAAGCAGCATCAGAAGCAGCGGCAGAAGCAGCAGGCCGTGTGTCGTCAGATTGAGGCTCAACGGTCTGCGAGGGCGAGCCCTGTGCAGGTGCAGGCGCCCGAGACAAAAATTCTCGGCACGACCCACTGTCGTTTGTTGACGTGGATCTTGCAGCGACAACCGATCGAGCAACAAAGAAGGGCCTTGTGTGTCGTTGTACTGGGCCTGTACGTTGGTTGCACGTTGGTTGCACCCCGGCAGCATGTGAGATTGTGTGCGTCTATGCGCTTGTGCGGGCGCCTGTGGCCTCTGTGTGTGTCGTTGCACCTTGTACTCGGTACTCCAGAAGGGGGGGGGGGCGTCCCTATTCGCGCCCTCGGCCCGGCGTGGATATAGTGAGCGAACCAGGATTCGGGCTGCGGAGCTTTTTTTTTTTTTTCATTCGGGGGCCGTTTGTTGAGCCCTGTGTTCCCTTCCATCCATCCATCGATCTGCTCGCTTCTGGTGTTTGGTTTAATCTCCGACGTCCTTGTACTGCAGGCCAGGCCATGTGCATCATCATAATGCCTCCCACCCTTGTCCATATCCCAGCCCTCTCGGCCTCATCAGTCGAAACTTGTCTCGAGAGGCTCCTTTCTTCCTCCGGATTCAGACACGACATGCCTCTTGCTGCGGCTGATTGGTCCAATCGGCTGCATTACAAATTGCACATGTCTGGTTCACGAGTTCCCTCACCGATGGACCGACAGCCCGCCAGCCCGCCAGGCCAACCGCCATATCGGACGCCCGTCTCGAACCGTTCGTCGTCGTTATTATTGTGTCTTATGGGCGTGGATGTCTCCTCTTGATTCAGGCTCGGTCATGCGGCCTGAGCCTAACGGCAGGGCTGAAACACGGACAAGCTGACCTGCTTGATGGCAAAGGGGAAACCGACGCGTCGTGCACGTGTATGTTCGCGGTCTATTCATTCTATATCGAGCCCCCTCCCCGGTCTCCGCTGCCATCGCTCTCCAACTGGGAGTCCCCCGGTGCGCGAGCCAGGCGGCAGCACACCATTCCATGTACACTGCCCCAGCTGTTTGTCGACACGACGAACCTCTAGTATTGGAGGGTCCACCCTACTGGTTGCCAGTGTTCAGGGGGCTCTTTGCGTCGAATACGTCCGACGTGATGAGCGCCGGGTACTCGATGCCCCCTTGCTTCAGGGCCTCCTCCATGACTTCCATGATGACAATGGACTCCTGCCAGGGCAACGTAACGCTCTCGAGCTTGCCATCTCGGAGACACCGGGCGCATTCGTCGGCCTCCCAGAACATGCCATGTCCCCAGTTCCTCGCCTTGTCCTGGGGAATTGGGCAGTCGACAGCCTCGACCTTGCCCGGCTGGGCCTTCCGGATAACCTTGTACTGCAGCGGGCGGTAGGCCGGTGCCGCGACCTGGATCTCGCCCTCGGATCCCTGGATCCTCATGGCCGGCCCCGCCGTGCCCAGCCCATCAATGTCGGACGCCGCCCTCAGCCCGGTGGTCGCGATGCCCATCTGCTTGTGCTGCGGGAAAGCCAGGACGAGGGTCGTATTGTCGTCGGCGCCGGTTCGGTACTTGTTCATGCTGGCCACCACCTTGGGGACTTCCTTGTCCTCTTGCAGGTGGTACAGGGTCTGGAACAACCAGGTCAGCGAGTAGATGCCCAGGTCGAGTAAGGCGCCGCCGGCCAGGTTCGTATTGACCATGCGATGGGAGTCGTCGAATTCCAGCGAGCCGTCTGGCTTGTTATTGTTGAAAGAGTTGTCGGCTGTCGCAAGATAACCACATCGCATAAGCTGTCAGCCCGCACGTTCAGACGGTTCGCAAGGGGCTGCCACAACGGCCATGCAGACCGCATGACAGGTGCCCAGTAGTCGAAACCATGTAATCACTTCAAAACTCACCAGTGACCCGGTAGACGGTCCCAATCTCCCCGGACGTGATCAACTCCCGGATCTTGATACTCAGGGGAAAGTATCGCGTCCACACGGCCTCCATGAAGAAGAGGTTCTTCTCCCTGGCCTTGGCCACCAGCTTCTTGGCCTGCGAGGCGTTCACGGTCAGCGCCTTCTCGCAGAGCACGTTCTTGCCGGCCTCGAGAGCCAGCATGGCGTTCTGGAAGTGGTGGCTGTGGGGCGTGGCCACGTAGATAATCTGCACGTCCGGGTCGGCGACCAGCTCGGCGTATGACCCGTACGCCTTGGGGGATCCTGGCACGCCGCAGTCCTTGAAGAAGGTTTCGGCTCGCGACTTGGACGAGGACGAGGCTGCAGCGACAACCTCATGGGTGACGTCGTGCACGTCACGGGTCTTGGGGTCGTTGAGCAGGTCCTTGACGAAGGCTAGTGAGCGCGTGTGTAACATGTCAGCCGGCGACTCTTGTCTTGCTCATCCTGTCTGCCCACGCCTGCACTTGCACGCATGTACTCAGTAGTAGTAGGATTTGGTGAGCTTAACTGGTTGCTATGCCACCCGTGGCCATGATGCCCCATTTCAGCGTGTAAGCAGCCATCTTGGATAGTGTTGTATCGCGGTTCGAGTCGAGACAGGAGGTAGCAGTTCCTCAGGTGAAGTCACCACAAGATTCTGTTGAGCGTCCGGAGCGGCTGGCTTGGCTCAATGGCTGTTTTGGTCAACGGCTTCAACGAAGAATTAGTCTAGTGAAGATCTACGTGGGGGAAGTCGCGAAAGAGATACCGATTCCGATAACACGCGGACACAGACGGACAGCGTGGGGCTACCCCGCGCTTTCTGGCAGCAGCACCAGGTTGATGATGATGTCTTCTCCGCACCATGCCCCTCCCACTGCGGAGCTCGCCCCTCCACCCTGACGGTCCGCCTTGCCGCGCTATGGCACCCCACATGAATCAGAGACGTCGACATCGGCCTCATGGATCATGGTCTAATTTGACAAGAGGCACCCAGAAGCGACAACATCCCGATGCCAATCGGGAGTGCCAAGGTTGCCGAATGCCGCTTTAACCTCCGAACATGCTGCGGAAAGGAGGAAAAGCCCCGGGGGTTAGGTGGGCAGGAGCAGTTCTCGGCGAGCCGCTCCAACTTCTAGCTCACACTTAGACAACCACATCACCATGCCCCTGACGGCAGGGAATCAAGACCCTAGAGGCCTCGTGTGTGCAAGCGCACCTTTCAATTCCTTCTGTTCCCCGAGCACGAGTGATATCAGAAGGAGTACTGGCCATCTTGGTCTTCTGGCACACTGAAGAGCATCCCAGAGAAGTTCGAGGCCCAATCTGTGGGCGAGTGTCCTTTAGCAGACTGCTTCTCCGGACACACAAGGCTGTGGAAGGCTGTCCCACGGTTTAGCCGAAGTTGCTGTGCCTTTTTCTCTCCCTACCTATCTGACTCTTCCTCGCCAGTCAGCCTCCAGGGCTGAAAGGGCCAGCTGAAGACCGTGTCGCAAACAGACCGCCTCTCCCTTGGTGCTTTTTTCCGATTCTTTCCGCGCGGAATACATGGGCGACGCTTACCTTGCATCTGTGGTTTTGCTTTTGGTGTTTGTTGAAGAAAGGGATGCGCTGAAGTCTGCTCACGTGCTCGCAGTTTCCGCGGAGTTTGGCGTGTCTGACCAGAAAAAGAAAGAAAGAAAAGAAGATCTACATTCCTGAAGACATGGCATGCATGCGGTCTCGAAGTTCGAGAACAGCCCAAGTCATTGACAACCAACCGTGTTCGTCAGAGTCACAGGCCCGGAGGAGAGCGGAAAGATGGCCTCTCAGAACGAACCGGGGGAGGTCACTCCGACGGACTCTTCACATCTGTGACAAGAGTATCTCTTCCTGTCACTTGAGTTTTTGGACTGACCAGACATGAAAAAAAAAATCGTGGATGTTGTCGTTTTGTTATCGCTGACTGTGGCTTTCTGTGAGTAAACCGCTCGGAGACAATCATCACCGACTAAGCTGATATTTATATTTCCAAAGGGTTATCAGACCTGACCTGCTGTTATTAGACAGCAGAAAGCTAGGATTTCTACCTTACTGTTTGCGAGTATCATGGGCAGACTCATCTACGGCACAGCCTGGAAGAAGGAAGAGACCGACAAGTTGGTCTATTGCGCGCTGGAAGAGGGCTTCAGAGCAATTTCCACCGCAGCCCAGCCAAGTAACTACGAGGAAGCACTGGTCGCTCTGGGAGTTCGACGGGCCATCGACGCAGACGTGGTGTCGCGCCGAGATGTCTCTGTAAGGTCTCCCCTGTCCTGCGTATCCTTGCGTCTTCCCTTTACGTGGAGCTTCTCACAGCACTTCTTACTCGGGCCGTCTCTGACAACTCATCACAGATCCAGACTACGTTCACCCCTGCCCACGACCAGGCCATCAAGAGGGTAGCGAAGGCCAACAGGACAGGCGCTCACCACCAAGGATGGCCTTGCACGCCGAGGGCCAGCACCCCCAGTGACTGCCCCTACGACCCCGCCACCTCCCTGGCCGAGCAGGTCCGCAGCTCGCTGGCCTCATCCTTGAAGCACTTCACCTTCACGCCCAGCAGTCCCGAGGATGTCTACCTCGACGCCGTCATCCTGCACACCCCCTATCCCGACCGCAAACACACCGAGGAGGTCTGGACCGCCCTCTCCGCCTACGTGCCCCACCGCGTCCGCCGCCTGGGCATCAGCAACGTGACCGACGAGGAGCTCCAGCACCTCCTCGACTTCTGCCGCGCCAAACCGGCGGCCGCCGCGAGGCCCACAATCGTGCAGAATCGGTTCCGTGACAGCGACAAGGACGCCTTCGACTCCACCGTCCGCCAGATGTGCAGGGAGAACGGCATCGAGTACCAGGCCTTTGGCGTCCTGAGGACCAAGGCCTTGCTCCAGGACCAGCAGAGCGTCGGTGCCGTTGTCGGCCTGGCAAACGCGAGCCGCGAGGCAGCCCTGTACGCGCTCGTCATGGCCCTGCAGGATGACATGGCCGTCTTGGATGGCACCTCGGACCCGCGGACGATGGTGGCTGACATCGAGGACTTGCGGACGATCAGTGGATACGCTGAGAGCCCGGAGTGGAAGAGGGCCTTGGATAGTTTCAACGGCGGGGTTCATTAGCTGATGACTGTTGAGCGGATTCTTGATTATTGGGGCTCACTAACCAGCCTCGTTTGATTATGACTTTTCCCTCTCTCTCAACTCGCCAATTCCTTCGTCTTGACACCGGCCAGGTGATCTCTGCCGTATCTGAAATGTCCCTTCTACATTACACAATATCTAAACATTGTCATCACCATTAGATCCACTCCCTGCAGTGTAGAGCTGTCCAGGTGATGAGTACAACCTCTACTCCGAACAAACGTGAAGAGGTGTCCTGCTGATTACTCTGGCCTGCAGTCCCACAATTGTGTTACTTGCGCCTGGAACCCCAACCTTGACCTCCTGATCGTCCGACCTGCTGCGAACACACCATATTGTATTGTGCTGTCGGTTCTGTGACGACAGACTGGGAGGATGGTTGTAGAGCTCGCACAAGGGGGACCATGGACCAGAATTGAATTCGAGGATCATCCCGTCAGCCAATTCGGGCAAGATGTTGAGCTGATGTCTGGGAATCTCCCGTCAGCCACGTGTTCCTGTCACGTATCATTGGCAGTGTGATCTCCATGTCACCTCGGAACAATTGGATGACCTCTGCATGGGGGAAGCTCGCTGGCAAGGCTTGAGTTGAGAGCTTTTTTCTAATCCAAGTCCTAAATCGGCCTTGGAGGTCTGGTTGAATCATCCCTGGGCATTGTGTAAAAACAGGCTGCCGAGTGTGGCAAGGGCCTGCTGAAGGGCAAGCAAATACTTGCCAGATAGATTCAATATACCTCGCGATCAGTAGGTTGGGGGGGGGGTGGGGGGGGGGGTTCTGGTCTTCAGAGTTACCCAGAAGGGACAGTTGATCTGCCGCATTCAGCCTTTACTCAGGGGCCTAGGGTACGAGGAAAGAGAGTCACCAACAAAGTCCTGTCTATGGGTTTGAAAATGCACGATGCTAATTCATAGCGACTGCCTGCTTCCTGCCAATCAACCGTGGAGCAGGAGTTCAGATCATGCCCTCGATGATGGTCTAAGCTAAAATACACACTTTTGAATGTGCCCACAGCTGTGGAAATTTCTGCATGCTCGAGGACCCCTTCCTTCCTGTGATGCATCCGCTCCGCATGAAGCTCCACAGGAGCTGCATACTTCTCCTTGGAGATCGCGCTGTTCTTGGGGATGTTCATTGACCCCGCCAATGTATTTCAGGCGATGCCCTTCATTAGCCAATGCAGCTAGGAAGTAATCACCAGTATGGCCAGGTAAACTTTGTTTTGTACCGGCATGACAGCCTGTGAGATATCTCACCAGTCATGGACAGCCGTCACATGGACAGCCGTCAAATTCTAGGTCAGAGGCTAGAGGGCCTTTCACCACAGTCCGGTACGTCCCAATTGCCTCTAATGCTGCCTTCTATTTAGGAGGATCATGCATCCATCTTGAGGCGACCTGCCCTAAGATTGCCCATCTCACCCTATTTGAGAGTTAGCACGAAGTTACTTTGAGCGCCTCCCGTCCAGCAAGGGACTCACCTCAGCCTTCCTCTTCCCCAAGACGGGGTCAGGTGTCGACGTGGCACCACCGCCCCCATCCTTGGTCACCTCGGCGTAGCAGCTCGCATGGTATGCCCGGCCGCCCACCCTCGTGGCGTCCGTCCACACCCACTCCTGTGCCTCGTCGAGCCACTTGGTGACAAACTTCTCCTGGCAGATTGGGCAGACGGTGTTGGTGTTGTCTCCGTCCTCGGGGACGGGTATGTACTGGATCTTCGGGCCAGATGACTTGGCAGCTGAGGAGGCGGCCGCATTGTTGGCTGCGTCGGCGTCCGCGTCGGCTTGGTTGTCGTCGACTGTCTCACGGGATTTTATCCAGTCCTGGGAGTGACATGTCAGTCACGTCAGACGTTCTTCCAAAGGGCAGGGTGGGACATTCTCAAGTACTTACCGCCTGGTCAACGTACCAACTACGATGCTGGCCTCTCTTCTCTGCTTCGACGATCCTTTGATGAACCCGGAAGTGCCAGTCCATGTGAGCCGTCTTCTTTCTCCTCCCCTCCTCATCTGTCTTGAAGCGTCTCCCACACTGTGTGCACGGGGGGCCTAGTGCCTCGTATATGGTGGGGATAAGATGTGGTCGGAACCTAGTAGGCTGTCAGAAAACACTGGTCGTCATATTTCATCACATAGCTTCAAAAGAAAACCCAAGAACTAGTGGGAGGGCAAGTACGTACTGTTCCAGTGAAGATGTCGTCAAACTGATGTCGCCGCTCGTGATGATGACCGGCGGTGGCATTGACGATGCCGCCAGACTGCGGGCTGACGCGAGGATGCTGGCAAGGTTTGGCGGCAACGAGATCCCCCCAGCCGCAGGATTAGGTGTCGAAACAGGAGCCGTGCCTGCTGCAGCTGCGGCTTGGGGTGGAGGTCCAGGTGGGTTGCTCGCTGGCGTTCCACCAGGCTGCGGTGTGGGTGGTAGGAGACCAACACCACGCAACGCACCCAATAATGCCATCGGATCAGGAGTGGCGGGTTTCTGCGGTTCGGCTCTCTGAGGAGTAGGAGACCGCAGAGCAGCAACAGCCGCCGGCTGTGGTAGCGGTTGCGGTTGAGGTGTTGGGGCCTGAGGCGTGGCAGACCGCCGGCTCAGCAGCGCAGCCAGAGCACCCTTACCGAGCAGCGCGTCAAGAGACACAGAACCCGGTGGAGCCGAAGCAGGCGGCGCAGGGGCTACTGGTGCTATTTGTTGAGGCGGGTGCTGTATAGGGGCATGGAAAGGGGTTCCGTGGATGGGGGGTGTAGGAGTGACAGTCTGGTGGGCATTTGAGGCCCGGTATTTTACGGCAAGATTAGCTACTTGAGTCTTCACAGGCACCAACTGCTCTTGCGACAGCATTGCCCCGCGAGTCTTCAGAACCGTCTGCAGATCCAACAGCGCCTTCAGCTCCGTTTGTATACTAGTATCATACGGCGACCTCCCAAGTTCAGCTCTGGCGGCAACGACGAGTTGCTCGATTTCATTAATCAAGGAATCTATGCTTATTCCAGGTTGAGCAGCAGGGGCACCGTAGGAACCAAAGGATGGTGGTTGGAAAGGTGCCGCGGCCGGGGTCGACATGAGCGGCTGCGGTGTTGGCCCAGGGTAATGAGCAGGCTGGAAGAACGGTCAGTCAAGGTACGCGAGCAGGCGGGTCGGGACATTCTTACTGGTTGCTGGGGGTATGCTGGCTGGCCGAGAGCTGATTCTGGTCGATGGCCATTGACCCCGGCATGAGGTGGTTGTGGCTGATTAAACTGCTGGCGCGCATTAGGAGGAGTCGGCGTGTTGCGATGGGGCGCAACCTGTCGTCCCCCTCTGCCGAAAAGCTGATGTTGGGTCCGCATTTGCTCCTGGTGAGCATGGAGGGCCGAGGTCCTGGCTTTGATCAAGGCATTTTCGATCGGGCGAACCACATCGGGTGGAAAGACGGGGTTCTTGTCAATGGACCCAGGGACGGGCTCCTTCCAGGTCTTCAACATCTCCTCCATTTTCCTGCGGGTGCTGTCGTTGACCGAGGCATACGAGTCCATGAATGTCGAGTACAGATTCTTGCCAAAGAATAAAGTGTAAGGGGTGCCAATGTTCTTGACGATCGAGTCCAAGACGTACATGGCTGGGAGCTTCCTCTGCGGGGGCACCTGTCACAGCGTCAGCAACTGTTGCATGGAAAGGTCGGGATGCAGGCCGTCGAGTCCTGAGAAGGGGAGGCTGGCTTCTCGGGACAAACAGGAGCGATGAAGCTATCGGGACGGGGGCCACCTACTTTCTTAATGTGCTGCTCCAGGGTCTCTGCGATTGGGAAGGCATAGTTGGTCAAATCTCTTGCAATCTGGGTCAGGTTCGTGATCTCGAACCGAGAGTTCATAGTCAAGCCATCCAGGGCGCTCTGGTAGTCCTCGATCACCTCGGCCGTCTGGTCCTGCTCGTCGTATGACATGGTGGGCCTGTCTGGGAACTGAGCGACGAGGGTGGTTTGCGGGTTGCAAGAGTTCAAGGGCACGCTCGACAAGAGGGGGGGAAGGCCAGGAAGGCGAGGTTCATAAACAGGTGACAGGGCCCAGCGTTTGCAAATGTGGCATTCAGAAATGGCCCGGCACTCCAACGTCACGGCCAAATGGACACCGAACAGTGAATCTGAATAAGCGCAGAACCTATTGCTCCCTAGAGACTGGCGCTCCGGAGGATGACGCTCTTTCCAGCACGGCCACCTCCAGCCCAGCCAAGAAAGGATGTGACACGCAAGATTCAATCTCGATCGCCTCAACTGTTCATCATCTTCCTCCCCAAACGCGCAAAACGGTGAGTATTCACTTCCAACAACTGTAATATGCACTTCGGGGAGCTTTCGTGGGCTTCGCTTGCAGTCAACAGTGGTCGAGGATGGACTGCGATCTCGATGGGCGATCGGCGGCGCGGCACGGCTTGAAGCCCAGCGAGAAGTCGTACGATGGTAGGCACTGGACAAATCTTTAATTGGCAGTCGGCCACGTTCCAAACTTTGAATAGATGTGGGAAGGTTATTTGTGGTCAGGCAGTGAAGCCTGTTGCAGTAAGTAGCAGATGTTGTGAAGTTGAAGGAACGGCGAGCAAACGGACGTCGAGGGCGTGGAGCCGGACTAGCTGGACAGCGTCGTTTACGTAAGCCGAGCTACCCATGCTGCCATGCAGAAGCCCGCACGGACTCCTTCTGATCTTGAACTCTGTTGTTGTCATCGCATCAAAAGGCAGCACATTTCGATCACACAGGTTTGTTTTTCGTTGTTCAAAGTGAGAAGAGACATGAGAAATCACCTTTTCTCCCTTGTCTGTAGCTTGTTACCTCAGACACAGCGTATCTCGGATCCCTTCGTCAGCCCATGTAAGCATGGATAGAATCAGCTCTTGATTATGTTGCTGTCTTGCTTCCACCCTCATCCCATCCCAGCAAAGTTTCAGGTTTGACATTTCCATTGCCAGTGTCATTGCTCGCCTGTCGAAGAGTCCATGAGATAAGAGCTTTCGGTGACCCCTTTGAAGTGCAATTCATCTCTCCGTGGGTAGTCTCTAGCTGATCCCCACCTCCCGTCTTTGCAAGTTCAACAGACTGGTTGATGATGCTGTGAATGTCAAACTTGCCAATCCTGTTTATATATCGATAACGGTCAGCAAACTGGGTGTCCCTCAAAACTCTACAAGGTGATAGTGGTTGAATGTAACTTACCAGGTAGTGCTCTTGCCGCCATCAATCCGCTTCACTGCCAGCTCACAGCTGCCAACGGTGAAGAGCTTGTAGTATTCGTCGGACAGGTCGGTCGAGTCCCTCCAGTCCGACATCTCCACGCTGAAGTTGGCGGTGCCCGAGCTGTCCATGATGTCAAAACAGTCAGTCACCTGGACCTGGCCACCACGGATGACGCCAACAGTGGTCGTGTCGCATTGATCATTGCTGGTGTTGAGGGTGTTGTTCTTGACAAGGCCGGGCGTTTGAGACTGAGGATCCTTGGCAAGGCTGACCGCAGCAAACATACCACAAAGGAGAAGGATGGTAGGAAGCATCTTGTCAAGTATTGGAGGTGTTTGCAGGTCGAAATGTGTTGCTTCTGGTGGGCTTGCCAATGGTATCGACGCTGTTTGAGAATCCTTTCGAGATCTGTGGCAGGTGGCAAAAGAGGCGGGAGTAAGTGATTTGATGATCAGTTGGACTTTCGGCTGGCATTGTGTTCAGCAAGCTATGACTCTGAGCTACGTGTGATTCTTTAGCCTGTTGGTCTAGACGTTTCTTAAACTGCAGATCACATTGGTTCATTGGCTTGTCTAGCTGCCACAGACCATATGCCCCCATCTGGTTAAATAGCTCCCCAAAGAAGGATTATAAAGCTGATTGGTGATCAAAACTTGGGGTGACTTATCAAATGGGTTACACTTTTGAAGGCATGTTGACCTTGTATGACATGCCGGAGTTTGTTGACGAATTGTACGGTATCAACGTCACCATGCCTTTTTCATAACGGCAAAAACATTGTCACGAACACGTTGAAGCTCAGCTGAGGAATCTATGACACTTTTCTGATGGAGGCACAGGTATGCTCAGGCAAAATTGTGCTGGGATCAAAACGATTTGCGTCAGTGATTGTTCCGACGAGGGGATTCCTGAGAGTCTGCCAAGTGATCCATTCCCCAAGGCACAAAAGACCTACCCTAGTTGGTACTACCAGGAGTCCGCAGGGTCCACTCAAAGTTGACCTCTCCACCGTTGCCAGCATCCGAGTCGCAATTCATCTGTCCCTCGACCGTCTCGAAGGTGACGCCATCGTGCGAGCTGGAAATAGCACTGTGGACCAAGTCCTTCATGTCCTGGTCTCCAAGCCTATGTCGAGGTTTTGAAAAGTCAGTAAACCATCCTACTAGCTAGCTTTCCTTTCCTCTGGCTTGTCGTCAGGGGAAACTCACAGGATTGTGTTGTCAAGGCCGTCGAGTCTCTTCAGCGCGAACTGGCAGCTGCCGTTGGTCCCCAGGATGAAGAAGTGGTCCGCGAGCGCCGTCGAGTTCTCCCACCGAGACAGCTCGTAAGTGAAGTGGCCGTAGTCCCATTGGGCTAGGAGGTTGTTGCAATCTGCGATGGGGACCGTCTTGTCCTTGGCGCCAAAGTCTGCCTCGTGTTAGCAGCCACCTTACACCGGCGCCTAGGGTGGTGGTCTTGGCGAGGTGCTCCAGGGTGTGTGTGAAGTTTGGAGGTAGTGCCCAAGGGTGAAGTTCAATACGTACAGGTGAAGGAGCTGCTGCCGCAGTGGTTGCTGGCGGGCGTCTCCCAGACGGGGTAGGCAACGCGCGGCTTCTGGTACTGGGGGTCGGCGCCGAGGCAGACCATCGCCAGGAGGGCAAGGCTGGCGAGAATGATCTTGAATGACATGTTGGGACGTTTTCGAGGCGGAGTTGTTTTCAGTAGAGATTTGGTCCCAGGAGCAAGCTTCTGGAATGATAGATCTCATGGTGGGCAGGAAGAAGCTGGTAGATTTGAGCAGGCACCTGCTCGGGCTTTTATGTCCTTAGCCCACGTTGAACGTCCATCTCGTTTTCATCCCTTCGTTGGCTTAGTGAATCACTCGTGTGCCACTGTCTTCAACTATGCCTACGTGTTTGTACAAACCTAGCGATCCTTCGTCTCCCGGGAAGCTAACGCAGGAGGCCATTGTACAGTCATCAGAGACATTTAAACCGACTTATTGGGATTTGTGCCGCACTGACCCGCTACAGACTCTACGAAAGCCTGATAAGTATGGGCCATGTCTGAGCAGGCCACGTAACATGATCACGGTCTGCTGCTAGCCCTCCGAGACAAGATGGTGTCTCAATGGTTAAGTGTACTTCCACCGGCAAGGCAAGCCACAAAGGTCACAGAGGGACCGATCTACAATTTGGATGTGACAAAAGGATTTGGCCTGACATTTCGCGAGTGATGGTCACAGAATAAACTCGCGGTGGTACTACAGTGAATATTCCTTATTAGAGCTAAGGATTACCTGCTTCGCGATGCTCGGCTGCGCCGTCGCACCGAAGCCACTAAGGCGAGTCAGCCTCCACTTTCCTACCTTCTCTCCTCCGAAATTATTGGGTATCTGGTTTGGATCTCTCATCAACGCCGGTAAACTGAAAATGAACGCCTGGATATGCTTTTCGTTCTCTCGTGATCGTTTTCGTTCTTCAACCTGTTCTCCGCCCTATCGGACGGAGTCCCTAGGAACCACTCGGCACCGTCCGCAGTCGACAGCTTGTTTTCCTAGAACCTGTTTAGGTGTGAGGCTGTGGAGTAGATACTCGAGCGGAACGTGCGCGCCTTTCCGGTGTAGGCGGGATGCAGAGCGGTTGGTGGGCGCTGCAAAAAAGGGAAATGTCAGCGCGGGCTAGTTCTTCCCTCTTTAGATCCAGTTGCCCGCGGGCCTCTCACATACCTGGACGTTGGGCGCGATGGGGCTCGCCCGGTCGCTCCCCTCCCACGACTCCCTAGCGGTAGCGGGGCTCACGGGGCTCACGGGGCGGATCACCACGTTCTCCTGCGGGTGGTGTTCGGGGTACTGGGCCTCGACGTCCCGCTCATGCATGACGGGGGCGCCGATGGGCCCGCTGATCTGGGGCCGCTTGTCCTTGCCGAACATGCGCGTGATGCGGTTGTTCGCGAAACCCTGCGTGAAGTTCTGCGTGAAGCGGTTGCCGGCGTTGGCGTTATGCTTTTCCTTGCGGATCGAGTTGGAGTGGCTGCTGCTGTTAAGGGTCGAGGCGTCGAGGTCGTAGTCGGGGGGCAGTGTCCTGGTGCGGGCGTTGTAGACGTTGGCGCCGTGCTCGCGGATCATGCGGGCGGTGATACCGTGGGATCCATTGCGGAATAGCACGGAAACGAGGAAGTTGAAGAAACCGAAGACGAGGGCGAGGATTCCAGCGGCCAGGGTCAGTCGCCAGAGCGGCAGGGACAGCTTCTCGACCAGGTTGTCGCCGTTCAGGGAGCCGAGAACCCAGGCGCCCATGGACACCATCCACACACCCAGCCAGGCCAGTGAGTGACCCCTGTTGCAAGCGTCGACAGTAGAGAAGGTGGGCCAGTTGTTGCGGAAGAAGTCCCTGACGAACCGCGGCTGGGGGAGCTCAGAGACGATGAGGACGAGCGCAATAACGGCAGTGACTAGGTGAGAGAAGGCCTGGAAGAAGAAGAAGCTGTTCTTGACGTCGGTCTTGATGACCATGACAATGCTTGCGGCGGAGACGCTGAGCAGGGCGATGATGTTGCAGGCGCGGAGGACCTGGAGTATCCACCACGCAGAGCCCAAGAAGCGGCCACTGTCAGTCATGTTGATCATCTTGTTCGCCTTGATAGTAAGAGCTGTCTGAATAAAAGCTGGAAAAATGTTAGCAGGGACGGGATGGAGAAGGGTCTGGGACCGATGTTGCGTACAGAATGTATGAGTTTTACTGCCGGCAGTAGTGAGTACGTGGGTATGTGAGTGAGTGAGTGAGTGACGATGGTGCTGGTAGTGGTGTTTCCGGATTCTGTCTCGCAGATTCGAGGAGTTAAGAAGAGAGTGGTTGGTATCAGGGTCGAGTCCTTTGAGTGTCGAGGCTGAGGATGTCGGCGCCAGGTGGATGAGTTTTATGATCGAGCCTGCGTCGAGCAGTACTATTGTAATGGAACAATGTAGCGACAGTATGAATGGATATCAAGCATTGTCCACGGCAGGTAAGCCGATCTACGGTTGGGTGGGTGTGGGCAACAAGACAATAGTAGAGATGAATGGAAAAGCGGGCGTGCCGTCTTTAATAGAGACTAAGGAGCGCGTCCTATTGTGGTCTGCGAAGAATGTGCCCCCGCAGCATCTGATAGAAGACAAAAGGCAGGATTCACGCGGAAAGCAGGAAGGAGGAGGCGGCACGAGCAGTCATAGTCATAGTTGTCCTGCCGGTCCTGCAAGTGCAAGGGTGGCCCGAAGCTCCTTTCATTGAAACAAACGCGGTGCTGTCCAATGGATTGGTCTTGAAGCATTGTTCTAGCTGCGGGAAGAACGGGTGTTCTGGAGCGATCCCAGGCGCCAGGGTGAAGTCGGTTTCATGCAAACAGCGAACATGCATCTTGGCTCTGGCAAATCCTCTCATGCCCATCAAGGGCCCATGTCACGTAGCGGCAGAGCGGTAGTACGTACCAGCACACCCGGAAGCAACGTCGGTTGATGAGGATGGGTCCAATCTGGACCGTCAGTCACCTTGGCGCGCTCCCGCTTCCGCGGTTGCGCGTTGTTTACGGGATGTGTGCGAGTGCCATGTGGATGCAGGAGGGGGGTCGAGTTCTGGGCCGCGTCGACTCATCGATGAGGCAGCGTGGTACAGACAGGGAGCAGCGATACCCAACCGCTTCGCGTCTGTCTGGCAGTTCCCACATCGAGGAGGCCACCTGCGCATGCAGGAGGGAGGGTGCAATGTCTTCTGTCGTGTCCGTGTCTGGCTTGGCGGCTGAGGCAAACCAGGCAACGCCAGGGGCGAACTCCAGAGCAAGCGCATGATTGCCGTCGAGAGGAGGCGCCTGGATAGGCTCACGAACCCCCGTCGTCCCTGCTAACCCTGCCTAGGGCACGGCGAATACGGGGGCCCCAAAAGTTTGTCGACGCTGGCAGGGTCCCAATGAACTGGAAGGCCTGAATGTTCGGTGGGGAAGCTTGAAGATCGCGAAGCAGGGAGCAGAGCGCGTCCTCAGACAGGCTCGCGATGCGGCGTCGATTGGATGGCAGAGCCTCCCGAGTGTTTCAAGTGGATCTAGCGCCCGGCGTCAAGGTGGACATGCCCGCCATGCACTTGCCACTAACTGCCAACCGCGAAGCCCGAGCCTGACTTTACATTGATAAGAACGTGGCACGACAATCGTCCGAAAAGTCGTTGACTGTGTGTCTAAGTGTGCCTTGCGATGCGTCTTGCGTGACATTGCATCGTAGTTGTCATTGCCGTTGCTTTTTGCAGGCCGGATCCGTCTTCAGTCGCAGCGCGAAAGCACGGATGCAAGCCGGCCATGGACAACCTCAGACGGAGCTTCGACTCGAGACGACACGCCTGACATGCATGTCGAGAAGTTACCGTTTCAATCAACGTGTCAATAGTCGTGTAACTCAATGCCCCCGCCAGGCTTATAAAGAAAGAAGCCTTGAGCACATCACAGGCACAGTTTCAACATTTCCTGTTTCCCGTCCAATATTTCCTGCTGCAACCCAACCGCACTCCCTTAATTCACAGCCACGGTCGCTCGAGCAGCGGTCTTGGGCCTGTGCGACCGGCGCAACCGATCTTGACAGCCAGATCGAAAATGATCGAAATGGAATCCTGCTCTGGGCCTGGTCTGAGACAATCTCCGGGGCCAGGAACTCGCCCAACCCGGGCGCTTGTATGACTTGCCGCGCAGGCCCTTGCTCGACGTTGCTTCTTGACCTCGAACAGGCTCCTCGGCGCTTGCGCTTCGGTGCAGACGCATACACGCGGGCACAGCTTACTTACTATCCGGTTACACCCAGTTCCCTATTCCAAACAAGCAGAATTCCTCGAGTGCACTGGTCCCATGACCCGTCGCAATATCGGGAACGGGCAGACCATGTGATATGTGTGCATTGAGCCATGTATGGAGAGCCTTCATATTGACTGCATACGTTACCGCAATGCTCAATCTCACCAGGACCTTTGACAAGTGGCCTGTACTGTTGGCGAGACGAGATATTGACTACATCACCTGTGCTATAGGGCAACGTGGTTGAGTCCTGGTGGTTGATTGCTTGCAGTGAAGATCATGCTGGTTTCGGTTCGCACCAGTTCCATATTTACCCCAGACGGCAGAGACCAGTTAGACCAGTTGACAGTGTACCCACAGCCACCCCCAGATAGACTGCCATTCTTCTTGCTGTGCTCTCAGTCAACCTAGGACCAAATTGATAACATGTGAAGGATGCCTGTGCCGCTGCACTCGAGTGGATCACTGACTGGAATGCACACAGCGCTCATGGACCCGTGGGTGCAGTGACACACAGGTCGAAAACAGAAAGCGGCCGCCCACAAGCTGTTCCAATGCGGCCTAGCGCGGGCGTCCAAGCGGTGGGGACACAGCCTCGCCATCCGTTTTGTTCTAGGCCTCCTCCCGACGGCTGACCCGGGGTGCCCGTTGTAAGAACTGACGAGGAGCCCTTTTTTCTCCCGTGCCCAACGACTCCGTATCCACGACCACACGCCTCTTCCGCCCAACACCATACATCACACATACACGGCATCCTCGAGATCGAAAGACATCTCCTCCTCCTCACCAAGCACCAGCCATGGCCCGTGGAAACCAGCGCGACAAGGCCCGCGAGGCCAACCAGAAGAAGATGGCCGCCCAAGTAAGCCCACACCGCGTCCCGTAACCCCAGCCCAACCTACCCAGTGCTTTTGCGGCCTCGCTTCCCTGGGCCGGCCCCCAAACTCTTAACCGCCCAGCGGGCCGGTCTTTAAAGGGGCCCAGCTCTGCCCTCCCGGGCGGCTGCCACCGCCTTTGCCGCCGGGGAGAAAAGAAGACAGCCCCCTTTGCAGCCTTGCTGACGTCGTACCCTCGTTGTCCCGCCACGCAGAAGACCAAGAACACCAAGACCGGCAGCGAGATGCAGCGCGACAAGGAGCAAGTCGCCGCCATGATGCGCGAGAAGCAGAAAGCTGGTAAGGCCCCCCTCCCCCCGCCGGGCCTGTCCCAAGGAACGACAGTCGGTTGTGGTGGTGTGGTATCATATACGATCTAACAATCATGGGTTTCACCTCGTACAGCCGACGAGCGCAGGGCCGCCGAAGCAGCAGCCGGCAAGAAATAGACAAACTCTCGATATCTCGACAAAACATCATTACCCCCCTTCTCCCCCGAGGCGGGAGATAGTGACGACGACTTTGACAGAGGGAGGAAAGGCGAGGGGAACCCCTCAGGGGGTCGGATTCTGCTTTTCAGCATGGAGCAACGGAAATGGAATTGGGAAGGACTTCAATCAACACTGGTGACGCCGACACCCCCTTCGCCCACGGGCGCAGAGGTGGTTGTTGGCTGGGCTCGACCTGAGGGCAGCGGCGAAGAAGGAAGAGACGGCTGTTGTAGCGTTTTTAGTCAGTCCTCTTTTGGCAATACACTTGCGTGCCCCCCAGAACCACCCGTGGCCCTTCTTCGGCGGCGGGTCGGCCAGGATGCCAAAACGAAGCTTGGGTTTTGGCGGGCCAACGTTCCTCCAGGGCACGTCTACCACAGTCGAATCTAGCAGTGCCGGCCTGGAATTGATCGCCGACTTCAGGAATATCTCCAGGGCGCCTATGTCGTTTGCCAAAGGCCCAGCAGAGGGGAGAATAGTCTGCAGGCCCGGGCTGGCGATCGGAGCTTGTTTCCCAAACGGCGTTCTGCATGTGGTCCGGCTGGTCTACGATCTGTGCAAGCGTGCGAGCATTTGCGAGCACATCACGAGAGGAGGGCAAGCGAAGAAGCGTGAGCGGGGGAACTCCCTTCCGCTGGGGCCTTACCGCTGCTGGAAAGGACGTCACGATCCTTCAGATGCTCCAGGTCAGTCAAAGGACACTCTGACGCCCTGCTATCGTGGTGGACAGAGCGAGCCGAGTGGTAGACACCCCGCAGGGCGAAGGAGACGGTTCGAGCGCACGGCGTTGCACAGAGCCGCCTGAAGTGTCAACGACCATCTCAACCCATCGCCATTCAGAGAGAGAGAGAGAGACAGAGAGAGCCGACACCGGTACGACACATGGTCGCTCGCCCCGACGTGTTACGATGGACGGCGATGCTGAGAATCATCAGAACTTTTCTACTACGATGCCATTTAGGCACCGGATGTCTCCAAGCGCATCCGCCCCGCACGCGCATATGCAACATCTCGCATACAGACCTTATTTTAAGGAGCCCTACGGGCACGGAAGCGGGATCTCTCTGTTCTTTTCTCCCTTTTCTGTGTGTGAATGTCTCGGCATTGGGCGTGCCCGGGAGTATCCAAAGTGGGAATCCCCCCGTTTCAAAATGTTTCTGGCCGGATGGGCACACTCCCGTTCCCGCAGGTGGGCTTGGCGGTCACCACGGATGAATCACGGGACGAAGGGGTGAAGGACAGATAATCCGGAAGAGCACACTGGAAGGAAACTGGCCATTACAGCAAGGTTCGTATCGAGTGCTAGGTCCAGATTCGTCCAAGATCTTCAAGGCTGACTGATGCTGGGAACCTGGCGCCTTGTGGATAGAATGACGCATGCTTTGTGATGGTGTTCATGTGCCTGCAGGTTAGACAGGGACTTTCGACTTTTCTTTCGAAGAAGCCACATGAGAAGTCAAAATACCACGCGAGAATAAAAGTGAAAAAAAGGTTGTACTATTAAGATATCCATCCAGGATACGAGCCAGTCATATACAACCTTCCCCCGCCGCCCCCGTTTATAAAGAGTAAAAGGTTGCAGGAAATCTAGCCTCCTGTCTCCGGCGGGTTGCTGCTAAAAAGGGGTTCTACAGTTTCATTCAAATCATCATAAGAAAAAAGTCGACATCCGGGTCGTCCCAATCACCCCATAATCTTCCCTGAGAGAAACCCCCTTTAGGCGGCTCCGTTCATCATGACCTCTGACATGTTTGCTGGCAGGGCACCTGAGAGGAAAGAATGTTAGCGAGGCTGCGCCTTAGGAATACTTAGATACTTAGGTTCTTAAAGCTTACCAGGAAGACCACCGAAAGCACCGACACCCTGGGCCTGGGCCGCAGGGAAGGAGCCGACGGAGCAGGACACAGCGCAGACGCAGGCACCGTTCTGGATCGTGCCTTGGCCCATCGTGGGAGCGGCGGCAGCACCTCCGGCAGCAGCACCACCAGCGGCAGCACCACCCTCGGCAGGTGGGGCAGCGGCAGCACCACCACCAGTAGCATTCGGTGGGGCGGCACCGGCGGCGGGAGGGGGAGCCTGGCCACCGGTGATGCCAGTGCCGGCGCCGGTGCCGTTCTGGGCGATGGCCATCGACTGGAACATGGCCTGGGTCTTAGCAGCGGTGGGGTTGATGGAGAAGGTCATGCCCTTGCCGCAGTGGCCCTTTTGCTTGCAGTAGAACCCTGGTTATGAGGATTAGCATGTGCTCGGGGAGAGAGAATGTCTGTCACTGGTGACTTACAGAGGGGAGTGTCGACCATAACTTGCATGGCGACCTGTGGTGGTGGGTTGACGGAGTTGTTGGGGTTGGCCTGGAAGCCCGAGTCCATACCACCGGCGAGGGCCGCGCAGGGCGTGTCGAAGGCAGACTGGGTGGCGGTGTGGTTGGCGCTCATGAAGGTGAAGACGACCATGTCGCCAACGGCGGCCTTGATCTCGGCGGGCGTGAACTGCAGGCCCGCGGCTCCACCAACCATGACCTCGTGCGTCTGGGCGGCTGCGGGCGCGGCCATCGGGGGAGGGTTGACGTTCATGGTCGGGGCACCGGCGCCCTGGTTGACCCAGATGATGATGACCTCGGTGGCGGCATTGGTGGTGATGCCGGCGCCGGACAGACCCAGCGTGATGAGCTGCTCCTGCGAAGCCGAGATCTGTGCGCCTGGGCCGGCCATGCTGGCGAGCGCCTGACCTCCTGCCTGTGCCTGACCCTCACCTCCTTGGCTCTTCTCCTGCGACTTCTCCTCTGACTTCCGGGGGAACAGATCGGTATCCCTCTTCACCGGGTAGACATTGTGCACGGCCTTGGCCAGGGCGAGCGGGGCGGCGAGCGCCGCCAGAGTTGCGGAGAACTTCATATTCGAATTGTTGGGCTGGTGATTATGAGTGTGGACGTTGACGATACCGGGCGAATGGTATCTATGTTAACTTCCGGAGTTGGCTTGATGCGTATGATCGATGTGAAGGAAACTGTTGCGTGGTACAATAAGGTAGCGAGTTCCTGCTCGTGAGAAAGAATGACCGGGTACAGAGAAATGGAAAATGAGCGTGTACTCGAAATCTACACGAGCCAGCAGCAAAAGTACGACGGGTATAGAGATGGGGGAAGAAAGGAAGAAACAAACAAGACGAAGGTTTGGGGCGTGAGGGAAAGAGCTTATATCAAAGCATGGTGGATCGGGAATAGCACTCCGCCATGCGGCCGGTTACGACGACGCAGCTATCCATGCTGGGAGGAGGACAGGATGATGTCTCTGGGCACCCCTAGGCACAGGAGACCATCTCGAAACAGGACCAGCAAATCATCCGTACATGGATCAGCCGCCGGGCACGACTGGGTCCGACCAGAGGCAGGCCAGGGAGGCGGCTGCGAGGCTAGGCGGAAGCCTCGCCTGTAGGTTGCAGGAAGGCACAGACGAGATAATCTAGGTAGGTATGAGTGTGTGAGTGCGTGCAGGTACATGTGTGCTGCGGGGGTCGCTGGTGCGGGCACAAGTACCGTTCTGCCACAAAGGCAAGCAGCCAGGGCCTGGTTGAGACGCGGCACGCAGTTGCCATCCCAACCTAAAGCAAGATACGCTTGAGTTGCGGCCCCTGCTTCGGGACCAGAGGCTGGGCAAGGGCCGGTACCAGAGCACTATTCAGCCAGTCCCAGCATGTGCAGCATGCAGCACCCAGTTTTGTGGGTGATGATGAGACAAGCCAGACAGGCCAGACAAGCCATGACGGAGCCGGGGCCGGCCAAGTGGGCTTGGTGCTCGCGGTGCCTCGCAGCGCCCACGGGCAAGGACCAAGCAGGGGTTCCCCGTGTGGCTGGCCCCGCGCTGGCTGGCTGGGCTTGGTACCAACCCCCGTCTTGGGACTGCGTGCAGGAGTCGGGCTGTGACAGATCCGTCTCGCATCGTGTTTGGCATTTCGCCGCCACCACGCACGCGAGGAGCGCCAACCGCCCCGGCGCTAATCCACGACGGTTTTCGGTGGGTTTGCTGCTCTCGTCACAGCCGAACCAGGCATCGACTAGCCCAAGCTCGTTTCGCTCACCTGCTCATCACGACCCCCAAGACTTTTCTTCCCCTCCCCCCTGGTGGTTTGCAAGAGCAGCTAATGACTATAGATCAGCACAAAGAAATCAGCAGGAAAAAGATTGGCCACATTCATTGCACATCATCATGAATGTAGCCCTCGTCCGAGGTTTTTTTTTTTTTTTTTCTTTTTTTCCGGGACCCCAAATAAAATCAAAGATTGAATTCGGGCCAAAGGGTTCAGACCAGCAGCAAGCACTCCATTACGCTTGCGGCTCCTCCAAATAACGTTTAGAGTTCCCGCACCACACACAGCACTAGCCTCACCCACCTTAATCAAACCGCCGGCATGACAGGCTCAGGCCATCCCCCCAGCTCAGCTGCTGCACCTACTCAGGCTTATCTTACTGGCCGGCGCCTGCAACGTGCAGCGTGAGTGCTTCTGCAGCAGGGCAGGCCGTTGGTGTTTGGTGGGTCTATCTTTAGCCAGGGGATCTTCGTCTTCCGCGTGCTTCGCACCCACGGCTTGACCAGCTGTGCAGTAGGAACTTTGTCTCGGCATCTCTTGGCCCCGTGGAGGCTGAGCCACTCCTCACTCCCTGCCCTACAAACTGTATCTGTCTCTTGTTTCTTGAGTTTGTCTCTTGGGCTGGTGTGTGAGTGCGTGTGCCCTGGGAGGCCTTCGAAGACTGGCCAGTCACCGCACGTGCCGAGGCATCCTCAAACGTCCGAATCCCAGGGGTGGGCGGCCATGGACCAGACGACAACGGGCAGACTTCGTCTGGTCTCAACTGTGGAGCAACTCCTCTACGCCGCGCCCTAACAAGACTCCCCCACAAGCCTGGGCATCACCTCGCTAGCGGGCCGTGTACATGCTCCCCGTCCAGAGTTGGTCCAAAGGCTCTCACGACGAGATAAGGTGTTGCTGAGGGAGGGGGAGGCGAGGTGGGATTGGGAACGGGCAGCATGCAGCCCTGCCCACAACTCTGTAACGATGCGGGTTGCCGGTCGACGTCGAGGGCCCCACTGTTCGCAACGCAACAGTCCGGAGAATTTCTTCGACAGACCCACCTTGGGGACGTTTGGTCCAAACTGCCGTCATGCTGCACGCTTACAGTATCTACACTCGACCAGCATTAATTTTGTTAGCTCGGCATATCTGTGGGTCAGCGACCCGCAGGTCTCTTCACACCAAAGCTTTGCCCAAGAAATACCTATCTATACTGAAAACATACATCTTTTTTAATAAAAGTAAATACCTCTTTCTGGCCTTAAAACTTTGCTATTGCTAGTATTAAAAAAGAAATTATTAAGTGATAATATTAAGAAATAATTATTTAGGAAAAAAGAAAGTATTGGGTATCTTTTGGTAAGTATAGATATAGAGTAAAGAGAAGTTCTCAAGATAATAAGCCCCATAGAAAAAGCGAGCTAACAAAATTAATGCTGGTCGAGTGCATCTGCATTGGGCCCCCTGTGGATACAAGCCTGCCTGCCCACGCTGACAGGCTGATACTCTTACAGTAGAGAGGTCGCTCTCGGAGACGGGCCTGACAGGTCAAATCGTTTTTGACTTAATTTTTTTTTTTCCCACCTCTTCCAAATGTTCGAGCCCGGCGGCCCCCCGGTCGGAAACGGATGGGGCGCCGATCCGGCCGCGGGGGAAACATGGGACGTTTACGTGAAGTCATAATCACCAGATTTCGGGGGCACACTAGTATGCCTGCTAGAGATCATTATCGGGCAAGGGCACTAGAATGTCTTTCTAGGACCGTTAGATTAGATCGTCCTGATCACACAGTCCCAAGCCCCTCGTGATGTATCCAGGCCCGGTGAGAAACCCAGTGTCAAGCGGCCTAGAGTATGGTTGGTTTCGTATTCTGTCTTGGTCGAGTACACCCTGAGTAGGGAGGTCGGCGCCACCGTCTGAATCGTTCAAGCCTCATGTCCCTTGCCGGGAAATTGAGGTGAACATCTGTTCGTAGTTTGCCCAATCTTTCGCATGGCAAAAACCATAGACTTTCTTCTTCCTCCTAGCCCTCCGTGGTTGCATGGTCCATGAACAGCTAGCTCATACTGCCGGGCTAGCGGCACAGCACGACCCCCTCGGTGCTGCTACGCGAGCTGTTACAGAAACCCCGTCCTGAAGGTCGATCAGGGGAGGTTTGGATTAAGGGCCCCCCCTAGCATTGCGCCGCCTTACTCAAGAGTATTATACCCAAGGGCCCTTCTGAAGAATTCCAACCTCCCGGCCAGGAAGATTTGTTTCCCTTCAGTGACGATGCCATGCCACGGCTTGGTCGTGCCCCGCCGCGCCCTCTTGCCGGCTTGCATCCGATGCTCAGCCTCCCGTTGTGATATGCTTCCGCGCAGGCTCACAGGCGGCAATACCATGCCGTGATGCGCGATGAACGGCTTGGTATGGCGATCACGGCCGGGGCTGACGATGCCTGGCCTGGCTATTGCTGGTTCTGGTGGGTCTGCTTGCCCTCATACAAGCCCGTATAGTATCCCGCGTAATACCAAGACATGAGAAGCCTCTTCAAGCCTTCATCTTGCACTGGTTGATCCAAATAAGTCAGTCCTGGCAATCTCGGGGCCGGGTCTCGCGAAACGGGCAAGGACAACGAGGGTAGATGGGTTCGTCTGTCCGCATGTCCTACAACGTACCAGAGCCCAGCAGAACCTGAGGGGGAGCCATGTCGTTTCCTCCGGCGCCGACGCCATGACTCTCGCCGGCGTGTCTGCCGTCGCCAACGCTGCTGGCCACGCCATCGTTCATGCCATCCTATCTTCCACCGACCGTGATAGGTCAACCGTCAGTAATCTGGATCGCCAGGTGGGACGCGGACGGCTTCAGATGCCAAGCTTTTGTGATCTGCTGGGATTGCCTCTAGGGTAAGGGCAATCAGCCAGGCAGGAAGAGGACTGGCGTGTGTCTCTGTAGCCGTCCATCAATGCGATGAGACTTACCTTGGTAGCATCATCTGTGCTTCCCGCGGTGATCTCCTCGCCGTGTTCCTGTGGCTGCTGGTTCGAGGGTGTATTTTGGTCCGATGTCAGTGCCGCAGACGACCAGACGGGTTCAGACTGATGGTGTGTGTCGCTCGTTTCAGGCTTGGCATCCTGTGAATACCTGCGACGACGCGTGAGCTGAACCGTTCGGCCTACGAGGAGAGAGTTCGGACCGGTCTGAAGGTTCACCCCTCCTCCCCTGGGGCTGCTGGTGTCGCACGTACTCGGGAAGGTCCTCTAGCTTTCCTCCGCTAGCATGAATGCTGTGGTATTTCTGCGCTTGCCAATCAATCTCAGTTCGCAAGAGGGTGGTCTTCGGGAGTGGCTTTCCGCAGAGGTGTCTGATATCGGTCTGCACACGCACACGCGTTCGCGGCACATACCTTGTACTCGTCCAAAGCCTCATCCCAGGACCTGATCAGGGCGGAGTCATCCCAAACATCGTCATGTGCCATCTCATTTCTCGGCCTTTCCATCTCGTGGGTGTCCAGCACGGTCACTGCTGACGTTGTGGGTGGACGGACGAATGGACGGCCTGTTGTCGGGTTGTCGATTGAGATTTAGGAGGCGTCTGGGCTTTTTTCAGGCAACTGCCGCTGCGGTTTCATGGCAGCAGCAGCCACCTTCGACCCGGGTCAGAACAGGTCAACCTCATCACTTCATTCGTCAATTCTACAGTCAGTCAGTCAGTCAGTACCTGGCATCATCAGGTCTATGTTGTTTTGTGAATATTACCCCGAATTCCAATGTGCATCGGATTTTGAACTTGAGTTCCCATTCTGCAGTCGACGCCTTGGCAGCACCACGACACTTCAGAACAGCCATACTGTGGCTAACAGGATGAGCAGAACCCCGTCCTGTCCGTTATTCAATCACCTGAACCCATCCCGAACCTATCAAATGTCTCTCCAGCACTGGGAGAACAGTGTGAAGGATTGACCTGTACCAATTGGGCTGACCGACAACCTCGCTCCAGTCGGATACGGAAACCCGGTTCACACAAGGCTCGTACGACTGTCAACGGCGTTGGGCATCGACAATGGAAACATCTGGACCTTCAGACGCCAAAATGCAGTGCAATCACAGTTCAGGGCTGGAGTCTATCGATACTCAAAGCGGCCGGGGAGGACGGACTCCCAGGTCCTAGCCAGGAACTGCGGAGTCAGAACCCTCGGTGAGCCATCCCGTAAACTCTCCCGGGCAGAGCACCCTCTCAACCAATATCATCATTCCATCATCGATATCAGCGTCTGTGGCAGTAGGACTGCACCTCGTAGGTATCTTCCAACGCCGGCATTGAGGGTAGGATAAACTCCTACGCCAACAAATCCAGTGTCTCACATGATAATTTACGAGATACCACGAGATAAGTCCCGCATCTCTACAAGTAGGTGTGCGTGCTCTCAGAAGCCCGCATGCAGCTTTGCGATCCCTGCAAGCTGTGCTACGATACTTTTCCACCCCATCAGTCCAGTCACCACCGGACGACCGTCCGGGCGACAGTCACCCCGCGGTGCCTCAACGCGGGGTGTGCTCAAGTGCATCTCGGGAGGTGCGGATCGTATACGAATCTAGGTGGGCGGACAGAAGACCGGTCTTTGGGGGTCCCATGGGGTGATGTCCCCAGCTCTCGAGCCGCAGCGGCCGAGGCGCCTCGATCGGCATTGCCTCTCCGCGATCACTCGCTTTGGGCGGATGCGGCCTCGACGCTTGGCACGCGTCCAGTCTGTCTGTCCGTCCGTCCGTATGCACGATAGAACCGTCGAGAGCAGGAGAGCATGCGATCCATCGCCTGAGAAGAAGTGGTGGGAGAAGCAAGAGACGAGGCTCGTGATATTCCCGTGTGCAGATTTGCCTTGGGCCTCACAGGGCCGAGAACCATCTTTATTCCCGACTGACAGGACCCGAACACCAATGGCGACGTCGGCGATGCACAGAAGTGGGGGGTGTTGGTTCTTCTAGAAGTCCCGGGTAGCTCCATCGGAGCTGGGGGATGTGGGGAAGTTTCCCCGAAAACCTTGCCTCCTGAGAGTCCCCCAAGATCTCCCAAGCCCCAACGTCATCCCATCGCATCGCCTGCGCCATCGGACAGGTGAGGGTGGCAGTACTGCGTGGTAGTAGCTGGACGGGGAAGCTTTGCCAAATATGATTTAGGAGGCTCGTCAGCTTGTTGAGGAGCAGCCTGCAAAAAAGCAATCAGATTCTCCCTTTGCCTCCTGATGAGTGCCTCAGTGAATCACATAGCTCCTTGGTATTGTTGATCCCCAAGCCACATCCTTGAGAGCTTGCGTGTTGGTGCCCGATATCTATACCAGAATCCTTTACACCGGCCTACCTGGACCTTCAGAGCTCGCGTTGCACAGCAGAACACAAGACAAGCTGACTGCAGCTTCAACTTTGTTGCCGTTTGAAGTACTTCCACCCGATCTGCAAACCAAGCACAGAAGCATCGCAAGTGGCTTATAAGCCCGCATCTGATTCACCATGGCGTCCTTGTCAGACACGAATCTGCCCACAACTGAGGAGTTAGTAGTCAGCCTTGACCCTCGAAGCTTGCAACAACATCGCACAAGCCTGGGTTAGATAAACCTTTACAGCAAAGCAGCAGCTAACACGAAAAACAAAATGGACAGGCACCAAGCACACTACATCGGCATCGATGTCGGTACAGGCTCTGCTCGAGCCTGCATCATCGATTCGTCAGGAGAGATCAAGGGGCTGGCCGCTCAGGAAATCAAGCTATGGCAGCCCGTGAGCGGGTATGAGGCATCGCATTATGTGAGTGAAAACAACACTAAGTCGTTGTTTACTAGGGCAGCTACTGACAACGGTTGCTATGTAGGAGCAATCAACCACAGATATATGGGATGCGATCTGCTACTGTGTCAAGAAAGTCGTTGCAGACTCTTCCGTCAAGGCAGACAGTATCAAGGGTGTCGGTTTCGATGCGACTTGCTCCCTAGCAGTCTTCACTCACGACACAGATGAGCCAGTCCCCGTTACCGGGCCGGACTTCGCCAACGATGGCAATGACCGCAACGTCATCCTCTGGCTCGACCACCGGCCGATCGAGGAGACGGAGAAGATCAATGCGACCGGCCACAACCTTCTCCGCTACGTCGGCGGCACAATGAGCGTGGAGATGGAGATCCCAAAGGTGCTCTGGCTCAAGAACCACATGCCGCCCGAGCTGTTTGACCGCTGCAAGTTCTACGACCTCGCGGACGCATTGACACACCTAGCGACTGGCAACGATACCAGGAGCTATTGCAGCACCGTCTGCAAACAGGGTTTCGTGCCCGTGGGAGTCGACGGCAGTGTCAAGGGATGGCAAGAGGACTTTTACCACTCTATCGGCCTGGGTGACTTGGTGAAGGACGACTTCAAGCGCATGGGAGGTGTTGACGGGGTGGTGAGCCCTTTCGTTTCACTCTTCACGTCACAGCACGATGTAGAAAGACCGCGGCGCTAACCAGCAACCACAGAACGGCACGTACACAAGCGCAGGAGAGCTTGTTGGACCACTGTCCGAGAAGGCTGCCTCGCAGCTCGGCCTGCCCGCTGGCATCGCCGTAGGGAGTGGCGTCATCGATGCGTATGCCGGATGGATCGGAACCGTGGGTGCTAAGGTCAAGCTCGGTCCGGACCACCTTGATGAGGATCACGCCAAGAACGACGTAAGCCAGGCCTTCACCCGGCTCGCCGCCGTGGCGGGGACGTCGACCTGCCACCTCGCCATGTCCAAGGACGCCGTCTTCGTCCCTGGTGTTTGGGGCCCATACCGAGACGTGCTGATCCCAGGCCACTGGATGGCGGAGGGCGGGCAGTCGGCGACGGGCGAGTTGCTGAAGTACATGCTCGAGACGCACCCAGCGTATACCGAAACACTGGCCAGCGCGAAGGCTCTCGGCAAGAACATTTACGAGTTCCTCAACGACAGCCTGCACGAGCTGCACAAGAGGATGGAAGCCCCGTTCATGGGCTACCTCACGCGCCACTACTTTTTCTACGGCGACCTCTGGGGCAACCGGTCGCCGATCGCCGACCCCAACATGAGAGGCGCGGTGATCGGCATGAGCAGCGACAAGACGCAGGACGGGCTGGGGCTGCTGTACTACTCGGTGATGGAGTTCATCGCGCTGCAGACGCGGCAGATCATCGAGAAGATGAACGAGTCCGGGCACACGATCCTGAGCATCTTCATGTCGGGCAGCCAGTGCCAGAACGACATCCTCATGGACCTCATCGCCACGGCGTGCGACATGCCGGTGCTGGTGCCTAAGTACGTCAACGCGGCGGTCGTGCACGGGGCGGCGATGCTGGGGGCCAAGGCTGCCAGCGCGGACGAGGACGGCAAGACGGAGCAGCTGTGGGACATCATGGACCGCATGAGCAAGCCGGGCAAGACGGTCCGAGCGGACAAGGACCCGGCCAAGAAGAGGCTGCTGGAGGCCAAGTACAAGGTGTTCCTGGAGCAGTGCCGGACTCAGCGAGAGTACAGACAGCAGGTTGACGCAGCCCTCAAGGACATCGTGAACGGTGGCCCGAACGGGAAGTAGAAGTGGACTGAACGGTCTGAAGTGTGTTTTTTAGTTGTGTATCATCAAGACTCGCTCGCTAGCCTAACCTGGCCCAAGAGGCTAGAAGGGCAATCCAAGTTGTGGGGAAAATCGCGACAGGGAGAAAAGGGAGGATAAGGCTGGCGTTGGGGAGGGCTTGGGAAATTGATGAAGAATGAGTACCCATCAAAGCGTGCTCGACACAGGCAACCTTGAGTGTTCTTGATTTCAGATATATAATACAACTCTGACCTTCTTTGGCATGTGAGCTGGACGTACCTTGGTCATTGTGGATCTAGCTGCTGGCTCTTGCTCCAGCTGGGCCAAGTAAATTTTGAGGGCCTCAGCGCTTGCCGGCCGGGGTGGGCAGCTGCCACAGGCCGCATCTCCCCAGGCCCTGGGGCAACCCCAAAGCATGGTAAACAAAAAAAGTTGCTGAGACGGCCGCGAACCTGACTCCTCGCAACGCGTGCAGTCGACGTGTCTTCTCGTCCTGACTTGCTCCTGTCACTTTGTCGACCGTCCCTGCACATGTCACTGCAGTTACCATGTCTCTTTTCGCCAACCTCAACACCGGGGCGACCAGCCAGCCGGCCTCAACTGGTGGAGGAGGCCTGTTCAGCGGGTTGAACAACAACACGAACACCAACACCACCACCAACCAGACTGCTGCTCGACCCAGTCCCTTTGGGCCTGGGTCGAGCCTGTTCCCTCCTCAGCCGGCCAGCCAAGCTCCGGCCACGAACAGCCTGTTTGCGCCCCAGAGTCAAGCGGCTACGACGTCCGGCCCCAGTCTCTTCGGAAACACAACGGCCACGGCACCCCAGACCAACAACCTCTTCGCAACCTCCCAACCCGATGCGTCGAATAACCTTGGCAAGAGCCTGTTCAGCAACACCATCAACACCCAGGCAGCCAATGCGGAGGGAAAATCGCAGCAAGCCGCCCCGACCGGTGCCTTCTTCGACAGCCTGCTAGCAAAAAACAAGAGGGTCCAGTTCGATGGAGCTACGCCCATGGAAGACCTCCCCAGCTTGCATCTCGGCCTGGGCGACCTTCGGCAACGCCTGCGCAAGCTCGGGCCCAAGGCGGCCCCGGGCGACCGCCAGCTTGACGGCCGCGCACACTACCTGCTTGCCGCCTCCGGCGTCGATCCTGGCACCGCGGTGCGCGATCTCGGCTCCCTGGGCTTCCAGACCTCGAGGCTCGATCGATCCGCCTACGGCGCGGCGCAGGGCGAGGTGGATGTCGAAACGTATCTCTCGAACCTGCAGAACAAGACTACACTGAGCATGATTGCGGACGGGCTGGAAAGGTCTGTCAAGGACTTCGATGCCTTCTTGGAGGACAACGTCACCATGGAGTGGGAGGCGCAACGGAGAAGGATCTACGAGCACTTCGGCATCAAGTCGAAGCAGTCATCAGCTGGTGGTCCGGGGTCACCTGGGAGGGAGTCCCGGGGTGGCTTCGGCAAATCACGACGGAAGGGCGTGCTGTCATCTGGCCCGGACAAGTCGACGGCAAAGGAGAGTGCGTTTGGACGGTCTGGTCTCGGGAGGTCTGTCATCGGAACGCCCAGCAGGATTGGCGCCCATTCTTCTGAGTTCTCAGACGTGGGCGGCGCTGGAACTGTCAGCGGCGCGAGCGGGTCTGGCGGCATTGATGATCGCCACTTGCGAGAGAAGCAGCTCAAGCTGGCGGAGAAGATTCACCAACTCAACGACGCCCGTCAGCAGGCGCAAGCTGTGGCATACCCGATTCTCAACGAGCTCGCAGAGGTCGAGTCGAAAGCAGGCGATCGGCATGGCGAGCATCTTGTGGACGCGTACCGCGCTATGGTGTTAATTGTCGGCGAGATCCCTGACGCAGACTCTCCCGGCGCAGATGCTACGGCCAGCGAGAGGCAATTCTCCAGTGTTTATCTCAGCCTCGAATCGAATTCGCCAGGAACGATTTCTCTACGCAAGCGGATTCTGGCTGGCGCCAACAGGTTTCTTGAGAAGAAATTCATGGATCAGATCGAGCAGCAGATCGCCAAGAACCCGCTGAATGCCCAGCTTGGTGGAAGGCCGGACGTTGTCAGCAAAACCAAGGCATACGTGCGCCTTTTGGCCCAGGGCAAGCATCTTGCTCCCGATAACACAGATCTTCAGTCGATCAGGCGCGAAGGCCAGGACGAGTATGTCTGGGCGGTTATCTTCTACCTGCTTCGATCGGGACATGTGAACGAAGCCGCGCGGTATGTCATCGAGAACCAGAACCACTTCAAGAGCATCGATCGATCGTTCCCTGCCTTCATGAGCGACTACGCCACAAGTGAGGAGCGGCGTCTTAAGAGGCAGCTTCAGGACAGATGCAACACCGAGTTCAGCCAGCGCATCCGCAATGCTCCTGACAACTCGGTCGACCCATACCGTGCGGCATGTTACAAGATCATTGGTCGCTGTGATCTGAGCAACCGCAGCTTTGAGGGGTTCACCGCCGACGTTTACGACTGGATGTGGCTGCAGTTCAACCTCGCGCGTGAGGGAGACCGCTCGGTGGAGATCTGGGGGGAGACGTTCGGGCTGGCCGAGGTGCAAAACACCATCAAGGAGGTCGGCCTGAAGTACTTTCCCAAGAATAATGTTGATGATGCTAATGGCAACTTCGGCATGTTCTTCTTCATGCAGATCATGTCCGGGATGTTTGAGCAAGCCATCGCATACCTGTACTCATTTTCCTACGTGGACGCGGTTCACTTTGCGATTGCGCTGGAGTACTACGGGCTGCTGCGGGCCTCGGACTCGATGACGTCCAACAATGACCTCCTGACACACAACACTCGCGAGCAACCGCAGCTTCGGACGGATGTTGGGCTTCTACACGCGCGACTTCCGGGCAGGCAACGTGGCTGCGGCGGTGGACTACATTATTCTCATCTGCCTAAACCTCGACGACCCCCAACCAGCAAGCCGGCAGACAGCATGCGGAGCTGTGCCACGAGGCGCTCCGCGAGCTTGTGCTGGAGACGAGGGAGTTCAGCAAGCTCATTGGCGACATCCGGCCGGATGGGCGACGCATGCCTGGCATAATAGAGACTCGCGGCTCTCTGATCGGCCTGCCAGATGAGCGGGAATTCGTCAGAAGCATCACGCTGCAAGCCGGCCGCTTCGCGAACGACAACGGGCGAACGACGGATGCGGTGCTGCTGTACCACCTGGCCGAGGACTACGATACGGTGGTGGCGATTGTCGGGCGAGCTCTGAGCGAGGCCATCTCGTTGGAGGTGGGAGGGGAGCCGCTGCGGCTGCAGCCAGTCAAGCCACGTGTCGAGGGTGGACGGCCCGGGCCACAGCTGAACAGCAGCCTCAGCCTGGCGTCCATCGACGACCCCGTGGAGCTGGCGAAGACGATGATGCACATGTACGAGGGTGAGCGGTTCTTCCGGGAGAGTATCCAGGAAATCAACCGCATGGCGTGTAGTGTGCTGCTGCAGATGTCGGACATCAAGAGCCTCGTAGGGGCTGGCCAGTGGGTTCAGGCCCTGGATGTAAGTTGACACGGCCCTCGAGGGGAGAAGTGATGATTCGAAAGAGAGAGCTGACGATGTGACAACAAAACAACAGCAAATCAAGACGCTTGAGATCCTGCCTCTGACGGCGAACGGCGACCCGTCGACGATCCGGGCATACGCGGCCAAGTTCGCCAGCCTGCCGCAGGTGGTGGCGGCCAACGTGGGCAACCTCCTGATGTGGACGGTGATGTGCTGCACGCGGCAGCGGGAGAGGCTCGGCAGCGGGCAGTTCAGCGGCAACGAGAGCACGTCCAAGGACCTGCAGGTGCAGCTGAAGCAGATGAGCATCGACCTGACAGCGTACACCAGCCAGCTGCGGTACAGGTTCCCGTCCCACCTGCTGGAGGCGCTGGCCAGAGCATCAGCGGACTGAGGGAGGGCCAAGGGTGTATGGGCTGCAGTTGGATTGAATTGACGAGCACTGGCATGAGCAAATGATAGATTTAGCAGAGAGGGCGGCGCGGAGGAGGACATGATGTGTACAACAACGGTCACAGACTGATGAACAAGACACTTGGCCTGGCCAATCCATGATGAGGTATGGGCAGGCGAATCACCTGGTGTAGATGACTACCCATGCGCACCAAGATTAACGATCGGACGGGTATGCTGCATGATCACCACGAACCACAGAAGTTCTATAATAAGGTAGGCAAATATCTACTATGCCCAGTCTGGGTGGGCTACCACAGCAATGTAGACTACCATCAAGGGACAGCTTGGACAGGGGGCATACCCAGCTCTGCCGAGCCGTCCTACCGTAGCAGGTAATTGGTAGCATTGCACACATTGCACTATGGGTCCAGCCGCTTATCACTGCCGCTATCAGGGCAAACGCCGAGGGCACACACCACGCCGCGGACAGCAGCGCCGATGAGCTCGAGCAGCAGGGATGGCAGCAGTAACGATGGCGACCAAAAAAACAGGAAGGGGAGACTCGAAGCCAGACAAAGCGCCCCTGCCCTGGACCTGGACATGGACTGTGCTTTGCCGAGGGAGAAAGGAGCGAGACAAAAGGTGCGGTGGGAAAGAGCGAGAAACTGGACTGGACGGACAGGCAGAAGACCGAGAGAGAAGAAAAAGCTCTCCTCGCTCCTGGACTGACTCGGACTGGACGTTCTCCTCATCGTCCACCAAACACGCTCTGATTCATTCCCGCCCTCGCCATACTTTGATACCGTCCTGCCAGTAAGCACAGCACACCACACAGCAAGCAGTACGGGACGGGAATAATCTGCCCATCTGGGACCTGCATCTGCATCGGCACCGGCACCTGCAACCGCGTCTAGCTCTGACCGGTCCTGCCACTCACTCTGCCGTTAGCTGCTGTGCCACATGACACTGACGCGCCCAGCCTCGATCCGATCTGATCTGATCTGATAACCAGGATTCGGGTAGGCGAGGAGCAAAAAAAAAGAAGGGGAGGGAAAAATTGAACAGAAAAAAAAGACAGCATTCCCTAGAGAGGACTGCCCAGCTGATCCAGAAACGGAAACACCCCAGCCCTGCTGGTCAGCCGTGCGTTCATCGCCTGCGAACCTGTCCCGTCTCGCCTGCTCGACCCGACTCGACTCGTCGTCTTTGAGGCTCAAGTCGACCCAACGACTCGGCTCGATTTTGCTCGACCCGACTCAGCTCACTCTGGGACGACCCTCTTCCCCGGATCGCCAACAACGACGCGACTCAGGACCTTCGCGACAGACGCGTCGGCCCGCCTACGGGTTTCTAAACCGGGCAGAATTCCTGACTCTGCTTTGGCTTTGGCCCTGACTCTTGATTGACTCTGAAGCCTGGGCCTGAGCCTGGATCTGGATCTGGATCTAGATCTTATCAGAACGGCCCGCCACGGCGACATCACCACCACCAACACCGCCGCCACCCTCACGGGGCACGTGGATGTTGCAGGGTCTCAGTGACGTCGGACTGGGGCTCGGGATCGGGATTGGGTCTGGACCTGGAACTGGAACTGGAACTGGAACTGTAGTTGGAATTGAAACAGAAACCGCCAACGCTGAGCCTACGCTCTTCTCATTGGTACTACTATCACCATCACCGTCACCGTCAATTTCACCGTCGTCGTCGACACCAGGGAATGCCCAACAACTCGTCAATCACGGCTGCATCTCCGGCGGGAGGAACCCGTGCTAGCCATGCCCGCGCCAACAGCACACAAGGCGAGCCCCTCACCGCGGGCGTGAAAAGGGAGAGGGCCGCTGACGCTACTACTGCCTCGCCCGCTCAGTCGCCAAGCGCCTCGCAGCAGTCGACTCCTGCCCCGTCCTACGGCCACGGCAATGGACCCGAGTCCAAAAAGCGCAAGTCGGCGGCTCCGGGCTCCCGGGGTGTTGCGAACCTGACGCCCGAGCAGCTCGCCAAGAAGCGTGCAAACGGTACGTTTAAGCCCTGTCATGAGTCTGAATCCATCCGTCCGGTTCTCAACATGCCTTTCGGGAGCTGCATGAGGGCTCTTGGCGTGTTTGGCTCCGCTTCGCTTTTGCTTTTCCTTCTTCCTATTTTCGTTTTCTCTGCGCTGCAGTGGATAAGCGTGCCCTGAGGTGGAGCTCGCGTTGGCTGACGTCGAATCATAGACCGTGAAGCGCAGCGCGCTATAAGGGAGCGGACTAAGATGACAATAGAGAACCTCGAGAACCGCATCAGGGAGTTGACTAGCCAGCAACCCTATCAGGAGCTCCAGGCCGCCTTGAGGGCCAAGGAGGCTGTCGAGGCGGAGAATGCAGATATCAAGAGGCGTCTGGCCTCTGTCATTTCCATGCTTCAGCCCTTGATCAACTCGTCTCAAACCGAGCAGCAACCGGTCCTACCTTCTCCCGGTCATTCCTACCTCAATGTGTCCGCAGCGACAGACCCAGCGCACAGCGCTGGCCACAACAACGCGTCGACGCCGTCGAGCGCTGCGTCGCCAAGCCAGGACCCCTACGCAGCACAGTGGAACTCCGGGGCCTCCACCGGTAGCGGGCCCGTGACAGCACAGGCCCAGGCGTACAAGTCCCAGCTCAACCAGCAGCGTCATGACCTGGCACACGGCTTGGAGTTCGGCACGGAACGTCTGGGTCTGGACTTTCTGCTCGATCAGTCCCAGCGCGCAAGAGGCATCCACAACGTGACAAACGGGACGGCACATGAGTCCCCTGCGTTCCGTCAGCATGCCCCAGCCACGACCTCCTCTCATCCTAACTCACCCTACGCGCACTCTGGCGGCCGCGCCGCAGACTATGTCACCGCCCCAAGAAGTGGCGGCATGGACAGCAATATCGACCCGGCCTTGCAGGGCGCCATCGACCCGGCCCTGTCCAACTACTCCACACCGATCAAAAACTGCCCGCCCACCTGCCCTCTGGACAGTCTCCTCCTGGACTTCCTCCACGAGCGCCGTCAACGCGCCGCCGAGGGCCTGCCTACCCAGGAGATTATTGGCCCGCGCTACCCCAGCGTCTCGTCGCTGCTCAACCCCTTGAAGGATTCTCACCCGCTCTCCAAAGTCTTCATCGACATTCTACAGACGTTCCCGGACATCTCGCAGCTCCCGGAGCGCGTGGCGGTGCTGTATGTCATGTTTCTGCTGATGCGGTGGCAAATCCACCCGTCGCAAGAGAACTATGAGCGACTGCCCGAGTTCGTGCGGCCGCTCACCGGCCAGCTGTACACACCTCACCCGGCCTGGCTTGACTCGCTGCCGTTCCCGGCCATGCGGGAGCGACTCATCACCGACTATGCGCCGCCAGAGACATTCCCATTTGAGCACTTTTTTATCCCCTTCACCACCACGTTGAGCCTCAACTGGCCCTACGAGGACACCGACACTCTCCTGCAGAGCCCAGAGAGCGACGAGCTCATGATCAACCCCGTCTTCGAGAGGCACCTGCGCCGCCTTGAGAACTGGACCCTCGGCGATGCATTCGCCCGCGCATTCCCCATGCTGGAGGGCACGTACAACCTCAAGGTTGACGGGCCGGGCGGCGGCCGTCCCCGTGGCGGGCGGAACAGCTCAGAAGGGAGGTAGGGTGTCGGGCGGGGAGGGTGTTGTCTACGAGATGCCGCGTGCTAAGGGCATTTGTATTCGGTGACAGGTTTTGTTGGTATGAGGTGCGGCGCCGGTGAGGTTCAAAAGTCCTTTCTGCATGTGATATGTGTGATGTACGTGGTGCGTATTGTTTTTCCTGCATCCTTGTCTGGCCTGGGTTCACAGGTGTTTGGGGCCGAATTTTATTGTCTGCGCGTGTGTTTGTGCTTAATCAGGTTCGTGGCGTGCGAGGACGTTGTCTAGAGAGACTAGAGGTGCGTTTGCTTTTCTCTTGCATAGAATGGTGTGCTTGCATGTGTGAGGGTGTTTTTATTTTCTGGGTGGCGATCCGTCCCAAGGCCGCAAGGTAGTTCTGCATATTGCATATAGCAAATAAATCAATAGCATGACCTGCCAGCGATGACAGCAGGCATGGTTTTCCCAGTATGGCAAGAAAGGGCTTGACAGAAATCAGAATTTCGATTTATAGACATGCATGTTGAGTATCTTAACGTGAGAACAAATCCTTCCTTGCTTCCTCCCACGTCGCCGCACGCTTCACCTCGAATCTGATGGGCTTCCTCATAGCTCTCCTTGCTCCAGCGGTTGGAGCAACCTGTCCAATGCACCCTGCAAATAGCTACCCTTTTACCAGTCATCCATGCCGTCGTCAACACCAAAAGTAAACTTCCTCACCACGGGGCCCACGCCCACGAAGAGGCTCGCCTCCTTCTCCCACCGCAGCTTATGGAACTGCAGCGCCTTGACAATCCCTCCTTCGCCGGGGGCCCTCAGCACCCGCGGGTCGTCGACGTCCCCGGCCCGCAGCCTCCGCCCCGTGCGCAGCGAGAAGACGGCCACGGTGCCGTCACCCAGCGCCGCGGCCACGACCCCTCCGCCGCGGCCACCGCCCGCGATGCCGCCCGCGTCGTTTGTCACGTCCAGCCCGATCTTGACGCGAACCTCGTTTTTGTACCCGGGGAATTCGACGACCGGCTGCGGGATCTTGCTGTTGTGACGCTGGTAGTTGCCACCGCTGCCGTCGCCGCCGCCGGTGGACCTGCTCGGCTTCGTCCAGCGGGTGTCATAGATAGCCATGGTAGATCGGGGTCCCGCGACTAGGACGCGGTGGTCGTCCAGGCAGCGCAGGTGCGCGGCGCTGCTCCGGTGGCGGAACGCAGACTGCAGGCCGGAGCCCGAGGAGTTCGGGGCGCGGATGTCGACGCGGAGGACCTTGGCACTGCGGCAGCCGGCGTAGCAAACGCGCGGATTCGACGGGTGGTAGTCGACGCTGAAGACGTCGCCTACGCTGCCGTCTTGGTGGTGGTTACGGCCCGAGCGGGGACGTGCGGTCCCCGTAGGCTTGGGGGTCACCCAGGAGACCTCGCCGCCGGCCCTCGAGCCGCCGATGGACATGATGCCTTGGCTGGTGGCGATGAGGGCGTCAAGGCCGGAGCCCGAGGTGGAGGCGGGGCAGGCGCGGACCGCGTGCATCGTTACGTGGCTCCCCTGCAGGTTGTAGGACAAGTAGGAGGCCGTGTCGCCCAGCAACCAAGTTGGCCTCCGGCCGCCGTACTGCTGGATGCCGTATTCGAAGTCGTCACCCGGCCGTAAGGGCTGGAAGAGGGTGATCCTGCCTTGCGAGGGCGAGGTCGGGTCCAACAAAGTGAGGTTGTTTGATGCGATTATCATCTTGTGAGAGGCCTCGTGGTACGCGATGGAGGATATGTCGCCTTGGATGTCCTCGGAGCGTAGTGCAGACAGTCCTGAGTAGCGCATCATCTCCGTGATGCCAAAGTTGATCATTTCATCCGTGTCGGTTGGTAGATAGGAGCATTGGAGCTGCCGACGATCAATGCCTGTCGTAGCGTTAGTTATGCCGGGTGTCAAATATCATCAACGAGAAACATGCCTGCGTATGCCATGCCTAGACCAGCCGCCTCGTCACCTCCCTCGACGAGGAGACACGATACGCTGGGTGCACCCGGGTCCTGCTCCTGGCCGGGCAAGAACGACACCTCTCCCTTCTGTCGCAGGCCAGCGGTCCAGCTCTCGACGGGCATCTCGGGGTCGACGACCCCGAACTCACGCAACAGCCTCCCTCCGACCAGGGGATGGGCGAGAAGACTGGATCGCTTGATGCATCCTTTCAGTCTCTCCTGCCGCTTGCGCTTCTCCTGGGCCTGGACCTTCTTGGCTTTCCGCTTCTTGACATTCCCAGCTGCCCATTCTGCGTTTGCTGGCGCAGTGGGATGCGATTCGATCTTGAAGTAGCGATTCTTCTCCTCATCTGCGGGCTGATGTTAGTGACTGTGGTGACGATGAGGGCGGCTAAGGTGACTGGCCATAATAGAACCCCGGAATTTCGCGGTGGGCCATTTTGATGCTCGTTTGCAAGCCAGGGTCGGCTCAGTTCACTGCCGCAGAATGAGGTTCAGTTCGACTACCAGAATCGCTCCAAAGTTCCGATTCCCAAATGAGCATGTTTCTCGTGACGAAACGTGGATGAGTGCGTCTCAGTGACCGGATGAGTCCCAGAAACTCATCTCACGGCCTTTCTTTTCATGGAAGTGCAGACGCGAAGGTTGCTAGAAAATGGAGGTCATGGCCACCACATTTTTGGTCACGTGCCAGAGAGAGGCACCAGAGCGATCATGTTGCTGTTAAAACTTGGAGCCTGAGGTCTTCATCAAATTGCAGTATCAATGTGATGCCAAAACTTTTCCGGCACGAAGAAAAGCAGTGTCTTGTGCATGGCTAGCCAGGTAGCTACGACCATTGCTCAGCCTTGTCCCTTCCGGCGGACGACTACCCGAGGGGTAGTTGATTGGTGGTGGAAAAGGAAGGTGCGGCAAAGCTTCCTTCACCCAGCACCACCCACCCCATGGCACTCTGTGGGGAGATAGCATAACGTAAGCAGCGTGTTCTGACAGCAGGAACATCATTCCAGCACATACAGACCGACCGAGCCTCTTGCTCCGGTTCCGAACAGCTCGCTAGAGCAGAGCCCCCTGTCCGGCGCGCACATCCATCTCCACCGGACACCGGGGCACCGGGGCACCGCTCGTGTATTGAAGCCTCACCGACCTGACCGACTCGACACCAACACACCGTCCTTCTAGAAGCCTGCTGCATGTGGTATTGGGCCCCCTTGGGGACTTATCCGGGTGGGCTTGCCGCACGCCTGCACATGCAATGCAGCCCATTACGGGGCCCCGGGACCGCACAGTAGCACACTCACTATGTACCGCTGCGCACACTCGTGCCTGCGGAAGAGGGCCCTCAGGCCGGGGCGGCGGTCGCAGGGCTCCACCGCGCTGCATGATGCGGACGCATCTCGGGCCATTGCCGTGGCAGCGCGGGCGGATGAGGCATTTTGGATCCTTCTGGGGGTGAGGTCCCCTTCCCAAGCTCTCGTGCTCGCCCCGGCCGAGTTTGAATTCCCTCACACAGTCCGGGGAACAGTGTGCAGCGCCATCCCGCATATGTAGGTCTGGTCCCCTGGCTTTTGTGCGTACAGCACCATACAGTAAAAAGTAGACACCATGTGGGCAACGGATCACCCACGACGGCGACGACAAGAGTGGGAAGAACTTGGTCCGATTCATGTGAAAATTCCCCACCCTGTACCTGCTGATGCCGCTGCGCAGATGCAGCCACTTTAGCCAACTTTACAGCGAGCGGATCTCCTTAGCAAGTCCTCTTACGTACCCACGGGCCTGCCCACGCCAGGTGCCATCATAGTACCTAGGTAGTACGACGAGCCTGGCAAGGCCTGGCGGCGCGAGCAAAACGGCGAGCAAGTTGGTGGTGGTGGTGTGGCTGATCGCGCCCCTCCATTTGCTCTGCCTGCCCTGCGTGGCTGCCCCTCCACACCCCTCCTCTCCCCGTCAAGACTTTTCTACCTGACCTGACCTGACCCCTCTGCACCACCTTCGGCCTCTCCGTCCTACAGTAGCTTCCTCCAAACAAACCAGCACACATACGCACACGCCAACAACCCAGATCAAAGCCCACCCGAGAAAACCGACAAGATGGTCTACGTAATCACCGTCCACCTGCACGCCAACGACCACCCGGACAGCGTCGACAAGATCAAGGCCAAGCTGATCGAGGCGTCGCGCGTCTACTCCAAGGACAAGGAGACCCTCAGCTGGTTCGTCATGCAGTCCACCTCGGACCCCAGGGACTTCACCATCGTTGAGCGCTACGAGAAGGAGAGCGTAAGTTCAAACAAGCCCTTTCCCCTTCAAAAGATATCATGTTTGCCAGAGAAGAGCCAGGCGTGGAGGGGAGCCATCAGAGAGAGCCACAAACATCCCGTGACGAGCGATCAAAGACAAAACAGGTAATTAACAACCACGCTTTTTCTCAACCGCCCTACAGAGCCAGAAGTATCACCTCGAGAACCCATACTGGAAGACTTTTGACCCCTACGTCATCCCCCTCCTCGACCGGCCCATGGACCTGCGACGCGCTGAGGAGCTCGACACCAGCAAGGACGTCGTTGTGCCTGTTTAGATACCACGCATACACACACATACAAACAAACATATATCAAATATATGTGTGACCAATGATTTAATTGAATACCATAAATATCAGTAAACCAGAAAGCGGTGTTACAAATGATCGAATACCATGAAACCCAGTAAATCAAGCAATGGCGTTGCATACCTTCTGCGTAATTGGCACGGCACAGCAAAAGTTGCTGTAGGTTATACTTCCTTCGATTTAAAGTGTGGTTTAGTCGCCGTAATTGTTCATTCAAGACACTAAGAGATTCTTCTTGGGCCGCCTTCAGCTGTCGGGCCTTGGGCACGGGTCACGTGTTTTGGACGCTTTGGAAGTTGCCCCAAGCCAGCCTGAAACAAAGTTTGCTTTCCAAACAAAGCCACATGTCGACCAACACTGGGGAATCAAGTCCATGAGTTGTGGGCATTAACTGATTTGTATTAAGTTCCTCTAATGAACTGACGGGCTTCCAGCTCCATCGTCTTTAACGCACATGCTAATTAACTAAAATTGAAAGCCTTTGGCCGCATGTTTGCAGACAATGAAAGGTCGGCCTCGGGTATATCTTCTCCATTCCCGACCCTCTCCTACTGGGTCTTCTCGTGTTGCGTAGACACACGTTGGAGGGAAACAACTGCAGACTGGTGTTAGCACCTGGCACATGATGGTTCGCTTTAGCTGGGGTAGTAGTGGATGACTTACCGAAATCCTCGAGGGATCGTTGCTTCTGGTTGCCCTTGGGCGACTTGCCGTGCATAAGGTTGTCAAATCCAACGCTGTCCTGGAGGAGGTAGTAGACACCACCCATGACACAGAAGATACCGAAGGAGTAGATCCAGATACGGACGACGGCCACAATGGAGGTCTGGTCACCACCAACGAACCATCCGAAGATACAGAAGAGGGAGGCAATGATATCGACGACAATGATAGCGCCGCTAAGTTGCCAAGAGGGAATGGAAGACCAGAAGGGACCGTTGGCACGGGTGATGAAGATCAGCCAGTTCTCGGTCAGCGAGATCTCGAGGAAGACAACCTCGTCCAGGTTACCGAAGTTCTGCACGATACCACCGTCGACACCACCAGCGTACATGGTGGTAACAGTGATCCAGGTACCGACAGCCAGGACGACACCGAGCAGGACAGACATTCCCCAGAGCTTGGGCAGGTTCCACTTGACGGGCGTCCTGCTGAAAGGAGCGTTGTCGTAGGCAATAGCAAGAGTGGCGATATCAGCAAAGATGGCAATGAAGACAACCAGCTCAATGTTCAGCGATCGGTTGAGGATGGCAATCCAGAGACCAAGGTAGATCTCGAGGTGGATGGACAGAGCGATACGGTAGACGACGTAGGCGTACATGCGGTGGAAAATCTGGCGAGAAGTCTTCAGAGCGTCGATGATAGCACCAAGACCGGGGGCAAGGAAAACAATGTCGGCGGCGGAGCGGGCGGCGTCAGAGGCACCCTCGACAGCAATACCGGTATCAGCCTTCTTCAGAGAGGGAGCGTCGTTGACACCGTCACCAGTCATGGCAACCAGGTAGCCACGCTGCTGGAGAATCTCGACGACGTTGTACTTGTGCTGGGGGAAGACCTCGGCGAAACCATCGGCAGCCTCGACGAAATCGTACACCTCCGAACCGGGCATGTCACCGCCACCACCGAGACCGAGACGCTCAGCGTTGTAGACGTTGGTGCCAAGACCAAGCTGGCGGGAGGTCTCACGGGCGATACCGACGGCGTCACCAGTCAACATCTTGATGGACAGACCCAGAGTCTTCGCCTCGTTGATGGTCTTAGCAGTGTCGTGACGAGGGGGGTCAGAGCAAGGCATGATTCCGAGGATCTCCCAGGAGCCCTCGCCACGCTTGCGGGCAACACCGAGGGAACGGAAACCACGGGTAGCGAACTCAGCAACCTTGTTCTTGTAGGCTTGGTCGACCTCCTCGGGGATGGGGTGGTCCTCCTCGACAGTCTTGAGAACGAAGAGAGGGGCACCCTTGACACAGGTGATGCGCTCACCCTGGGGAGACTCGACGAGAGCAGTGACCTTCTTGGAGACGGGGTCGAAGGGGAAGAAGTTGATGACCTTGTACTTGGAGAGGACAGACTTGGCGCGGGGGTAGTACTTGAGGGACTTCAGGAAGGCCTTGTCGATGGCATCGATACCCTTCTTCTTGCGGGAAGCAGCCAGGCAAGCGGTGAGCATGAGGTCTTCAGGGTCAACACCGGCGACACAGTAGGGCTCGGCCAGAGACAGCTTGTTCTTGGTCAGAGTACCGGTCTTGTCAGAGCAGAGAATCTCGACACCAGCAAGGGACTCGATGGCGGACAGCTTCTGGACAATGGCCTTCTTCTTGGCGAGGTAAGCAGCGCCGACGGCCATGGTGGTAGTAACGACGGCAGGAAGACCGACGGGCACGCCAATGATCGTGATGGCCAGAGTGAAGCGCAGGATGTCGACAATGGGGTTGGAGCGGTAGAAGCTGGAAACCCAGACGACGAGCAGGGTGAAGACGACGAGAATCAGCAGCACCGTTCCGATACCGTTCAGGACCTCAGTGAAGTGACCAGATCCGGCGTTGGCGGCGTTAACGAGAGCGGCGGCACGACCAACGAAGGTGTTGTCACCAGTGGCGGTAACAATGACGAAGGCCTCGCCACGCTTCACGGAGGAGGAAGCGAAGCACTGGTCACCCTTGTGCTTGTCGACAGCGAGAGATTCACCAGTGATGGCAGACTGGTCGACCTGCAGGAAAGCATCCTCGGTGACGATGCGACCGTCGGCGGGAATGATGGTACCCTCCTCGACCTGAAGAATATCGCCGGGAACAACCTCGGGGGCCTCAAGCTCTTTCAGGGTGCCGTCACGCAGGACGACAGCCTTAAGAGCGAGGGTCTTCTTGAGTTCATCGACAATGGAGCCGGCCTGGAATTCTTGGATGAAACCGACACAGGCGTTGAGCAGGAGCAGAGCGCAAATGACACCGAAGTCGACCCAGTCCTCAAGACCGGCGGCCAGGACAGCGGCAGCCTCCATGACGAACTGGATAGGACCAACGAAGTACATGAAGAACTTGAGGATCATGTTCTCCTTCTCCTCCTTCATCTGGTTGAGACCATACTTCTTGCGGCGAGACACGACCTCGGCCTCGGTCAGACCAGTGCGGGTGTCCTGCGGGGGAGGGGCGGTTAGCACTTGTTCGTGATGGAAACTGATTGTGGGGTGGGTGTGTTCTGGCTTACAGTTTGCAGGAGCTCCTCAGGAATGAGACGGCCACCGTGCTCGTCACGCTCCTCCTCCTCGGCGTCCTCGCCGTGTCCATCTTGGGACTCGAGGTCCTCGATCAGGGCGTCGATGTCCTCATCTTCGTCCTCCTCGTCCTCGACCTTGGGCTGCTTAGGCGGGGCGGACTCGGCTGGGGCGGCGTGCTTCTCGTCGAAGTTGCCGGACTCAATCTGCGTGTTCAACGCAGGAGAGTTGGCGTGGTCGGCCATGGCGAAATGTCGACTCTCAGCGCCAATTGAATGGGTATTAAGTCACTAAGACACAATAAAGTGCTGGGTAAGGGTAGAGAAAAAGATTGCGAGATATATCTCGTGTCGTCGTCAAAGGTCTTCTGTCTGGAGACCGGGGGGGCGATCAGGCAGGAAAAAACAGAGGTGTAGTAATGTTGTTTTTCCGTTGCTGACCTAAGTTGTGCTCGGAAGCTCCGTCGCGGTGTTATGGCGCGAGGGAGATTGGGAAAGTCGCACGACAGAGGGTGAGGGTGTTTTGGGGGGAGGGAGAAGCACCGTGAAGGTCGCACCTTTTCAGGTAAACTAGGTTCGAAGCCTTCAAGTGGTGTTAGGGAGGGAAGGGGAAGGAAGGAAGAAGAGATCGAGTCGGGGACGAGGCACTCTTTATTAGCTTTGCGCTCCTGCCCTCGAGGTGCGAGCGAGGCCCAGGGAAGGTATGGTACGCGGTAGTATGTACATGGGAAGGAGGAGGAAGCAGGTGTGGGTTCCCTGGTGAAGACAGGTACTGTGGTACCCTGGCGTTCCCTCGCCTAGCGCAGTGGACGGCCGGCACTAGGAGCGTACCCAGGTACCGTCGCATGCATGTGTGTTGCTGCTTTTGCAGGCTACTGGGACTTGCTCTGTTTGCCCGTACTGTACAGGCTGGTGCAGCATGTGCGGTGGGCAGCAGCAGGGTGCCAGAAAAACAAACCGCGCAAATCTGAACTGTGCACCCTGCAGTGTTGACACTAGGCTGGGCCGTCCGGCTTACCACGGTCGGCTATCTCCAGCGATGCGCGAAAAGAGAGAGAGAGCTCCCTTCTCTCTCGGCTTATTCCCACCGCAAGCTCGACCCCGGCGTGGGCATGGGCATGGGGCGCCCTTGCTCCTGGCCGCCTAGTGCCTGCTCCACGCTCCTCTGGACCGTCCCATACCGTGCGAGAAGGCAGGTCCGTCCAAACAGAACAGAAAGAACAAATCTCGTCCCCACCCCGTCCCATCGCCCCCGGCCAATCACGCGGCCGTCTGGGGGAGCTTTGGCCAATGACGAGTCGGACGCAGCTCCCAATTGAAGTACTTCCGAATCAGATCAGAGCGAGGTACCCCGGCCCCGCAGCCGCAGCCTGCTTGACCCCTGGCCATCACCAGGCTGGGCCACCAGCACGCCTTCCACGCTCCCACCGTGCTCAGGGCCACCCCCAGACGCCCCAATCTCGCTCCCAGCCCGGAGCTCGAGGTACATGGGCAGCAGCTCCACCAGAGGTACCCCGACCGGTTCCTGTCCCATGTGGTTGCTGCCAGATTCCACCAGTTCTGCTGTTTCTGCCCTGCCCATGGCATCCCCATCCCCAATCCCATTCCAGCCCAGCCCAGGTCCAGTCTGGTCTCTCTCGCTCGCTCTCTCTCCCGCCAGGTGCTATCTATGGATTGATGAGGGATTTTTTCTCGCTGGTACTCCGTCCCCTCCCTACCTAGGTACCTCGTCGCTGCGTCTCGCCCTCGGCATCATTTCGCGAGATGACGACACAGGGAACCTGCGGGTAAGAAAACAACTCGCCCAGACTGGCGGTCAATTGCCATTGTCAATCGAATCAATCCCGGGTCGGGTGAGGTGAGGCTATTTCCACCCTCTTTTGCATTGCGGTGACACCAATTGGTCTCTCCTGCCCATCCCATCCCTTTCCCGGTGCCCCAACCTTGTGGCACCCCCGGCTTCTGTAGTGCATGTCCCATGCATGCTGTTACTGTTCGTTGATAGTACAACTTCGATATGGTTTCGCCCTGAGTCGGCAGCACGACTGCTGACATTGGCACTGACCACTGACATCTGCCCGCCCAAGGCCCAGGTCCGTAGCCGTGGGCACGGAGACGCGCCCGAGGCCAAGCAAGATGCAACCCCACGCAGACGCAGCATCAACATGATTAGGAACCGTGCTTTCGATTAAGAGTCAATATCGACATTTAGTCTTTCCTCCGAAGTCTGGAGGCGAAATGAGCCAGCCAGCCACGGCCCATGAAGCCCCATCGCCAAGGCACCCGGGACACTGTGATGATGGCGTTGCAGGACAGTACGACAAGTCTCTGTCAGGTCTGTCAGACTGACGGCCCTGCCAGCCCGCGAGCCGTCACGGACCTTGCTGTCGGTGCTGCTGGTTCCTGCTGGCGGCTCCTGCTGATCGCGACGCCGCACAGTCATCAACATACTATGCAGCCAGGGAAGCCAGCAGCCAGCTTCTTCCCCAGACCCTCACTCCTCTTCTCCAGGTTTGGGGTTCTCCAACTCTTGCCACCTCGGCGGCAGCGATGGCAAACTTTGGACACTCCAGACACTAAGGCCCATACGTGCGTACATCCGCACATACGCGTGCACATACAGTATAGGACAAGACTGTATCATACGGTCCCATACCATATCAGGCCCTACTCTAGACTATGCACCTAGAGATGCAGCAAAACAAGCCGCCGACAACCCTCGCTGGTCTGCCTATCAGCCTGCCGGACCAGTGTGACTGAGAAGCGCAAATGCAGGTGCTTGGTCCTACCGGAAAAGGCAGATTGAATAGGTCACCAAGCTTTTTTCCGCCGTTTTTCACCTCATCGCGCGAACGGGCTGGGGTAGCCCTTGCTGTCCAGCTCGGCTCTTGTCTTGGGCATGGAGCTCACCACAAGGATGCTCGTAGCTCCCGCGCCTTTGGACCTTATCGCGTGCAGCCACCACGGCCGGGCCTTGACCTTGTTGTTGTTGTTGTCGAATTTTTTTTTTTTTTTTCTTCATCCTCATCCCGTCCGCACCCGCAGGTTTCATCTCGTTCATCCCGCTCATCTCGTCCGGGCGGACTTTGACACATTGACGGCAACGGGCCAATAGGCGTCGTCTCCTTACGACAGACTGGCGTCGGCAGCACCTCGTCACATCGTCTACACAACACCAACATCCACCCGCCCACCCTTCCTTCCACGCATTGATAGCGCCCGTGGTAAGAGGCGAAAGTGCGAGCAAGGCCATAGCCGCACCGTACAACGGCACAAGTCCGCTTCTCCGCCTGGAGCAGCACCTGCAAACCGCCAGCAGCCGTTTTCTGGAATCCCTGCCGTCGTGGGCAGCGTGGGGTGGAAGAAGGGGAAGAGGGCCTTCGAGTCCAGCAGACCCAGCCGCATCCCACGTCCCACCCCATTCCCCAGCGATTGACTGTGGGCGTGTGTGGAGCTGCTGCCGTTGATCACGACTTGGCACTAGGGAGCTGCAGACCTGCACGACGTCCCGCTAGCCTCGAGGACCGTCTTCCGCTGAAACTACGACTTTCTCGGCCAGCTGCAGTCCCCAAAACGGCCACAGAAACCTTCGCCTGCATGCGCGATTTGACGTTGGAAAGCCGCCGCCGGCCGCCTTCCTGTGCGTCCCGAGGATCGAGTCGCGTGTGTCATTCTATGCACGTTGATGCTGCTCATGCAGCTGAATGACAACGACAGAGTCAGCACCACCGAAGGCTGGTGTGGAAGTGCCGATGATCCATGCCTCTTCATCTGGCTCAATACGTCATCTGCTCCGCCGATAGGCAGGGTGTCAATTGGATCCTGTCCTGCGGGCTGGCTGCACTGGCTGACACGAAGAAAGCCTCGAACAGCCTCGGGATCATGAATCCTCAACTCGCTTATTCCCACACGTCCACCGTAGGGTAGCCTGCCATGGTTTTGCGCGCGCGCGGTGCCGATCGAGCCGGGTTGCGCGGTGTGTCTGGGGAACTTTGTCGGGGGCCTTAGCGCCAGAGGTTAAAACCCATCTGCGTCCCGTGGCAGTGAACTGCTTCCGGGATGTGCGCTGACCCGACCAAATGCACGTAGTCACTAGCCACACTGAAACCGGGCCATGTAGGGTCGCGAATTGTCGCTCACCGATTTGGCATTCCCGCTATCGGACTGGTCGGCGTCGGCATCACCGTGCTTCACCACCTCTCGCCACGTCGTGAGGATCTAGCGGCGAGAATTAACGCTACCGCGCCTGATTCTGTCTATTCTCTCATGCGTCGGCCTCGTTTTCCCCACGATTGCCGCATCTGAAGGAGAGGGGGAGCAAAAAATTGGCATCGATCACAAGCGGATTGCCAGCTCAGCACATGGCGTTTCAGACAGGGTGCCCTGTCGCGATCCCAGCCTAAAACAAATAACCCTTCAGTTGGGACTGTCACGTACGCTTCCGTAGCAAGCAGTACCCTCACCTCCACCACTATAATGAACGCGAGGCAGTCTTCCCTGGGCTTTAGTCAACGACCAGAGCGGGCATCGCGCATGATGTCAAAGTCGGCCGATAATTGTCAATTAAAAGTGCCGCCGACTTGGCTGTGATCCAGACCTGACCATGGAAATCACAGACGTGCTATCTAACATTATCGAATTACCACTTCCCGTCGCAGTCAATGCAGCACCAGATCAGCACCTGCCACCCAAAGTCTAACAGAGTAACCTCCAACGCTGAACGGGCCGAGCGTCCCCAGACCCAGAGGAAAACTCTCGCCCTCGGCTGTCCATGCAACCTATTCGCTTCGCATGATCGCCATTTACCCATAGCCGCACAAGCAGGCAGATAGGACAGTGGCCGTTACTAGCGCCACCTACACTGCTAAACAAAGGCACAGGTGGCCTAACACGACTCACCGACGGGAGTTCCTTGTGCCAGCGTGGTTGCGTGGGCACCGGGCAACGACCCAGCGGCGGCGCCCCAGCCAAAACATCCGAGAATTCTCCATAGACAGGTCGGTCTGCTGGCTCGCGCACACGCCAACCGGGGCAGCGGCTGTGTGCCCTGCCCTGCCGGATGGACGCTGCCTTTTGACGGGTTGCAGCAAAGTGGTCAACGCCTCACAGACCAACGCCGCCAACGGTCCCGGCGCTCCAACACAGAGTGTACACACCTGGCGCCAGATGTCAAAGGCACAGAGGCACCGCAAAAGGGCCGTCTCCAGGGCCCCCGTCCTACCTCCTGAGTCCTGGACGATCCCCGTCAATCAGAAGAAGCGACGGAAGAACGAGTGGGTACTGGAATATATGGGGTCGCGTCGGTGCTATCGGGTCGAGCGACTGGTGCTAGGCCGTTCTGGGCCAGTGCACCCTGCCGTGCCATCGCTTGGGGTCCAACGGCGGCACTGACGGCACTCGACTTGCAGCGACCGCGAGATTCTCCGCCTAGGCAGCGAGGCGGGCTGGCAGGCTAGGCAGGCTGGCAGGGCCAACAGCTACCGCGGTCTGACTTGTCGCAGTTGCAGCCGCACTTCTTGGCCTCTCAATTACTCGCCGCGCTCGCCTCGCCAGCCTCGGTATGGCGATCCTCAGGTTAGAATTGCCGCTTCAAGACCAACGCTGTCTTGTCCTGATCGGACATTGACCGTGCCAGCATTTGTTTTGTTGGTTCGCGGATCCTGAATCCGGATCAAGCATCCCGAGCGTTGGCCGCTTACTGTGTATTATATCACGCTCTGTTATTTGGCATATTCCGCCAGTCTGCTGCGAGTCCTACGCTGGCGCAATTTCCCATGCAGCGATTAAAATGTCGCAGCATACAAAACCACCCTGCCTGTCGCCGCTTGTTGCACCGGTTGCAGCCTCTTGACTCGCCTCCGCGGGAGGTGACCTCGATGCAATCGGATCAATCACAACGGGCCCTGTTCGTGAAAACGGGTCTCGATGGAGCCGCAGGACCCCTTGCGCCCTAGGCTGGCCTTGGGGGCTGCCCCGATTGGACCTGCATTAGCAAATGATGGTCACCACTTATCGCAGGTCACCCTGCCCTGCCATTTGCTGGGTGAGGCTGACTGTGGGCTTGACTCTTGCTTCCTCGGGTATTATTCCTGTGATCCACACGGACCATTGCAGGCGGAAGGAATTGTTATTCACTGTGCTTGGTTTGCAGGCTTGCTAGTGCAGCACTGGATCAACGCGGCTGGTACCTTAATGAGTCTCGGTTCCTAACCCAGGGCGCTGGAAGGAAGCTTATGAGCATGTGTCGCGTGTTATGCTGTGCTCATTTCCGGAGGCGCGAGCTGCTCCTGTGGGTTCCAAGGAAAACCTGCCAGGGGAAATTTGCGGCCCCAGCTCGCGATGCTGGTTTTGATGTCATCGCCATGACCAAAACAAAAAGCTGTTGCCCCGACAAAGAGCCGGGATTGAACGACTCAAAATGGGAAAGCACCGTGGTCCATGACTTCGTGGTTCGCTTGTCCATGACTCCCGCTGATGCCCACGTTACCCGTTACGTCTTTCTGTTATTACGAAACACCAATTCCCTGAATCAAGATGGGCTGGACTCTTACCTTTATTGAGATTGCAACCCTACCTGCCGTGCGCAAGGTGACGGGCCGGGGCTGAAACAGCCACTGGCCGTGAAACGAAAGCTTAGCCCGCGGTATACTTGACGCCTGTTGGATCCTCAACAGTCAATCACCACCGGAAAAGTCAAAATCCTCAACGGGACTGGGTGCCGCCTCGCTACGCCAGCCACCTTGTTTCCCCTTCGATACCAATACGACATTAGACGCAGAAGGAGGGCCGGGCCAGGAACACAAGACCGAGTGGTCACACTTCTAGGCCCACAGGATTGCTCGCCGATATTTCGCGCTGTGGGGGCAACTGCATCCTGGAGAGCGGCTGAACATTGAGTTTTGCTCGTGTCAGTCTTGTCGACCGTGGCAAATGGACCATTTCGCCATTAAGGTTTCTTCCCGCTGGCACGTCTCCCAGTCTTTACTTGGTTCAGAGCGGCCCGTTTGGAGCAATCTCGAAAAACGCATTGCCACGCCCGAATTCACAACCAAACCAAAGTCTCATCATGGCTGCGGAAAAAAGCCAAGTCTCAGCCTTGCATATCCTATGAGGTCGGATTTGGGCTCAGTCCGTGGGCCGTTCTCGACCTAGGCCGGCTACTTTTCATGCGGGCATAAATGTTTCTCTCTGCCTGAGACGAACACCGTCCCCCGTGTTTACCATGCACGGCAGGAAACGGGGCGGTGCGTCCCATGCTCGCAGCCTCTTGGGACTTTGGACGATCTTGGCCTGTCCCCTTGACAGCGGCTGTTTCAGGACGTCGCCTTCCTGCAACGATGGACAAAGTGCCGCTTAGGTCAGCTCGGCGGGCTTGTTTTGACGACATGACGCAGCATTCTTTATTGCTGCTCGAACTCGCCGGCGGAAAGCCTTTCTGAGTTAGGCCTCGCGTGCAGGTCGCTGGTGGGCTCGCCTACGCTCTGACCGCGATCCTCTACATCCCACTCATACCTATCAACTGTACGAACGGGAGTATATGGATTTGGACCGGAACAGGGTCGGAAGACAGCAACGACCGGCCAAGTGGTCGAGTTCGTGATGGACTGGTGCAAAATCTGCCGGCGCATTCTGGCGCGTGCACAGAAGTTGCCCCCGAGAGCATCCGCTTCTTCGATGGCGACGCGGGGGGAACGCTACGTTACGAGAAGCCGGCTCTCGAGACGCCAGGCGGTCCGGGTCGAGGTTTTCTTATTCCAGCCTTACGAGCGCCCAGACCATCCACCCACGGGGGCGATGCGAACCGCCAATTTGGCCTGTGTCACCAGTGTGGCTTGATCGTGCGGGCTCAGGTAGCAGGTCGCTAGCCCCGTCACCAGAACGCCGATACTGCTCGTGTGGATTCCAGTGCGCCGGGTCCTGTCTACCGCAGGCCGCCGTCGACCTGGTACAAGGCTAGCGGCCGCAGTTTCTTTGTCACGTTCCTCACAGTGTGAGTTGTCAATCGCATGATGGAATGCATGAGATATGAATGCCACGTGCGGGTGTTGATCGCTCGCCGGCCGTGTCTTAGGACTGGAAACTTCTGGTCCATTCGTTGTGGCCCTCGCCGGGAGTTGCCCCGTGTTACGGCTTGCTGTGTCATTCAGTGTTGTTTGCTTTTCTTGTACGGGGTGCTTTTTCTTGATGCCTGGGTTTGGATTGCAACTTCTTCCTGCGAGCATGATCGTCACGATGAGGAATGTTATAACGGAGCTTATGACCTATCTATCACCAGATAACCAGGTGTCATGGTATGGTTTTTTGGGTGGGCATTCGTGGATCGATTAATTACAACCGTAGAACGACTCTTGCAACATCGGTCTATGACGGCTCCAGAGGCATCCACGGATGAAGCTAAGGATGTCACCTAGCAACTGTGAGAATGGGACAGGCGGGTAGTCAAATCATACTGCAGTTACAGGACTCCTTGAGGGACTCGCGCTCGGCTCTGTAGTAAAGGCGAAGGCCCCTCTGCGGCCTCTCCTGTTCTCCGGACATGCCGACATCCAAAGGCGCTCGGGCACCCTTTCTAGGGCTGATGAACAAATTACCGAGGGTTTTTCCCATAGTACCGGCTCTGCTATACTTATTATGATATATATTCTTCAGGATATTTTAACCTATGTGACATCGATCTTGATTGCTGGTCGTGAGGATCAAGAAACCCTATACATTGCGCAAGATGCCCCATCTTGACTCTGTCTGATACTTGACGTTGTATACAACTTGGGAGTGTCCCATCTTATTTCCACAGGAATTGGTCAGTGTCATATTGTTGAGCATGGAGATTCGGCTGAGACCTAGATGAGCCACTAACTACCGTCCATATCGGATCACTCGACTTTCGTGTAGTGAAGGCTGAGGCAGCGCCCACGAGAGGCTCTCTATGTCTCGAGCCAAGTTGCTCTTAATCTGTGTGGCCTCTGAGCAACACTCAAACACATCGCAAGAACCTCCACAATTTCATGTCGTTGAGCATGTCACTAGACCTCGAGCTTTGGAGTCGAGGGCAGGAGCGATAAACCCCACGCTTCGTTTGCCTTCGCACAACATCTTCTTGTCTGTCCATACGCGGTGCCCTGAACTGGTGGCTTGCACTCGTGCAGACCTTCATGGTGACCCAAAGTATCTGGCCAGTGACATGGAGTGATCACGTATTAGGACGTGTTCGTGACGGGCCAGCTACACCTACTAGGAGACATCGCGAGTTAACTGTCAACGATATGACCTCACTCCGAAAGCAGTCACGCCTGCCTCATCCTGACATGGCTTGAGCATTTGGTCACCCCGGGCGGTGAATCAGCATCGGACACGGGGACAAAATAGACGGTGTGTCGCGATCAAATGCTTGAAAGCAGACTGCTGCCCTTATGCAAACTAGCGACTGAACGTAGAGACAAAAATCAACAGAGGAATCCATCGCTTCTTTCCGATAGGACAAAATGAAGGATGACAAGGAAAATAGTCTTCAGGCGACTGAGGTCGAGAATGTTCCTCAGCAACCCACAAAGACTTGCCGTTGGGACAGGTTTCTCCATTGGTTCCGAAGAAGGCCCCGCGAGGGAGAAGGAGAGGAAGGCGCTCGTGGCCACGATGGACACGGTGGGAAGGCCTCACCGGAGAGGAGTCTCTCCAACGACCACCAGACCAATGTGCGGGCGGATGAAACGCCGGATTCCGTCTCGTACGTCGGGTGGTGGTCTGGTTTGCTCTAGGGGATTCATAACAACTGTAAATGTGATCATATACGGTACACATGGTGGTTTGATCTATGTATCGTGGCTGTCGACGTCTGTAAGCTAAGGTAGAACTTTAAAAGCAACATATTCATTCTACCTCTTTGACACTCGATCCCGTCGTATGGCGAACTGTGTGAACTGTTCACCTATCCTCGTGATTTCCCACTGCTTTCCCAATTGTTCTGTCATAAAGTTGAGAGACCTAACTCGTCGGCACATTGTGTTTCATGCCCGGGCAACTGCTGGTCTTCCAAGCCATCATCAAGCCAGAGGTCCCGTGGCATGAAAGCATTCGACTTCACAAACAAGTTCATTTTATTTCTGTGCTACCTAGAGTCAGCCCGGTATTGTCCATGCTCGTTGCACTTCTGGAATATCTGCTAGAATGGCATTTTCGAAAGGAAATGTGCATCTCTTCGAGCATGCTGAGGGGGTTTCTCATTGCAGAACGGGCTAGAAGACGAATCAACGCTTGTGGCTACTTCTGATTTATCATCAAGTGCAGGACACTCTACATACATCACCATGTCGCGAGGCTTTGCCATGGCTGAGCGGAAGGCTCCTAGGCAATTCATCCGGGAAACCATGGCAACCAGTCGAGTCGAACGGGAACGGGAGAAGGGCACCAAGAAGTGAAATTATGGAGTGCATGATTTGATCGAAAACGACTTTCGTCTTCTCGTTACTAGTAATCCTGTAACCGCAGCTCGTGGTCTTCCCTGGCAACATGGACCGAGCACTATCTCTGAGAACCAGGCTCGGTTCGATTGATCCCCTTCGCAATCAACAACACAACGTGAACAGGCGCCCCATAAGTCTGTCATAAACCGTGTCCATCCCAAACGCCATTACTGGAGACCGTCTCCGATGCAGTATGCATTATGTCAGTTGATGCGGGTGCTGAACTGGGCAAATCAGACATTCCCTCCCCTTGTAAACCATTCACTGTCGTCTCTGGTTGAAGCATCTCTGCGAATTATTCAGCTGATGAGCCTGCAGGACATTTTCCTGGGGAGGGCCTCACCATCATAATCACAAAGCGTCCTAGCTATTGATGTGATCTGTCTACGTTCTTTTCTCGGTTGAGGCAGTCCAGTGTAGCGCGACGCATGACGCTCACACAGAGCGCCTTAGAGATGAATAGAAATCTCTTGTCGCTAATGCACCACCTGAGGACGAACCAGGTCCTGTCGACTGTGATCCTCCTTGGTCCTAGTAAGGAGGATTGGTGGTCGCATCGGGGGCTGGGAACGCAAAGCCGGGTGGGAAGACGGGGAAGCCGTTCGAGTCGGTGGAAATGCCATATGGAAACCCGGGAACAACTGGCTCGGTGGCGGGTGCGTTGTGATTGTTGGCCGGGCGGTCTTCATCGCGGTGTCGATGGTCGCCTCTTCCACCCCCGCGTCTGCCATGGCGACCGCCACGCTCGGGGCGGTCGTCATTGTCGCGATGAGAGGATTTAGGGCCATGGCTACCGCCCTTGTCCGTCTGCATGCGTCTGCTGATGGCTTTGGATGACACGCCGGCGCCTATCTCGATATCTGGCTCCTCGACGACCATGCCCTGGGCGATTGGCTGGCCACCACTTCCACCATACGGCGCTGTGAGCATCCACTTGCGATCCGCCTCGGTGAGCTTGTGGATAGGGATAACACTGATCCCAGTCTGGTAGTCGCTGCAGTCACGAGGTCCAAAGCCGACGCCCCAACGAGTGCGCAATTGTGCATCTGGGCTGCGACCTTGGTCCATCGCCTCCTTGGCGTTGACAGCGTCTTTACGACTATACATCTTGACGAAGGCATGACGCTTCTCCTTGTTTACGATGCACGTCTGGACGGTACCAAAGCCATTGAAGATGTTCCGCAGCTCGTTTTCAGAGCAGTTCACGCCGCCGACAAAGAGAGTGCGGCTCAGCACCTTGATGCACCCGCTGGGCAGGCTTGGATCGTGCTCTATCCACTTTTGCTGCTGGAAGGCAGGCATTTCATCCCGTCGAGGGCTGTTGTGGCCTTGACGTCCTGGAGGAGACCGTTGCCGGTACTGACGACTGCGGTCACGATCATCGTAGCGATCACGCGGTGGAGAATTACGCCCATAGTCCCCAAAGCGCCGATCATCACGACCACGGGGAGAGTCACGATGCTCCCAGTGTCTTCCCGGAGATCGCGAACGAGACCTTCCATGGGTTCTATTCGTGGGAGATCTAGGAGCACGAGCGTCATCAGGCCTCGGAGGTGCCCAGCCGTTTGTGCCATTGGGGGGCAGCGGGTAGGAGCCTTGACTCGGCTGAGATACTTGAGGGGCAGCGGCGGGAGTGTTGGACCCGAGGGCCTTCACGACAGCAGCAATTTGGTCTGCGGGCACTCCCTTTTGGATTAACTGCTGGATGAGGGCCACCTGCAATGCGGTCGGGTCAGTGGCGCCCGGCTGCGGCGCAGGGGCGGCGGCTTGCATTCCATTCAAGATGCCCGCCATACCATTCTGAGCGCCATAGTTGGGCACCTGCGCAGGCTGAGGCTGAGCCGGAGGCTGAGGTGCCATGAATGGCAGCGCAGGCGGATTTACAGGCGGAGCGGTAGGAGGCTGTGATGTTGGCAGGAAGGGCATGCCCTGCTGTAGAGAGTTCATGAAGGACGGGGGAGCTGCAGGGTTACTGGGGGGTCCGGCGGCGGGAAACGCAGTAGAGACCGGAGCTGGTGCCGGAGCAGAGGTGGCCGGAGTCTTCTGAGGATTGTTGGCATTCTGGCGGGCGATGTTCGCCAGAGTTTCCATGATGTTGGCTGGAACTGCCGGTGGGGCTGGGGTTGGCCGGTTGCTGAGCGAGTGCAGCGTGTTGGCTGGTGGGCTGCCTGGAGGAGTCGTAGATTGGTCTACGTTGGAACAACAGGTTAGACATTCTGCGGCGCGAACCATGACACACGAAGCCTCCAGGAGGCTTATTGAGGGACAGGAGGGCCGGAAGGCCAGACTTGATGGGTGGGTGACCTACTGTTCAGCTTGTCTTTGAAGCCCTCGATCATCTTGCCAGGGAAGGTCTGTCCCTTCTCCCAGATGTCGACCAGCTTTCTGATCTTCTCCTACGCGCGCAAACACTAGTAAGTCTCTATACACCAGAAGGGAGCGTTGAGAAGTGCCCATGAGGCTTGAGGTTTACGGGTCGCGATGCCTCACTACAACCATGCAGCTTCTCCGGATTGCCTCGAGCGGGAATGCTCGCGATGGATACAGGACTTACCCTCTGATCCTGTGGGGCGGAGGAAGTAATATCGTTCATCAGGACTGGCATGAGTTCCGTCACCCTGTTGACGCCGGCGGCGAAGCTGCCATCTGGGGCGGAGCTGCCGACGGGCTGGCCCTGCTGTTTGGCCTGTTCCAACCATTTGCGGGTTACAGAGTCTACAACGTAGAGGACACCAAGCTTATGTGTACTGGGGGGCTTTCTTGAAGTGGGTGTAGATCTTCTGAACGAGAACTGACTCGGACTATGCGCGTTCTTGTTAGTATGCCATAACGCGTGCAGGATAACTGCATGTGCTCGAGCTCGGGCTGCAGTGGTGCTGGGTCACTATGGGAGGCAGCATTCGTACCTGAACGTTGGCGATGCAGAGACTGGTCAAATGGCTGATCTTGGATCCAGAGACGCCGGGAGGCTTGAGGCCAAGCATGGCCTGGAGGCTGTTCTCCAGGTCTGCTACGGCGGACGACATTGTGCTTGATTTCCGAAGTGCTCAGCTGAGAGACAGATGGCCACCCAAATATTGTAATACGATCGGATCTCAACAACAGACCTCTGGCCCGTCCGACGTCGTCACTCTGAATACGATGTTCACCAGTGCCTCGATCGCTTGCGGGCGACGACACGATAGTTTGGAGTAGCGACGACACAATCGCGAGATACGGTATGCGTCTTCCTCAGGCAACGGTCAAAGTGAATCGACCCCGATCTCCCCGACGGCTCGCAAACCAGAGCGAAGGCTACGCAGGCACAGACAGGCAAGGCCACCTGAACCTGGGTGGAATGATCTGTAGATGTTTTGCGTCCGACGCGTGCTTTCTTGACTTGTCTGGTCCGACTTGATTGACAGCCACAAGTTACCAGGAAGCACAGCAGTGTACGGCGGTCAGAGTGGTCAAAGGGGGCCCGTTCAGTCACTCAAGACAACCAGACAGACCGACGCCAAAGCCTACAAAGCTTTCCACTGCGCAGGCAGGCCACAAAATCTAGCGAGGCCGACGTGTGGCGGGACGAGGGCAGGACCGAAGTCAAAGTCGGCGCCAAAGCTTTACGTAAGGGGTCCAGGAGTGGCGACGAAGATGTCGAGATTACTGCAGATACGATAAAGTGCCCCAGGGCAGTGGAAGATTGGTTGATGAAGAGATGGATGCCGACGACAAGAGTGATGGTGTTGTTTGGTGTGGCTGTTGGATCTCGTCGTGGTGTTGGCGAGGATGTTTGGGAGAAAGAGATTTCAAGCGTCAGGCAGGAGTGTGGTGCGAATGTCTGGTGGGATCTTGGTCTGATAAAAGAGGGGGTGGGGCCAGTTCTGATTAGCGCCGAAGCAGTGGCACCAAGTAGGAACCTGTGACTGCCACGCCCATGCCATGCCACGCTACGCTGCAATGGATGCAGGCTTCGCTTCTGGCTGTCTGGGGCCGGTCGGATGGGCGGACTGGGCGAATGGGAGTGCTGATTGGAGACTGCTCAGTTGGATTGTTGACGTTTATTAGTAACTTTGCCTTCAAAAGTTACTATCAATCGAATGGGACCGCAGGTGACCTGTCATTCATAGAAGAGTGTTTTGGTAGCGACGCCAACAATGAATGGATTCTCATAACCAGTGCTGCTCGTTCTAAAATACGTAGTATTCCACATTGGTTTCCAGGACCTTGGCCCAGAGCTGAACGCCTGGACAGTGATCCGTCATTATTACAGTATTACTCGCCATTCACTGTCTACATGAAGAGCATACAGAGATCACCCATATCGATGCTCGATGCGTGACCTGAGCAGTAGCGCATCAAGCGGGATAAAGTCCTCCAAAATTGACTGTCTCCAGTCGCTTGCAGGAGGACAACCCTGACAAATGAGCAAAGAAAGCCACAGGTGTCTCATAATTGATAGGTCAAATTGGTGACAGCGAGCAGTTGCTGTGAGCCTCAGCTGTGCGGTGGCAGCGGCGGCGGCAGCAGCAGCAGCAGCAGCGGGCGACCTCGGAATCGCGAATGCCACCTACCACCTGGGCAATCGGGCCTTGCTGGGACCTTCGATCCCGAAACGTAATCGCCGTTGACGAGACGACCAGGGCCCGTGTCGAGTGAGCCTTTTTTTTTTTTTTTCTTCTCAGCCTGCCAGCTCTCATTGCCTACACGGTACCTTGCGCTGCCAGGGCAGGTCTGGTCGAGTTCCCGATAATTCTCATGCTGATGTGAGAAGACACGCCGCCGGTGGATAATCGAGTCTAATAAATTCACAGAATGCGCCCCGGAGTCCGGAGGGAGAAGAAAGGGACAAGCTTCGGAGCTGACGTCAATCTGCGAAAACGCGCTGGGCCCAGAATATTTTCCCCGTTGTCACTTTCCTGGGGAGGCCGATGCAGGTACTGTACATAGGGGAGCTAGCCTCGCTGGTAGAGAGGGACGATGCACCGCCTGCAGCTCCCGTCCCAAGCACGTAGAAGCATCACTGAGATGGGAGGTTCAAGCGGACCTAAAAATGAGGCAATCGAGATGCCTAAGTAGTCATGTCCATGTTCGTCATGCCCGCGTGTCAGTCACCGTCAAAGACGACACGTTGAACAGCTCAAGGCCGAGGTGCGAGCTTTGAAACTGGGCTGTGAGCCTCCTCCGTGCACGTAGTTGCTTGCCGTACCGGGCCTACCAGGTGGCCCGCCGCTTTGATACGCCACAGTACCTCGCAGCCGTACCTGTACATGGGAGCGCTGCGTCGAGCTGCACCCCCAACCAATTCGCATCGGTTATCTCTGGAGTCCACCATCCATCCGCTCTTCCGAATTTTGCGCCGCCCTTGCGTTCTTTTCTCTGGCCTTTTTTAACCCCGACAACTTACTTCTGCTTTCTTCCTCCAGTCCATCTATCAGCCTCCCTCTGCCTGTGCCTCTGCCTGTGCATCTGCATCCACAATGTCTGCCGCCATGCGCCTCGGTTCTTCCGCCCTGAGAACTTCTCTCAGGGCTCCTGCTTTCTCGGCCGGAACCACCTCCTTCCAAGCTATCCGATGCTACTCCGCTAAGACCCAGGTACGTCGCCGCCATTGGGAGCTACCGAGCAGCTCCAAACCCGCGCGTCCGCCGTGACGAGCAGTCCGGACTCGGGCGACATATGCTTGGCCTGTCTTGCTAACACATCGCCCTCCTGCCAGACCCTCAAGGAGCGCTTCGCCGAGCTCCTGCCCGAGAAGATCGAGGAGATCAAGACCCTCCGAAAGTCAGTCATGACAAACCCGCCTGTTCGGCCCCATTTCGCGCGCAACTAGGAGGATCCATGGCTGCTGACACGGGCACGCACATCTAGGGAACATGGCTCCAAGGTCGTCGACAAGGTCACCCTCGACCAGGTCTACGGTGGTGCTCGTGGCATCAAGTCCCTCGTCTGGGAGGGTTCCGTTCTCGACTCCGAGGAGGGTATTCGCTTCCGTGGCAAGACCATCCCCGAGTGCCAGGAGCTTCTCCCCAAAGCCCCCGGCGGCAACGAGCCCCTGCCTGAAGGTGAGTTCGGTCCCTCGCATCCGCGCGCGTTTTCTACGAGTGTGCCCTAACATTTCAGGTCTCTTCTGGCTGCTCCTGACCGGCGAGGTCCCCACCGAGCAGCAGGTCCGCGACCTGTCCGCCGAGTGGGCCGCGCGATCCGATGTGCCCAAGTTCATCGAGGAGCTCATCGACCGCTGCCCCTCCGACCTGCACCCCATGGCCCAGCTGTCCCTCGCCGTCACTGCCCTCGAGCACACCTCCTCGTTCGCTAAGGCCTACGCCAAGGGTATCAACAAGAAGGAGTACTGGGGACACACCTTCGAGGACTCCATGGACCTGATCGCCAAGCTGCCCACCATTGCCGCCCGCATCTACCAGAACGTCTTCAAGGGAGGCAAGGTCGCCCCTGTCCAGAAGGACAAGGATTACTCCTTCAACTTCGCCAACCAGCTCGGCTTCGGCGAGAACAAGGACTTCATCGAGCTGCTGCGTCTCTACCTGACCATCCACACCGACCACGAGGGTGGTAACGTCTCCGCCCACACCACCCACCTGGTCGGATCCGCCCTCAGCTCGCCGTTCCTGTCCGTCTCCGCCGGTCTCCAGGGTCTTGCCGGCCCCCTACACGGCCTTGCCAACCAGGAGGTACTGAACTGGCTCGTTGAGATGAAGAAGGCCGTTGGCAATGACCTGTCCGACAAGGCCATAACCGACTACCTGTGGTCCACCCTGAACTCGGGCCGTGTCGTTCCCGGCTACGGCCACGCCGTGCTCCGCAAGACTGACCCCCGTTACATGGCCCAGCGCAAGTTCGCCCAGGAGAAGATGCCCAACGACCCCATGTTCCAGCTGGTCAGCCAGGTCTACAAGATCGCCCCCGGCGTCCTGACCGAGCACGGAAAGACCAAGAACCCCTACCCCAACGTTGATGCCCACTCTGGCGTCCTCCTGCAGTACTACGGCCTGACCGAGGCCAACTACTACACCGTGCTGTTCGGTGTCTCGCGTGCCATTGGTGTCCTGCCCCAGCTGATCATCGACCGTGCCGTTGGCGCCCCCATCGAGAGGTAAGCTATTCCTAGTGTTGAAAATAAGCCCGCGTGGCTGGCCTGTACCTGATTGCTGACGCGCGCACGCCGCAGGCCCAAGTCCTTCTCCACCGAGAAGTGGATCGAGATCACGAAGAAGCTGTAATGAGTTCAGAGGCATTTACTTGTGTGGATTGATACCGGCATTTTTGGAAGACCAGGATGATTAAAGAATTTCACAGACTGGGCGTGTTATATACAGGGCACGAGGAAACAAGACGGTAGACCAAAAGGGATGCGTTTGCGAGTGATATGACGACTGGGGAGGTAGAAGCAAGGAGCGATACCCCATGCCTGGCGCTTGTATACTACATTATGTATCCCAAAATTCTGTACGATGTGAACGAGCATTCGGATCCAGCGAGCCTGGTGTCATCAGCATCTGATGTTCTGTGATGTTTGTTTCCCCTTGGACGGCCATTGGCCATAGGGTTATTTGAAGTTGTACAACCTGCACCCGGCAACATGCACCGTGTGCGACGACCGTTGCTACTACCTCGACCGAGCATTGGCGCTGACAAGCTGACTTAAGGTGGGTATTACTCGGGCTTTCAGCCGGTGGCTTTGGGGGCTCGTATCTCTGATGCACCTGTGGAAGCCCGAAACCGCCCGTGCCAAGCCTCCCTACCGAGCTGCCGAGAAGGAGACGAAGAGGTAAACGAGAATTGAAAAAGGAACAGCACGTTTCGCGGACCGGGACAAAAAGTCAATCGAACCGACCCCTGACAGCCGAAGGCTCAACTGGCCGTCGAAATTTGAGCGTTGGCCCGTTGGGAAACGTGGGGCTCCATTGTTGAGGGCGTTGAGTGTGGGAAGCTCCGAGGCGGCGCTACCAAAAGATACCTGGTCCCTGCGCGCTGGCCGTGTGTTGGTCCGAGGTACCTTCTGCTGACCTGCCGTCGGAGCTGCTCTGCAGAAACCCGAGCAGGAAGCACGTTCAGGGCCCTGCGCCTGTGTGTGGTGTGCCGTTCTGGGTACCGTGATGCGCAGGGTACCCAGGTACCCGAGCAGCTCACGCCCGCTGATCGCCAATTGTTTGGAGCTGATTGAGGGAGTTGAATGCCCGAGAGAGAGATGCCAACCTGCCCGCCCTGCCCGCCCTGCCTGCCCTTTCTTTGTCTGTCCGCCGTCCGCAGCTGAGATTCCAAACCAGCCAGATCTCCTATTCATCCTTCCATCTCACTGCATCGTCGAATAAGTATACTGTCAATCCAGCCCATCGTCAAACAACGATAGCAACAGCAAGAACAGCTACGAGAACGTTGGAAAGCCCAGAGTACTCCACAAATGTAAGTGCAGCTCTGCTCCCGCCTGCCTTGCCCGCTGGGGGACGGAGCTCTCCCCCCCAGACCATCAGCGGCGGACGTGGGGGAAGCTCCCCCAAGCTGGCGCACTCCGGCGAATAGCACCCGCACACCGAAGAGTAGCCGACAGAACTCGACTGACATGTGCGGGTTTGCAGATCTGATCCAAGAGAACACTTCCCCAAATTCCTCCAGAAACCCTTCATTCATTCCCTGCAGTCTGCAGTGCAACGAAAGGTCAAATTCGGAGCCTGAAATCTGTTTCTCGTCCAGAGAGTAAACCACTCTTAGTCTCTGGTATGCTTCTTCAGCCCCGACTGCCTCATCGCGCACATCCCTTCCAATACCCCAGGTCTCTCTAGTTAGTACACGCCATTCTAACCTGTGCGACCTCCGGACAGCATAGCCGAGTCCGTCTGATCCTCGACGTAGACAAATCAGCCGCGAAGAAGCACACTGTCTCCCTTGGTCAGGGCCCCTTCCCGTTAAACACCCGCCATCGTCATGTCCGCCACCGCCACCACCGCCGTGCCCACCCCGGCCTCGGGGAAGACCCTGGAGAAGAAGCCCATCAAGTTCTCCAACCTGCTCCTCGGAGCCGGTCTGAACATGTTCGAGGTCACCACCCTCGGCCAGCCCCTCGAGGTCGTCAAGACCACCATGGCCGCCCACCGCAGTGACGGCTTCACGAGCGCCCTGGGACGCGTCTGGTCCCGCGGTGGTGTCCTGGGCTTCTACCAGGGTCTCATCCCCTGGGCCTGGATCGAGGCTTCCACCAAGGGCGCCGTGCTCCTCTTCGTCGCCTCCGAGGCCGAGTACTACGCCCGCGCGGCTGGCGCCTCCGAGTTCGTCGGCGGCATCACGGGCGGTGTGACGGGCGGTGTGGCTCAGGCCTACGCCACCATGGGCTTCTGCACCTGCATGAAGACGGTCGAGATCACCAAGCACAAGGTTGTCGAGGGCGGCGGCAAGCCCCCCTCCACCTGGGCCACCTTCGCCGACATCTACCGCCGTGAAGGCATCAGGGGCATCAACAAGGGCGTCAACGCCGTCGCCATCCGCCAGATGACCAACTGGGGCTCCCGCTTCGGCCTGTCCCGCCTGTGCGAGACCGGCATCCGCAACGTCACCGGCAAGCAGGACGGCCAGAAGCTGAGCCCCTGGGAGAAGATCGTCGCGTCCGGCCTGGGCGGTGGCCTCTCTGCGTGGAACCAGCCCATCGAGGTCATCCGCGTTGAGATGCAGAGCAAGAAGGAGGACCCCAACCGCCCCAAGAAGATGACGGTCGGCAACACCTTCCGGTACATCTACAACACCAACGGCCTTAAGGGCCTGTACCGCGGTGTCGCGCCCCGTATCGGCCTGGGCATGTGGCAGACCATCTGCATGGTCGCGCTCGGTGACATGTAAGTTTAAGCAGCAACAACACCCCCCCCCCCCATACCAATATCCCCAACGTATCATGTTCGGATCGCGGACTAACGCTCATTCGTCCAACTACAGGGCAAAGCAGGCTGTCGAGCGGGTGACTGGCGAGGCGGTCACGGCAAAGCATTAGAGCGGCAGGCGTTAACAGGGTGAACATTCCGGGCTGGTTCACGAAACAACTTTACGCTTCTCGAGACGATGGTATGAAGAGAGATAAAAAGGGAAGACAAGAGGATTATGTGTGCTTTTTGTGGCCGACATTTTCTTGATTTCCGAGTATTGAGATGGTTTCTTTTTAATCTTTGGTCTGCACCGCGTCAGCATCCAGTATCATGAGATAGACAGGGCGGGCGTTCCGAGCTTGAGCTACAGTTGCATGCATATAAAGAGATATGTCGATGCAGCATGCACTTGTTGCCTAGTGATTGATCATTTCATGTTGTGGTAATGTCGCCTGGTCTGTAACAAGCTGATATGCTGGATAGACTGTGTCTACCAGCGTTTGGATCCTCGTCTGTATGCTTTTGGGGCACACCCAATAAGTATACGTTGTCCCAGACCCAAAGGTGACGGTGTATATGATTTCCACGACCACATACGCGTACAATTCAGTTGTCTATCCTCACAGCCTCGGTACCACCCTCCCCTTGTCGACTTCACATGGTTCGGTCCTTCAACGATTGATATCAACCGTGTGCGTCGCTACTGTCTCTGTGGACAAGGTGTTCCGCAGATCCACATCTTTGATTCGAGCTACATAGGTTTATTTACAGTGTGTGAAGGAAAGCGGAAAAGAAATATTGACCTCAGACTGTGCCAACGATCCCACTGTTTTTGACAGTGGACCACACAGGCTAAACGAAGAAGAGCCCCTTTGCAATACCGTGACGCCGACACATGGGGCAGGACAAGATCCCATTCTGGAGCGCCTCGCTCCGATGCAGACTACGATCAAGCATGTAAGTGCTTTGTCTCGCCTTGCCCCGCCTCTCCTGACGGTTACGTCGTGCGCGGGCGCAACAAGTTGGCTGGAGGCACGAACGCAATAATTTTTTTTTCAGAAGCCCATGCCGTCGTCTTCCTCCTTCTTCCGGTCGACGACACCCTTCTTGAGGTTCTCCTCGACCTCATCAATATACCCGAGCCCACAGTACTCCACGCCATCGCGAAGCTCCTGCAAAGGGACGCGGTCTCTTTCGAGTGCCTCCCGGGTCTCGAGGCTCAGCCCTTCAAAGTCCAGGTCAAGCTTGCGGTTCTCCTCGTGCCGCCTCGCCACCTCGTCCGCCTGTAGCTTTTCTCCATCAACATCCATGTGGTCGGCGTCCTCGCCGGAGAGGCCAATCCTCTTCACACGCCTGGTGCGGATGGGGGCCTTGGCGAACAGCTTGGAATTGATCTGCTGCTTGCTCTCAACGTACGCCATAAGTTCTCTCGTCGGGTCGTACTCGGCGTGTGCCTCACGTTGAAACAGCCCCGTGTCTGCGTAGTTGACGTCCTGGACCATTCCCACGGTGGGATCTCCGCTGAACTTCAGCTGCCGCGCGGTGACATAGGCGCGGCCCGGATCATAGCTAGTCTCCCGTCTTTGGAGGAGCTGCGGCGGAGGTGGCGGCTCGGGGTGCGGCGTGATGGGCGTTGGTCTGCGCCGGGTCGTCGCGCCCAGCCCCGGAGGGCCAGGCAGGCTGACAAACGACGGGGGTTTCTCCTCGTCTTCGCCGACAGACAAGATGAAGACGCGCCCGCTTGCATCGCCGATCACGAGTTTTGAGTAGTCGGGCGAGAATGCGCCGTGTGAGATCTGGGCCGGTGCCTCGAGGATGACTCTGCCTTTGGCTTCTTTTCCTCGGATGTTCCAAACCTTGACTACTCCATCCGAAGACCCCGTGTAAAACCGATCCATCGACGCCGCCCAAGCTGTGAATTTCACGCCGGTATCGTCTTCGTTATCACCCACAGTGATGCCCTCTAAAGGCGGTCCGTGAGCGAGCACATGAATAGGTCTCCTTAGTAGACTCTCTGGCTGTGCTGAGTCCCACACATAGGTCTTGCCATCCGTACAACCGGCCGTGATGTAGAAGAACGCAGGGCTATTCGGCATGATGGTAAGCTCGTTGATATCGTGAGCGGTGCAATCGAAGGACTTCAAGAACTTGAATTGAACATCGTATCCAGACGTCTTGTCTCTAACAAAGATCCTGACTTGTGTTCGAATATCGGTATCGAATTCGCCTGCCGGTGATGACGCCGCAATGAACTCGGGCCGATACGGGTGCCACTGCACCTCAAAGACATTTTGGGAATTTGCACCCGGAATGCGAACCGCCTGTCCCGTGATGCTATCCCACAGACACAGCTCGCCGGTGTTCAGGCGATCCTCGGGGATATCGTTTTCATCGTCTGTAAGACTACGCGGGGAGAAGCCAACCAGCAAAAGATGACGGACGCTCTCCTCGACGCCCCACTTCATCGTCGACGGGAAGTATGTCCACTTGGTTGAGAAACTTCCATCTGCGTCGGGTACCCTAGTAGCCGAGAATGATGCATATGGACTGTTTGAAATATTCTCTGGGTTGATAGTGTAGATTCTGACAGCCTCAGTCGGCACGTCGGCAGCAGTGGCTACTAAACCCGTTGGATGTGCCAGTTGGGAGGCTTGGACGAAGTTGACGAAGCCATTGTGCATCCAGGTGCCAACACATCGCATCGAGAGCCCTGACTTGTCGACTTGCCAGATCTTGGCGCTCCGATCGAAACCAGAGGTGTACGTCCGGTCGTGTATTGGATCGTGGTCTGACGAGACAACAGAGGTGTAAAGCCATGGGTCTTGAGACTCGCGCATCTCATCTGTTGAGTTCTCGCCCTTCTCGACAATCGGACGAGGAATGCGGTGGTTGGAATAAGACTTCAGCTTAGTGAGCGCCGGAGCAACCGAGCCTAGCAGAAGGTTTCCAGGCTTATTATACTGCTGGTTGTGCGAGTCCATATGCGCCGTGGTACCGGCGATATACGCAGAGCTGGATACCCAGCTGACTGCAGAGATATCCCCAGCGCAGTTGGTGAACTCTGACCGGAGCTCGAGACCGTCTTCAAGACTTTTGCGGAACTCATTTGTGAGGTCTCTCATTCGAGTTGTTCTGAAGCGGTTTCCGGTGACCTCCCGCGCCATGAGAAGCGAAGAAAGGCGGCTATCGCGCAGGGCTTCGCTGCGCTTGTCAAAGACATCTTTCTCTATTGACAGTACGCGTGGGTCCTGAGTCCTAGCTTTCTTTTGCATTACATCAGAAAGGAAGTTAGCGATGTCTGATCTGGTTCTGGTTTCGATCTCGAGTTCGAGCTGGCGGATCAGGAACTCGATATTTTCAGGGCGTTCCAGCTTTCTCAGCAGCTTCGCCAGGCCCTTAACCGGGTCGTCGTACTTCTTAACGGACCCTGTCACCCGTCGAGCCGCCACCTGGAGCGCCACCATCTGGAGCTTACGAGCTTCCTCGAGAGTGAAGTCCACGTGGAAAATATGTGGCTTGTCCAATTCACCCGGCTGCATCTTACTCAGCCGGCCACTACCCTTCAAGATCTCTTGCCGTACCTCCGCTTGAAGATATGGACGTTGCTCGAGGGAGAAGTAGACTGAAGTGGATCGCTCGTTCATATCGTGACTATCTTTGTTGGACTTCCAAGCCGCGACCTTAGCACGGGAACGGAAGTTTGCCGGGGATGTCGGGGCCGTTTTTGCAGCGGATCTCGCTCTTTTCGAGGAGGGAGGTGTACGTGGCCGCATAGCACGGGGTGCAGTTGGAGGTTGAGAGGTCCGTGGAAGCACATCCTGGGACTGTGTGTTTGACGTGACGACATGCTGTGCGATCGGCTCCCTGACCTGGTTCTCCTGCGGCTTGTTGACGGTAGTCGGAAGGCTAGAGAGGTTCTGCGCTGGATTTCGAACAGGCGTGGGCGCGGTAACAGAGGGCAACCCGCTGGGAAGCGGTGAAGAGGTGGAGGCAGCGGGCGGTCGAGCAGCAACAGGGTGGCCGTTCACAAGTCCGGAAGCTCGAGAAGGAGGCAGTGTGTGCTGTTGGGCCGGCAGGGGTTTGCTTGGGGGCGAGTGAGCAAATTGCGTCCGTCGAAAGCCCTAGCCCATATATGTCAGTCTTCGAATCTTCTCATGACCAGCCACACGTCGTCTTACCGGAAGACCAGCGAAGTTCTTAGCCAACGTTCTCGCACGTTGAGTGGCAAGGCTGACCAGTCCATCAGGAAGGCGCCCATTCTCTCGAATTACGGTTTCGAATTGGTCTGTTAGGGCTTTTTGGATCTGTTTTCGACGAGGTTGTCAGAGTCATCTTCAGTGGGGCAGAACTCTCCCAGTATCGTGTAGGGGCCGACTTACTTCTGCTTTGAGCTTATCATCATCTACATTCTTGTTGTTGAGCGCTTCAACAGCATTCCTCGCATAGGAAGAAAGGTGTATGCCGACAGATTTCGTAATTACTTGCTCGTCGTCCACCATCCCCCGCGGTGGTTCTGAAAGTTTCTGCCGTTTTGCCGGTGGCGAGGGGGCGTAAGCAGAAGTACTGGGGGCGTGACGCCGGTAGAACATTTGTTCTTGTGAAGGAAGAGGTGGTACGTAGGGGTGCGCATGCGCACTGCGGTGGGACGGGGGACCGCCAGGCGGCACGAAGTCCCCGAAGCTGTTGACGACGCGGTTGACGGTGCCATTTTCGAGGGCAGACGGAGGAGCCGGTAGCCGCGGTTGAACCTGCCGCACGGCGTCGTCATCGTCGTCCGAGACGAGGTCGATGACCTCTCTGGGCGCCGTTTGCGGAGTAGGCGCCATCATGAGTCCTAAGCTCGAGCGACGCGAGATTATTTAAGTAGGCGTCGCCATTCCAGGTGGCGCGTCATGAAAATTGCTGGGGTTTTAACGCTTAACTGAATATTCCCCACTAAAGGTGCTAAAAGGGACCCAAATTAGAGTAACTAGCTTTAAGAATGCTTAAAAACTGGAAATGTAAAGTAAAACAAGGAAAAAGCATTTAAGAAACTTTTATTAAAATATAAATTATATTTAATTATTAAGAAAGTAATTTAAATATAAAGAGTTTTAAGCAATAAAACCGTATTATTATGCATTTAAAAATATCTTATAAGTTTTTATTTCCAGTTAAAAAGTATCTGAAATCTTTTTTAGAATATGCCTGGTTTGATTGAGAACATGACAGAATGAACATGTTTTTGATTCTTGGGAAGACGACATTGACATTTGACATTGCTGGCAGTTTATTGAAAGCTAGAGTCATTCCACGGTGAGAGCTTTCATGAAGGCGCTGCCAACTTAAACATGCAGGGAAAAGCTGCTAAGCCCCCCTTCCTCAGGTTGCAATCCTAGCATAAAAGTTACATAGTAAAGAGCATGTACGCAATTTTATCAGCAAGAAAGGAATGGCATGCATTATTTCGCAGAAATATTATGCTCTGGAGAACATGCACAGAGCCCCAGGATTGCGTATGACAGGTGGGACCACAAGCTCTGGATAGAGTCAAGCAATTAGCGGCCAATCACTGGCATTACTCGCTTTGCTGCATTGCAGCGACAAGGCAAATATCGCGCGCTATCGGGACGACAGAGTCCACCCGTGCATGGTCTGGCAGCTCTGACTAGCACAGGAACCGAGGTACGAAACTGCTCACAAGTTTGGAGGCTACAGCGCTGTATCCCAGACTTTCAAATCATATTACAGATGTCTACAGATGTCTAGCTCGACTGTGAGAAACACAGTCAACACATCGCGTCATGTTTTATGGCAGCTACAGCCGGATAAACCAGGAGGGGCCGAGGAAGTTCAGAAAGAATGGGCAGGAATTGTCAACAATACTTGGCAATCACATGTCCTTGCACAAAGCCATATTTTTTTCTTCCCATACTATCTTGCTCCCAACCATACAGTTTATATGACAGTCTAGGGAAACGACACCGCACAAGCGGGGATATATTGTGGATTGATGCGGCCGGAATCTACAGCTTGGCCTTTGTCAGCTCGCCCTGGCGGTGCAGCTCCTCGTACATCTCGTCAATTTGTTTCCTGAAGGCCCTCGCCGTCTGGACACGTTTGATTTTGAGCCTAATGGTCTGTTAGCACTGGTCTGTCAAGCCAATAATAAACAAGGAAAGGGCCGGCTTGAAGGTCAGCGGCCGTGGGGATGGACTTACGTCGGCGTCAAAAGCTCATTGTCGATTGTGAAAGGCTCGATGTCCATGTAACAGTTCCGCACCTTCTCGTAGCTGTTGAACTTGTGCCTCTTCCCATACTCATCCAGCTGCTTGACGAACGCCTTGCGGACCTTGGGGTCGTTGGCCGCGGCCTTCAGCTCCGCGCGGTCGGTAGCCGAGACCGTCTTCTTCAGGATCTTGCTCGCGTACGGGGCGAACTGGTCAGGGTCGATGCCGAAGACGGCGACCAGCGTGCTTTCCTTGGGGTCACCGTGCACGTACGCCGTCTGGATGATGGGCGTGCTACCCATGTAGACGTTCTCGATGCGCTCGGGCGAGATGTATTCACCCTGCGCGAGCTTGAGCACGTTCTTCTTGCGGTCGATGATCTTCAGCCGGCCCATGTTGTCGATCTCACAGATGTCACCGGTGTGGAACCACCCATCAGGGTCAATGGTCTTCTTCGTCTCTTCCTCGTTCTTGTAATAGCCCTGGAAGACGATGGGGCCCCGCAGTAGCAGCTCGCCACGTGGGTTGGGCTTATCTGCAACGGTATATTCCAAGTCGGGAGCGGACTCGAGGCAGACTTCCACGAAGGCCATTGGGGAGCCGATGTTGCCGGTCGTGTAGTCGTCCTTGTACTGTACTATGCCCACGGCGTATGTCTCTGTCATGCCGAAGCCCTGGCAGAAGTCGTTGGCGAAAGCAGCTCGCAGGAACTGGTGTACATCGGGATCCAGCTGGGCACTACCGCTGACCATCGAATGCACACGGTCCAGGCCGACAGCTGCTCGCACCTTTGGTGTCCATATCCTGTCGTATAGGATGTGCTTGTTTGTTGCCTTGCCTGGCGGGAGCTTCATGGATGCCTTTTTCGAGTTGATGACGTGCCTGGAAAGAGCTCCCTTCACTCCCTCCGCTTGAACGGTCGCCGTGGTCAGGGCAGCCTGGAAACGGTTGAAAAGTCTGGGCACCGACATGAAACCCGTAGGCCGCAGGATCTTCATATCCTCGACCAGGGTGGCGACATCGCCGTGGAAATACCCAACAGGAGCACCGGCGAGGAATGCAGCCTGATCGGCCATACGACCGTATATGTGCGCCAACGGAAGGTACGACATGTGAACGTCATGTTCACCAACGGTGCCAGAAGACCGCGCGGCAGAGATTCCGGCAACGGAGTTTCCGTGAGTGAGGACAACACCCTTGGGGTCGCCAGTCGTCCCCGAGGTGTAGTTGATGGTGAAGATGTCTTCCTTCCGTGGAGGCCGCATTTGACGTCCAGAGTTTCGACCAATGGCCTCCACCTCACCGATTGAAAAGATCTGTATCCCGCTATCGGCGGCCACCTTGTTCAGCAGCTCTTGTTTAGAATGTCCGCTCATCTCACCGTCGTCCAACGAGTCGAGAGAGATGATCAGCTTGAGCGAGGGCACCTTGGGCGCTATCTTCAGAAGGGTGGGTATATGCGGCAGTGAGGTGACCACGCATACCAACTCGCCGTGGTTGATGATGAACTCGGTTGTCTGGGGGCCCAGCGTCTCATACAGCGTCACGGGATACAAGGACTGCGAGACCAGGGCAAGCTCTGTACAGATGGTCAATGTCAGGCTTGAACAAGAGATATATCTGCAGCATCTGGGAGGTTTTGCGACTGAACTGACCTGTGATCTGCCACTCCGGCCGATTCTGGGACCAGATTCCAACACCATAGCTCTGAGCGGTGACACCGATGCGGTGATGCAGCTCCGCGATACCAGCACCGAGGTTCTTCCTCCTCTCGGCGACCTCAGCATACGTTTGCCACTCGTACTTGGGCTCCCAGGTCTTGGTGGCTGGGTTCCAGGGCCGGTGGCCCAACATGCGCTTCGTGGGACGAGCCTGCCACGCCTCCTCGAAGAGGTCATGGAGAGTCAGACAGTGTGGTTCGAGCCTCTCGAGCAGAGGGCCGTCGCGAAAGGCCCAATTACGGTAGACAGGAGTTCGGTTCTCGCGCTCGGAGCCGGGGATGGGCAGGCCGTAGGGAGAGCCTGGGGGAGGAGGCGTGGAGCACTTGGCTATGAGCGCCTTGACGTCAGGTTCGTAGCGCATCTTGGGTGGCGTGCTGGGGGTTTCCGTTTCTGTGGACACAACGCGGTCAACGTGCTGGCCTCTAGCAGGTCTGTAGCAGATCATGGGTCTTGGATCGAATTACTGACCGGAGGGTATGGGCTGTCAGTACCAGTTGCAGGTGTCGCGTCGAGAGTCGAGATGGGGTGCGCCGAAGGGACCGACCACGACTTGGGGGAGGAAGGCACGGGGAGACTGGAGCTGGTATGCGGTACGGAGGAAGGTGGCCACTTCAGTTGTCAAGACGGGTCGGTTGCTCTACAAGAGAAAAGAAGAATAGTATTTGAGAAGTGTCTGCTCTATCATGTTCTGTCTGCTTGCTGCACTGCACTGCCCGAGCGAACGAGTTGGTGGTAGCCAAGGGGTGGCAGATGACCAGGCTTAGTTTAGTGGGCTTCCCGAGAACCTCGGCAAAGAGTGCATCGTATCGTACGGTAAGTATCGCATCATCGACCCGTCCGGTAATGGAGATGGCTGTCTACATTTTATTTCCAGTGCATTGGTGCTTGATGCCAATTGCTGTGGACGGAGACCAGTCTGAGACGGAGAAATTCATTGCTCGTTGATTGCGAGACTTCAGCATGGGTGAGCATCACAGGTGATGATAACTAGCAGTTTGGAGAGAGAGCTACGTGTAGACAACGTCCCTCATCCAGGTTGCAACGTCATTCTTCTCGGCCTGGCCACGGACCCACCCACCCTCCGAGTGCCCCGACACGAATAAAGATGTGCAGTTTCAAGTGCCATGAAGCTTGATCACTAACAGAAGCCGCCCGGGGTTGTGGTGCATCTCAGATAGTGCAACGATCACATGCTTTTCTTGCACAGCAAGCCTTGAATACCTTCATACTTAACATGGTTGCTACCTTTTCCTCGTCTTGACTTCTATGAGTCGATCAGGCTCAGAAGATCGTCTCCATTGAGCCATGTGCTAATCAGCTACCACATGTCTCGCTTGCTGATCGTCATCTCGATTACCTCTATTGATGAGTTCATCGGCGCAACCGCTCAACTATTCAATCGTTGAACCGTGCCTCCGGACTCCTCCGGACCATCAACAAGCCATCAATACATATCACTCCTACCGCTCCGTCGATGGCCGGGTGCGCCAGGCAATCCTCCTAAGCCGTGTACCGGCTGAACGGGCGCACATAATGTGTCTGGATCCCTCCGGCTGGCCGTCGCATTGCGCCGAGGTGCACGGCGGCTTGACACTCAACACCTGGGCACGACACTTCTTCACCTGCGTCTCACCATTCTTGCTACATGCTATTTATTATTGACAAGCGGCCGGTCTAGAGCGTGATAACTTCTCGCACCATCTAGACCAAGACACAATTCTCAGCCTCAGATTTAGAGTCCAGAACACAAGCATTTGCAGGCCCCACCATGACTCGACCCGAGCTACTGGAAAATGCCAGTGGACCAGACGACAGCTCCTTGGCCGTGCTGGCTTGAATGCAGTTGCTTGAGTCTCGCCAGAGTTTTCCTCCCCTGTTGGGCCCTCAGCGGTCCAAACTCCAGCACACAGACACACAGACCTACCCCAGCTGCGGGACGACAAGTCATACACCCCAGGGCCGACCCCAGAGCGAGGTCTCAACGTCGCCATGCACCGGCCGCTCTCGAGCACTTGGCCTCGAAGCGAACCGATTCAGTCACCTTGGTCCACTTGGCGCTCGAGATCTCTCAGACACAGGCCAGGCAGGACGACTCCATCTTCCCGGACCAGTTTGTCGTTAACGCCTTGGCACGGGATGGCCTCGAGCACACCCGAAATATCTGGAAACAGAGGCCAGCGCCTTTCCTTGAGAGCCAAGCCCGCTGTCGCTGGACTCTGACCGTCCGGAGACTGCCAAGGCGTCGAGGAGCCTTGTCCTCAGAAACACGACGCCCCAGCAAAACATGTTTCCTTGCCACTTGCCCTGCACTTCTCCTTCCAATTCCATCTTTCCCTGTTTCAATCCCATGGTGCTGATCTCCCTAGCCGGCTGGGGGGTCTATTTCTGTGCGGTCTACTTGAGCTTTTATTACACTACCGAGGGAGCGAGGCCAGGTGGCCCTCGATCACGCCCCTCCGCCGCATGGCACGTCAATATCAAGTGCGACCGTACGACCATGCTCCTGCAGCAGTGCAGACATGTATAGTCACGGTGTTCATGAACAGGCAGGCCTTGAGGACCACCAACTGGTGTGCGCGCTTGCCAGTGCAGCGCCAGCGAGGCTGACCCGTATCCGTACTCCGTCCGGGACGCCTGCGGCACAATGATCACCTGTCGGCGAGGCTTACTTTAAGCTTAGCAGACTGCACATGGTTCCGAGCAAATTCAATCAAACGCGAGAAGATGAGTCGAGTCACTAGGTCGCTCGTCCCATTCGCGCGATCCCAACCCATTGGCTCCGTCCTAACCGCCGTCACGTACTGCCGGCGGTTACAGAAATACCTCCTCCACCAGCGCGTGCCCACTGACGCTGCAGGTGCAGATTTATCTCCGCCCGGGGGCATTGAGGTCAATCTAAAAGTATAGCATCAAGGGCCCAGGGTGCGCCCCAAACCGAGCATGACATTGGACGGCTTCGTCGCACCCTCCTGCACCAGATCGTGGGCATGCCCCTGTCGTGCCGTGTTTCACATAGGCTTCAGGTTGGTACATCGTAGCGCACTTGTCTCCCGGGCAGGCGAGGTTGACCCTGGACACATGCGCGTCCATGCCACAGTTGGCTTCACTCCGATATATACTGGCTCGATGCTTTTAATGCCCTGCATGCGCGCAGTGTCTTCCCCCTTCATTAAGTCTTCTTGGGTTACTTTCTCACTTTCTGGGCCACCTCCCTATTTCTCCTTCTTTAAACCAGTGCACAGGCTGCCCGTTATACCATACATTCTCTTTAGTTGCTCGACCCGCAGACTTCGAACTCCACCAACAAGACCAGTACCCATCTAATATTCCAACCGACGAATTCACGACTTTCAAAATGGGTTTCCCTCTGATGCTCGCTCTCCGTGCCGTGCAAGGCGTCTTCGCCGTGGTTATCCTGGGCCTGTCGGCATATGGTAAGGCTGCTTGGGAATGAACACAGCCGTGGGATTGGGCCACCGGAGACCATCTTGCTAACGGGACGCAACAGTTGCCAACTGGTACAATGTCGACACCCTGACTTCGTCGCCTTCTCAGGTCAACTTCTTGGTCTTCGTACCGCTCTTCTCCCTGATCTCCATCGCATACCTTGAGGCCGTCCCCAAGTTCATGCCCAAGTGTGAGTACCGTCGGTCCCCATACCATGGTTCCAAGCTGACATTGTCTACAGTCTCCCACCCGTGGGCCGTTCTCGCCCTCGAGGTCACCAACGTCCTCTTCTACTTCGCCGGCTTCGTCGCCCTCGCCGTCTTCCTGACGCACTTGCTCTTCTGCCGTGGCGCCGTCTGCGGCTCCGCTCGTGCGGCCACCGTCTTCTCCTCGTTCAACTTTCTGCTGTGGACCGCCACCGCCGCGCTCACCATCAAGGACGCGCTGAAGGGGGGGTTCGCGGGCCTCCGCAACGGCCGTGGTGGGGCGGGGCAGGGCATGCCCATGCAGCAAAACGCCCAGATGAAGGAGGCCGCTATGGCCGCATAAACGCCTACTACGGCTCCGACGGCCGCGGTTCGTTCTTCGGATACGTCCCGGCCACGCCGCCTCACAAGACCGCGTCCCTCGAGGTGACGGTCAAGAAGCTGTCCTCGTGGGACCACAGGCGGAGCACCCTCGCCAGCAGCGAGGACTGGGAGATCGCTACCTTTGTCGGGAGCGAGGAAGAAGTTGTCGCGGGGAATGGATATGGGCGTCGTGATACCTGGTGAAGGGATTTGTTAGATGGGTTGCGCCAGCTGTGCTGTGTTGGACCATTTGATTTCGGGGGGTATAGAAGCGATTTAATGACTTTGAGGATCCATGGTTGGAATGGGCGACGGGCTCGTATTAGCATCTTTACGTATTGCAATGACAGGCCTGTGAATATGTCTATATGTATACAGTTATGTATATGACACTCAATATCGCTTCCTTCAGACGTTGCTCAGACGTTGCTGTCATAATGAGTGAGCGGTCGTCGTTGGAAGTTGGCCAACTTGTAGTGTCATCGGGTCAGCCAAGGCCACCGCTCACAAATCCTGCAGACTGCCCACTCACACTATATCAGCCTCTCATACACCTAGTCTCCCAATAACATTAAATGCCGAGCGTGTAAAACTAAAGAAATTATATGAACTCAGCATACACTGCTTCTCGGAAGTCACCTGTTTGGAAAGGCCGAAGTGACTGACACTTAAGACTGCATTTGCTCCCTGATGATTTTTGATGAGTGCAGCCTAGATGTGTCCCAGTGAGAGCTTTTGCATGACATGATTATGTCAATGTGGCTGATTATGTCCTTCATCTTGCCAGAACCGGCAACATCTATTGCTTCGCTTGCTGCGAGTTGATCCAACATATTATTGTTTTAAGGAATTCATGCAACGAAGCCGCCTCAAGACTTCTCTAGGCATCACAGAGCATCCTGAGGCTGTATGATTGAATACTATGTCTGAACAACCACTACCTGGAGGATGTCAGCTACTTGCATGCGTTACGCTCAACGGCACGAGAGTGACCGAGGAGCAGGATCGAGTGTATAGCGAGTGAGCAATGCAAAAATGCAATGTAAAAGTGTGGAAACACGAATAAGCACTTCCTGACACTAAGACTTCTGGTGCGAATAAGTGGCTTCTGACACAACACCGGTTTGCAGAAGTGGATTGAAGAGTCAATGCCTAAAGCCATGCATAGCGAAATTGACTGTAATTTCGTGCAACCTACATTGTCTCTTGTCCCACTACTACAATCATTGTTGTTCTAGCTTAGTAGGGGGACTAAAAGAATGCAAATGGTCTACAAAAGTGTGGAATATTTTACTCATTCTCTTCGAGTTTCCTTCGATAGCAGCGTCGACAACAAAGACGATCAAAGTTGAAGACAAATCAGATTTCCACTGAACTATCTGTTGAGAAACTCGACCAAGTTGGCGAAGAGAAACGGCACCCCTCGACCAGACAATTCAGACCCCCGACGCAAAGAACGAAACCGAGTAACGTCCTCTCAGATTCAGCGCCCACCATGAGACACAGCTGAGCCTCGTCCTTGCTAACATGTCCAAAGAGATTGAGATTTGACGACAGACGCAGCAGTCTCGGGGGAAGCAGCCTCATTGGAAATGCCCGGGGAGGATCCGTACGCGAGATGCAGGAGCTGCCACAGGCTCCTGTACGAACTGGACATGAAGAGGTACGAGTACAGAATCTGTTACAGGTGCGGTGGACGTGGATTTGTCCGCTCGGCGACATCTGCTAATTGGTTTAATTTTTGTCGCACCTGTACTGGTAATGGATACCTTGACCTTGGTCGATGCGTGGGCTACAATATTGCTTGCCCTGACGGAACTATCATCACGAAGCGGCACATAACCGTGAGTAGTTAACACAGCTGAGCCGTACCACCAAATACGCTGCCCCTGAATCGCTGGCATGTGCCTCCATTTCCACATCTCTGCATATCCATGACTTACATGTATATCTTGCACGCCCACAGCATGTGAATCTCTCAATTCCGTTGCCGGCCCGACAATATGTGCATCTGTTTGGTGGGACTCAGTTCCTGTCAAGAGTGAAACGCCCGCGTCATTGGGCGTTTACCCACACACACAGCACAGCACCTTCTCAGGTGTGCAAAGAATTAAAGAGCGTCGCGCAAGATACTCATGGGGGTCCGACGTAGCCACCAAACCCTACTTGAAGTCTTGCTGCCTTGAGAGAGGGACTGCAACTGCTCGTGGCAGTCAGCAGACGGGAGATGCATATCGAGACAAGTTGAAGGTTCTCTGTCTGTCGAAAGCCAAAACCAGCCCTGAGACATGTATGCAATGAAAAAAATGCTACGAATCTTCTTCCATCCAAATTGTCTTTGGGACGAGGGGCCAGCCATACTCAACCCTGGCGGCCAAGTAGGAATAGCATTATCTCATTCCGCACTCTGCTGTGTGCAGGCGGATACTGCTCACAAGTTTGAAAATGAACACTTTAAAGGATCATTTCATCGTGTGTGCTGGGCTTTTAATTCCCTTTCTTCCAGAATTGCCTTCTAGAGAGAATGGGTAGAACACGACGGCTATCTGGGGGTTTTCATACCGGCCCGTGCTCGACGTCTTGATGTGTGACAGAGAAGGTCATGTCACTGGCGTGTTTTGTGGTCTTTGACGGCTTGGCCCGCAAAACTAGGCCCGCACCGTCCGTGGGGAAGTCCTGCCGTGGCCTTTTCTCTTGGGTCACCGTCTTCCTCGGCCAGGCCAGCGGCATTGGCCTGGGAATAAGTCAGCCCACGGTATAGGACAGACCACAATCTCGTGAGTCCATGCTTGCCGATGCGGCTCCTCTTGCCGTTGAGTGCCCCGTCGACCCACCAGTCACTGCAGATCCAAGGCTAGCCGTGACAACGCCATACCGAGACTGGATGGCACCTCCTGTATCGGTAGATCATGGTTTCTGATATCGAGGCTGCCTTTATGAAATACAGCTCGTAGAGAGACACACACACATGTACAATACAGTACAAGAGGACATGCGGAGGTGCATTGGCGTACAGATGCATAGATGCAGTCGCCAGCCTGCCGGGGCGGTGGGCCCAGAAGCCTCCGACTGCTGTGTGTGGAAAACGAAACGCAGCCCCCCCCCCTGTCGTTTTGACTCGCGCTCTCCCATCCCCTCCAAAATCTTAAATCCCCTTAATAATAATAATAATATATATATCCTTATAATCATTATTTAATAAAAAGTATAAATAAAATATTTATTTATATATAATATAATTATTTTTATATATATAGTTAGGGCTGGCGGCTGGGGCAAGGCGGCTGGGCCCGTGCAGGGCCCTGCACGGGCCCCCTTATCGATAAGCCCCTCCTGCCCTATAGCTGTAGCCCAAAGGGCTCCTCTAAAGCCTTCCTTCCTTTCTTCCTCTTTTTTCCTTCTTAGGCCAGCATACTCTTTAAATCCACATAATTTGGTACACATTTCAAGCCCTCGTGCCGTGAAGCCCAAGTGACGTCTTATATATAATACTGTTTTTTAAATTTAAAATTTAAATATTTTATATATAATATAAAGTATTTAAATATATTTTAATTAATATAAATTATATAAATAATAATAATAATAAATCTTTAATAAAAATATAAAATTTTAATTATATTAAATATAATTTTATAAAATAAAAATTTAAAAATATTTTATATTAAAAGTACTTAATTTTATATATTATTTTTATTATTATATGTAATTTTATTATAAAGATATAATAAAATATAAGTGGATTTAAAATTTAAGCTTTTCAGCGCGGAGGGGAGAGCGCGAGTCAAAACGACAGGGGGGGCTGCGTTTCGTTTTCCACACACAATGGTCTGTGCCACCTGCAGGAACTGCCATCTCCAGCACACCACTCGTCTCACGTTACTCACACAGCACGCGGCAAAAGGAAGCAAACAGCGGCCATCGGCCGTCGGCCGGCTCGAGAGTCCCTCTGGCACGCGGCTTGGGGAACGGCAGAGCATCGGCGCCAACCCTTTTGGCCAGCACTCGACGTTGGCGGTCGAAATGACGTGCTCGGCTCCCCCACTTCCCAAGCGCGCAATTCGAGGCCCAAAATGAAACTGAGGTGCGAGTTCACGCTTGAGGCCGATGGGCTTGACGGTCACGCAGGCAATGGGACAGGAGCTGGAGAGCTGGGGAGCTGGAGCTTAAAGTACATAGATAGTCTGGGCCGCGCTGGTGATCACTTGACTTTCCGTTGACTCTCACTCACTGCCCGCGCTGCTGTAACCAAGTCGACCTTCTGCCCCAAACCTTCAACGGTGTAAACAGGTACATACCGTAATTGGCTTACATCTTGGCCCACGATGTCGGAACTCAGCAAAAACTTCGAGACCCTCCAACTCCACGGCGGGTGAGTCAGTTTCCTGCCTCATGAGAGCTGTTCCAGCAAGCTGATCGCCATGACAGACAAGAACCAGACCCTGCCACAAATGCAAGAGCTGTACCAATCTATGCAACAACTGTATGACTTGAAATAATTATTGTGTGTGCGTGTGTGCGCAGGACGAGATACTGAGTGGTTCTCATAGAGCTATGTCTTCAACGACTCAGCCCATGGCGCCAGGCTGTTCGGCCTCAAGGAGTTTGGCAACATATACAGCCGTATCATGAACGTAAGTCGCACTGAAGCGGCTACGCTTGCGCTGCCCACGGACCTGTGAAGAGCAATTCATTGAGCACCCCGCATCCAGCCTACTGTCGACGTCTTTGAGAAGCGCATCGCCGCCCTCGAGGGAGGTGTAGCAGCCGTCGCCGCCTCGTCGGGCCAGGCGGCGCAGTTCATGACCATCGCCGCCCTGGCCCAGTCGGGAGACAACATCGTGTCGACGTCCAACCTGTACGGCGGCACCTACAACCAGTTCAAGGTCGCATTCCCGCGCCTTGGCATAAGCACCAAGTTTATCGACGGCGACAACCCCGAGGAGCTGGCGGCTGCCATCGACGACAAGACCAAGGCCGTGTACGTCGAGAGTATCGGCAACCCGCGGTACAACATCCCGGACCTGGAGAAGATCGCGGAGCTGGCGCATGCCAAGGGCGTTCCGGTCGTGGTGGACAACACTTTTGGTGCGGGCGGCTACTTCATCCGGCCCATTGACCACGGAGCGGATAGTACGTTGTTTCCTGGGCCCAGGTAGCCCCAGAAAAGGGAGTTCTCACAGTTCCAGCTGAGCGCCATTGCTAACAAGCGAGTCCGTAGTCGTCGTCCACTCGGCGACTAAGTGGATTGGTGGCCACGGCACCACTATCGGCGGTATAATCGTCGACTCGGGCAAGTTCGACTGGGGCAAGCACGGCAAGCGGTTCCCACAGATGGTTGAGCCATCGGACGGATACCACGGGCTGAAGTTCTGGGAGACCTTCGGTGCCATCACCTTTATCATCCGGGTGCGGGTCGAGGTCCTGCGCGACCTCGGCGCCTGCCTGAACCCCTTCGCCGCGCAGCAGCTGCTGCTGGGCATCGAGACGCTCTCTCTCCGCGCGGAGCGCCACGCCCAGAACGCGCTGGCGCTGGCGAGGTACCTCGAGAAGAGCCCCTACGTCAGCTGGGTGTCGTACCCGGGCCTCGAGAACCACCCGAGCCACGAGCTGGCCAAGAAGTACCTCAAGAGGGGTGCGGGCGGCGTCCTCAGCTTCGGCGTCAAGGGCGGCGGCAAGGCCGGCAGCCAGATCGTGGACGGGTTCAAGCTCATCTCGAACCTGGCCAACGTGGGCGACTCCAAGACGCTCGCGATCCACCCGTGGACCACGACACATGAGCAGCTCTCGGACGAGGAGAAGATTACCTCGGGCACAACTGAGGTGCGTTTTTTCGGTGGTTGTCCAAGACCGTGGGGAGTAGATTCGCTGACATTCACCTCCTGCAGGATCTCATCCGCATCTCGGTGGGTACGGAACACATTGACGATATCATCGCCGATTTCGAGCAGTCGTTCGAGGCCGCGTCTGCCGCCACTACCGAGGGCAAGGAAGGTAAGCCCCAGGACAAGGAGCAGGAGGCCGCACCGACAGTTGTCTGATTGAAGAGAAAGTTCCGTCGTAGCTTTTCCTTTTTAGCCAGCAGCAAGTCATGCTATCCTAATTCGATACTGGATTAAATCAACACGTGTCTTCGGTCTGAGCACATCGTAGCAGCGCGGATGTAGACGGAAACCTTCTGCATCGTGCGGGACTCGGAGACTGAAGAGGGTTTGGAGCCATGCACCATACTACCTAGGTACCCTGCCCTGGTTTTAACACGTTCTAGCTCAGCAACTCGCTGAGATATTGAAAGACTGTCGATATTATCTCGTTTTGGTGGCTGCGCCAACTCATTCATCAAGCCGCTTCCTGTGTCTGTAAATGAAGAATGGCAGGTGCTGCAGTTAGACTACAACTGCATGCCACAGCAGCTGTACTTGCCAGATTTGGGGCACCTGGAGGCTCGGTCCCAGTAAGCTTAAATGCAGCGCCCAACCAGGGTGCTTGATGCGACCCACCCTGCAGCATCCAAGCTCCTAGCTCGGCAACGTCCTCTCAAACGGTGGAATGTCCACAGCTGAGCCGCCAAACCAACCTGCATGTCAAGACAGATCACGCCCGACGACCTGCCCAGAAGACGACAACGCCGAACAGAGGCGCCCACACCACCGTCAAGATGCGCAGCGATATGTTCACCCCGCTGGCCCTCTCCTTCCTATCCGTAGCGGCGGCGGCCGCCACGACGACCATCAACCTCGTCATCCCCGCGACGCACATGCTCCCCAACCCGCGATTCCTCCCGCCCCAGACGCACGCGACGCTCTCCTCCTTCCACTCCGGCGCCTCCGCCTACCTGTCCCCCGCCAACACCTTCGCCTTCCACAACGTCTCCGAGGGCAGCTACCTGCTCGACGTGCACAGCCCCACCCACGCCTTCGCGCCGCTGCGGGTCGACGTCCTCCCCGTGGTGGCCGGCGCCGGCCAGACCGAGAAGGAGGAGAGGACGGCCAGGCTTAAGGTCGCCGCCTGGGAGACGTACCGGGGCAACGACTGGAACAACAAGGGCGAGGCTGCCGCCGTCACGAACGGGGGCGCCCTGGAGGTCAAGGTGCTGGGGCCTAAGAACTTTTTCATGGAGAGGAGCTCATGTAAGTGGCCACGAGGGTTGGGTCCTCGCAGTTCGATTATGCTGACGCAAGTCTACCAGTCAATGTCCTGAGCATTCTCAAGAACCCCATGATCCTGCTGGGTCTCGTCAGCATGGGTATCTTCTTTGGCATGCCATACCTGGTTGACAACAGTGAGTCTCTCTGCCTGGCTTCTCCCGGATATATCGAGCATGTCATGTTTGCAGCGCTAACGCAACGACCAACAGTGGACCCGGAAATGAAGAAGGAGTGGGAAGAGAGCCAGAAAAGCAACCCCATGAACAGCCTCATGGGCGGCCAGCAAGGGGCACAGAACCCAATGGGCAACTTTGACATGGCCGCCTTCCTGGCTGGATCCTCAAAGGACAACAACGGCGGTGGAGGGTCGCGGAACCAGAAAGGTGCCAAGAAATAATGCCGTCTACACATCCAGGGCCCTCCTATTTTGTATATCCGGTGCTCACATGAGTAGATGACGAGACGGAGCGTGTTAGTTTGGCTGATACATCCAGACCAGGAGATCATTAGGCATTGCAGGCTTGTGCCTGACGAAGAAAGGCGCAATATGGCCCGGGCTTTTGTTTTCTGCGCATGTAGACTTTGGCCAGCAGGTCAAGTAAAACAATGTGAATTCCTTGACAATCCGCAGTTGCGTACTACAGTTCCTCGAGCGACTTACTCGACTCTACGGAAATGGCTTGATGAATTTGGCCATTAACTAAGAAAAGGCGCACAGCTTTCAATCCGGTCGATTACCCACACTCACTCAATTTCGCTCGCTCCGAGATCGATGTCAAAATGGGCAAAGGACGGTTTTCAGTTTTATTCATCGCATGGGGGCAGCTTTCCCGGGCTTGCTCGGGAGGAATCAGGAAATCCGCAACATCACCACGCTTTCATCACTCTGCTTTAATTTCAGCAGAGCCATGATTGTGTCCAAGCTGGTGTGACCAATCATTTCATTGTCTTTTCCCAGCGACAGGCAATGACCTCAGCGGGTCAGAATTGCGGAAGGCGGGCAGGTTTTCCCATATTCTCACGCCCAAAGTTTCCCCCAGTATCTGCCGTGCCCATCTACGGCAGGGTCTGACCTTAAAGGGGTGGGCCAGTACCCAAAGGTGCACGGGGTGCCGAACGGAAGGCCCAGAATCGGAACACACTCCCAAGTCCCTCTGAGACCCTGCTCACTTATCCCACGAGCTATACTTCTCGCCGCGCGAGAACCTCTTCCTCCTCCCGCGGCGGCCGACGCAGCAGTCGACGGACCACCACATCAGGCAGACCAGCATGGCGGCCGTGGCGCCCCACGTCAGGCCCAGGAACCTCCTCCCGGGGGAAGCCGTGACACCGACCTGCTCGGCGTACCTGTCGACGGCGCGGGCGCCGATCACCGCGATCGCCGTCGCGAGGGCGCTCGAGATGGCAACCACCAGGAACGCCAGCAGGGCGATGACGATATTGCCGCAGGCGGACATGCGGCCCGAGAAGGCGAACGAGACGATGGAGGCGAGCGTCGCGAGGCCGATCAGCCCGATCGAGACGCAGTCTGCGGTTGTTCTGTTAGCACTGGCAGAGAGACTGGCGTGGTGGATGGCATCCTAGGGGGTTTCCATGGGTGGCGGAGGGATGAACAACGGGTGGGCAGGAGTAGGTTTTCACGCACAGATGATGAAGGCCACGCGCTGCACGATGTGAATAGCGTCAATGCCGCGGTCGATCTCATCCGGCCAATTTAGGTCCGAGACGTTTAGCCAGCCGTTTCCGGAGGCGTTCAGGTCGCGCTGTAGGGCCTCGCGGGGGTCGAACTGGAAGTTGCCGCTGCGAGGGCTGCAGTACGTGAAGTTGCGTGTGATCTCGTTGCGGGAGACGGTCTCGTTCGGGATCGCTGTTGGCTCGTAGTAGCCCTGGCAGTACTGTGACGGTTGGTGTCAATTTTCCCGTCTTTCCTTATGCCGTGTGAGACCCAAGACTCGCTGGAGTCCCCGGGGAAGATGAGAGGTCATCCTGTTTCCAGCTTGGTGCTTACAGTCATGAGATTGGCCGTGTAGAAGTCGTGGATGCCAAGCCGCTGGAGGACGGTATTCAGCAGGTCCTCGGCGTCGTCTTGCAGAAAAGACGGAATTGCATCCAGAATGGCGGCCAGTTCGGGATGGCTGTCCACATAGCTACTATTGAGGATGCCTTGGCCGACTTGTGATGTGTTCACCTGAGGGTCTCAATTAGATCAAGCACGGATATCTCGGGACATTGTTAGGATCCATTGCCATCTTACCGTGATGAGTGAAAACTCCGGCAGGAACGACGTCGTGGAGCCTGCGAATAGACACAGTAGTGTCATTGCGAGGGCTCCGAGGCCCAGCAATGTTGGTCCAAGGGCAGAGAACCTCATCGTGTTGTGGTTCCTGATGGGCTAAGAGGCTCGAAGCGATTTCGACTGTACCTTGAGCAGGTTGTTTGCTCTTGGTCGGTACAGCGTTTTCTGCAATAAAAAGCTGCGACCCCCACGATGAGGTCGTCGACTCTATATACTGAGCTGAGCTGGTGGGTCCATCATACATTTAGTGTTGGAGTTGTACCCAGGGCACACGTCATGTCCTGAGCTACAGAGCTTCTAGGGGCCTCCAAGAACATAGCGTTGTGACTTTTGAGTATCAAAGCGGCGCCGCTAGTAGAGCTTAGCACTGCCCATTGGAGATGCGTAGTCGTACTCGGGAATCATCGTCAACGTCCCATTCCGCTGCAACCTATAGCAGCTCTTCCATTGTATTATTCACTGCCGCGATACTGCTCCTGTGTCTTGCATACCCTTTCAACCCACCGCGGATTGCTGTTTGACTTGCTGTCCTCTTGGGCAACCTTTCTCCCCCGTATACATTCAGAGTCTGTCTCGATGTATCATCACGAGCAAGACATCTGCAGCAGTATTAAGTGAACTCTAGCCCTAAGCCGCCGTCGGCTTGGCACATATAGTATGCCAAACTGGACAGGCTCGAAGGCTGCGGGATGACTGAAAGATGCGAAGCACCTGCGCCAAGCTGACCTTAAACCTGCAGTTGCTACGTACATCACAGCTGCCCAGAGGTGGCAGTACTTAGTAATTAGGCCAATGCTCGATAGCACACTCTTCCACCTTATCTTCGAGAGGCAAGCTGGTCCGGTCCAAAATGGATCGTAGACGAGCTGGAGAGTTACAACATCCCAGTCCCAACAACAAAAGGGCGCTATGCCAAAAGACCACTCAACAAGACCATCAAATGGTTTAACATCGGAGCCATGATCGTTAGATGTGGAATTCAAACACCTGACAACATGAACGTGAATGATCCGAGAGACGGGGACGTACTGCTTCAACGACAAAAAAGAGCATGTATTAAAAAGAAATTCAACATGCGTGTCGTGAGGCATGAACCACACAGTTTAATAGGTTTTGATCCCCCATTGACTATCCTGTCCCCATCCTTGTGAACTTGAGGAAATCTACGCAGGTATGTTGCCATGAGAATCAGCTAAATCGCAACAGAGTAACTGAGACTGTTGAAAGTGTGGAATGGATTGCCTCAACATGACAAGTCTGGCAGACAACTTTGATTGCAAGTAGAGCTTTCAATCCTATGTTGTATTTTACAAGAAAACACGTATATCGCTTGTCGAGATAGATGGTCGGACGGGAGATAAAACTTGAGAGGCGACTGCACCGGCCGCGACGACTGAGGCAGACCGTGGATGAAGTACGCAAGCTTAGAGAAAATACCGAAGGGTTCAACAGAACCGCAGCTGCATTAAAAATGCAAAATATGACATTTCCATCCGGGCGTGTGAACTCACCGGAACTGTGACAACCACATTGTCACTTATTGAGCATATCGGGAGGCAACCCATTCAGTACATGGGTAATCATGTTATACCTAGCCACATTGGTAGACGGGCGTTTCCGTATGCCAATACGCATACAAGTTCTTGTTTCCCTTCCGATCAACTTTCCCCTGTCTCCGCCTCTCCTCCTTCTGCACCTTCACCGTGTGCCTGAATTGGGCCGCCAATATTGCGCGCTGCTGAGACGCCGGCAGGTGCACCAGACTGTTTCGGTCGCTGACGCTCATGCTCGCCATCTGATATGTCACTGTCCCTTTCTCCCGTTTCTCCCTCTTCGGCAACAGCCGCGTATCGTGTGCGACCGAGTCGGGATCCTCTTTGCTAGAGCCCTGCTCCTGTTTCTCGTCCTCGTCGTCGCCGGCTTGAACCAGAGTGTGCTCTAGTCGTGAGGCATACGTGCGGGCTCGACGGCGCAGCTGGGTGAATGTCGGCCCTGCTTGTGCTGATGACTGCCTCGATATGATTTTACCTGATGGTAAACGCATCGAGTCCTGACCAGCTGGTAGTGGCTTTTGACTCGAGCTTGCTGCCGTTTCCTCCTGATCACTCTTATAGCCGTCGCCTTCAGTTTCACTCTCTGAGGCGTCTTCCGTCTCAGAGAAGTCGTAGAATTCAGCAAACTCCGAGTCTTCTCCTGATGTGTCAAAATTGCAATGGCCTTTGCCGGTCATATGCTGCTGTACGGCTTGTACTGTAGCCCTCTTTGTTCCGCATTTTATGCATTCTCGATATCCGAAGATAATAAGATGTAGATATCTGAACAGAGTCTCGAGGTCGACTGCTAGTTGTTGCTGATGAGGAACAAACAGGCCGTGTGATTCTCGCACGTGTACCACACTGTCATTGAAGCTTGGTGAGAGCTTTCCACAGAAGAGGCATTGCTCAGGGGTGAATGGTGGCATGGTGGATTCAGGAGAGTTGCTTGACTCCTGAGGGGATGTGGTTGTAGAGTTGGTTTGCGGACTCAGTGGCAGACTCATTGGCAGGGCTGCTAGTTGTGCAGTTGTGGTTGAAGTTGTTGCTGTGGTTGTCTCTAGCATGCCGATGATGAAGTTGAAGTGGTCGTAATTCAAGACTCAAACACACTCAAGTCTTGGGAAGTGCTCAGTTGTTGATGGATTTATCGCAGAATGGATACTAGGGAACAGATTAAACTAATTCTCAACCCGTATTATATAGTTGGACCCTGTTGTATCTAGACTACCGGCTGAGAGATGTAAGTGAGTGGCACCCTTGAGACCACGGCTGGGGGGACTTGGGGTCCGTGACTCAGGACCACTCAAAGGAGTCTCTCAGGCCCGTCAGGGCGGAAGCGCAGCACTACTGGACCGGAGCCCCACTAAAACATGCAGCTTCAACGAATGAGAAGCCCGTTGGCTTACTGACGAGGTATGATTCATAGTGAACAATGAAACCGTTTTCCCTCAAGCCACTTGCAGTGCAGTTACTTAGATGGCACAGCCCAGATCGAGAGCCGCCGTTTCCCACTTGACCCAAGATTTGGCACATGCATGATGCCCATGTCCAAGGGAATTGGCGAGACCGTTGCAGATTGACGACCAAATCCCCAGCCTCGGGATGGTATTGGGCTAAACTGTAGTAAGACCGGAGTCTTTCGCAATCTGAATTAATGCCGGCACAGGCAGTGGAGGGCGAAGGACATGTTTGGCAGAGTAGGGCTGGCTTAGCCATCTGCCTGGGTAAGAAGATGTCTACAATCATCTTCTCAACAGTTCATGTCCCTGTCTTCTGTCTTCTCTCAAGGTTTTATGTATGCAACAACCGAGACCTGGACATGCATATAAGTACGGCAGGTGCAATACACAACGGCAGAGTCTGGCCAACTGCACAGCACGACTTCATATTCCCAATATGTCCACCCTATTCAGCATAATGGAGAATGAAACAAAACAGAACCGGTCCGAAACGCCAACATCCAGACTTCGTGAGCTCATGACCAGGTGAGGTGATCAGAAGTCGCCACCTCCGTCGTCGCCGCCAAAATCATTTCCGTCCTGGAAACCATCCTGGTAGGCTTCTTGCTCCTGATGATCGTCGAATGCCTCGTTGATGAGAGCGCCACCGACCAAGCCCGCTCCTAGACCGAGCGCCGCTCCACCGGCCATTCCCATACCTCCACCGCCGGCCTTCTGGGGCCTCCCTCCGTAGCCACCGTAGCCGCCGCCGTATCCACCGCCATATCCTCCTTGCGGAGGGTAGCCACCGTACCCGCCCTGGGGAGGATAGCCTCCGTAGCCCTGCTGGGGGTAACCGCCGTACTGCTGCTGCTGGGGGTAGTACCCGCCCTGCTGGGGATAATGGCCGCCGCCGTGGCCTCCGAAGCCACCGCCACCGCCGCTACCGAGCTTGCTCTTTCCGGCGCCGAAGATCTTGCCCAGCAGGCCCTTGCTCTTGGTCTCGCCCTCGCGGGGTGGCAGTTGGCTGGGGTACGGGCTCGAGCTCTGGCCGGGACCCGGGCTGGAGTTCATGTAGCTCGAGGCAGCGCCGCCGCCGCCTCCGAAGCTTCCGCGCGCGCGGGCGTCCTCTTCTTCTTGTAGCTTACGCGCAAACTCGGCGTCCGAGTCGGTCGAGCTGGAGGCACCGCCGGGGCCGGTGGACTGTGGGGTGAAGGGGTTCGTCTTGGAGTCGGTGGGGGCGGGCCCGCTGCCGCCGGCGTAGGCGGGTGGAGGGCCCGGAGGGGCGTCATCGCCCATGGGAGGCCGGGCTGGCTCGGTGGGCTTCTCCCATTGGGACTTTTTGGTAAAGGTGTTCACGTAGAACCTGGGCCATATTAGTACTTTGTCTGGGATGACACATGCGTCCGTTGTTGCGAAATTGCTCACCATTCTGAGTATTGTGCGTTCCATCTGGCGACCCATCCCTCGGGAACCTTGGGAGGTGGGGGCCCTGAAGGAGCCTCGAAGTCTGCCATAATCGTTGGCCCAATTGTTGAGGTTTGGAAATCTGCGAGGGACTTGGTTCAGAATCGAGGTTCTAGGAGAAGATCAAGTCAAGGTAATGATGGCTTCTTGCTAGGGATTGTTGATGGTGCTAAAAGGTGGTGGCGATAATGATGGTGGTGGTGGTGGTGGTGATGACGATCAATTGGGCGAGATGTAAGTTGTGGTGGGGCGGAAGTGGGATGTCACAGCAGGTGTTCGAGAAGTCGATGCAGCTCGACGATCGCAAAGGCCATCGGTTATCCCTCAGGCCGCGGCGTGTTCGTAGCTTACCTGGGCTTTATAGCTCTTCGAGAGAGTGACCGGGTCGATGAGCTGGTGGGACCTAGAAGCAAACAGTTGCCTCCGGAAAGTCAGGCATACGACGATGGTGGCAGTCCGGCGGTAGGTGATGCGAAACAGTCCCCAGCACAGCCCCAAGCTTACTGCTGCAAACCACAGTGGCACGGGGTCTCAGAACCGAAATCCCGGTAGGCCTCCCTCCCGAGGACGAGGTCCTTGTCAGTCGGGCCCCGACTAGTCGCTCGCTCGCCACTGCTGTCTCCCAGTCTAGTCGGCCTACCTAGGAGTCCGCTTCTCATCCCACGAAGCCACCTGTAGCACGTGGCCTTCCTGGCCTTCCTGCACCACCTCGACCGTTGGCATTTGTAATGATCCTTGAGGGCCTCGAGATCCGCCGGCATCCTGGCATTGACCTTGGCAGCCATCCTCGAGCCGTCCTCGTGGTGCCCTGGAGACCCAGATTCCACGGCTCCATACGCCCAATCGCCACAAGCTTCAAGACTGATCTTTGGACGAAGCACCACCACGGCCTCAGAGCACCCAGATACCGAATGCGTATCGCAAGTCTATGCAGCTTGGAATGCTGCACGCTCAGAACAAGTCATGTGCCTCCTCGGAATGGACTTATTGATCCTCGAATCAGCCTTTTGTGGGGGGGCTGTAGGATGTTCAACGGCCATACGGCAGACCTAGTGGACTTCATTGTTCCCCCATTGACACGCCCGCAAGGCAGCAGCTTGTTGTTGAACAGGCTGCGCCCACTCAATTAGCTGTGCCACAAAGGACAGGCCAAGTGGCTTAACATGTTGACAAACACTTCCCGTAAGACAGGACTGATCCGGCATGGATATAAGAGCTTACGGGTTGGCTGCTAGAAGCCGCCTCAACCACATTTGAGCGCCACTTGAACATGGAGTCACTTCTAAAAAGACCGCGGCCCAGCGCCTGGGAGAAATTCTTCCGCTCGCCTCTCCTGTACCTCGCCAAGAAGCTATACAGCTTCCATAACGTCGTGCCACGTCGCCCCATATCGGATCCTGTCACCGTCGTCTGCGTCTCAGACACACACAACAGCCAGGCCGAACTCCCCGACGGCGACGTGCTCATCCACGCGGGCGACCTCACGAAGAATGGGACGCTCGAGGAGCTCCAGGCGGCGCTGGACTGGCTCAAGGCGCAGCCACACGCGCACAAGATCGTCGTCGCCGGCAACCACGACACCATCCTCGACCCGGCGCGAGACCCAGGAGACGAGAGGGTCCGGCTCGACTGGGGGGATATCACTTACCTGTGCAACGAGTCTGCGACCGTCCAGTGTTCCAACGGGCGCAAATTGCTCGTCTTCGGCAGCCCCCTCTCACCCCGGTATGGCAACTGGGCGTTCCAGTACCCCAGGCCGGAGGACGTGTGGGCGGGCGCGTTGCCAGACGGCGTGGATATTCTCGTCACCCACTGCCCGCCTCGGGCCCATCTCGACCTGTTGAGCCTGGGGTGTTCGCATCTCCTCCGGGAGATTTGGCGGGCGCGGCCGCGGCTGCATGTTTTCGGGCACGTGCATGAAGGCCGTGGGCAGGAATGGGTCGGGTTTGATGAAACGCAGGACGCCTTTGAGAGGTTGGTGATGAGTGGAGGCTTTGGGAGGATTGTGAGCTTTGGCAGACTGGTCTTTGAGGTTATTCGAGGAAGGTTCCACTCGGCAAAGGAGGCGTCATGCCTGTTTGTCAACGCCGCCATGGTACGCGGGCTCTGGGAAAAGGAAAGGATGAAACCCATTATGGTTGTGCTGTGATGGAGCAGTGCTGGGTGAGTGGTCCCCAGGCGATCCTTTGACTGTTGATACAGATCAAACAGAGTCTGCTAGAACAAAAGACCAAAGTTGGATTGTTCAGTTGCGTTTGAGTTTCATAGATGATAGGCATCTTTAATACTTAGGTAATCTTCACCCTTTTTTTAACCAGTGCTCCTTACACTGGTAGTAGAATCGGAGGAGTAGCAGTGTGTCCCGGAAGTCATCCTTGGGCAGTGATTTTGCAATTTTGGTTTGTTTCCTACAAGCTGTTTATCCCTAGCCGATCAGGCCGGTATCTGTGACACTTGATGTGTTACATGCACATGCGTGCTCACTCCTGCACGAGGCTCAAGAATAACAGCAGACAGCAGGGGTTAATGAAAACTGTAGCTGGCTGTGAGCCTGTGACGCAGTGATATGCAAGACGTTTGTGTGAGCCACATTTAATCTACCCCGTCAACCATTAAATGATCAACATTACTCGTTGGACACACAGTCTGCGTGTATACCATAACCGGTCACGTCAAATTGACGAGCTATGTCCGGATGTTAGCCAAGACTAGCAATACACGTGTCCCGGATTCCGGGGAACTTGGAAGTCCTACATGTCCGTGTGACGACATGTACCTGTGTAGGACTTTGGTTGCCAGAAGCAACAAAGGGAAGCCGAACCCTTGCGAACCACCATTTCATTGCTGTACCTGGCTGGAGCTGGCTGGAGCAGTGAGGCTCGGCAGCGGGCCACACAAAGCCAGCCCCGGGCTGAGGACTCCGCTGTTGTCAGTTGTCAGTTGTCAGCAACGGCAGAGAACGCGTTCATGGTAGCACATGGAGGGAGAGGTGAGAGAGAGTGTGTGTGTCGCATGTCTGTCCCACCGGCTCGCCACTGGACAAACCACGCATGTGAAGGTCCAGACCTGTATGCAGCCTGTGCTTATTACCCCGTCCTCAACGTTGCGCTGGGCAATACCCGTCCCGACTAGGTACCAAGGAAGTCCGTAGTTGGATGCAAGATTGCCAGGGCAGACCTTGGAAGAGGTAAAGAGGACGGTTGGACGGGCGGGCTGTTATCTCCTATCAGTACCAGATCCCCATTGCTTCGTGTACGACTGCAAACACGATTTCCGGCTACCCCCCTTCATAACAGCACCGAATCTGGCATTAGGGTTGAATTACTGCAGGATAGTCGTGGCGGACAATCCAGCAAGGCCGCCCATCTCCAGACAGTCCCCAGCAGTGCTTTTAAGGATCTGGCCAGAGAAGCAAACTCTTCTCTCAGCTTGCAGGTTGTGAATGACAACGCCAGCCCAGTAGACTAGGTAGGGCTGACACGATGATGGGTACAGGGTACGGGTCGCGGAACATTACCTGTATTCCTCCTAGCACGAGCGAGTCTGACCGCGGACTGCATGTACTGTGCACAGTTGTGGTCGGTCTGCCATTCTTTGTGCACTCCGTTGTTTGGCGGCCCTCCTCATACGCCTGCTGGCCCGCAACTCAACTCAACTCAACTCGTACTCTACTGCACATATCATCGGATCCAGTGAGTATGTGGCTGGCCACTGTGACCAGGGTGCTGAAAGAAGCAAGATAGTGAGGGAGATTTGGGGATTGTGAGTGGTACCTAGGTGGTGAAAGAAGATCCTAGAAGACGGACGGAGGGCCGGTTCTGTGAATGTGTGCGAATCAGGCTCAGGTTGAGAGCGTGTCGATGCCAGCTGAAACCAATGTAGCCCAGAGTTTAAGTTGATTGTCTGCCCAGGCATGTCATTTTGGGTCATTTGGGGCCAGCAACCGGGCTGCCTCAGCAATAAACTCGAGGCATAGCATACTAGGTAACTAGGTAGCAGTCAGCGCAGTGCAGAGGAGAGGAGAGCAGTGCAGAACAGCCAGCATGTGAGTACACCAGGGGCAGTCCAGCGGAGGACCAGGCAGAGAGGCAGCAGCAGGCCAGGCAAAGCAAAGGGCAAGCAAAGCAAGGCAAGACGAGGCCAAATTGGAAGGCAGTGCAGGCAGGCCCTAGGCGTATGCCCCCTCCCATCCCCTCGCCTCGCCTCCGCAGGCGGGCTCGCCAGTCCAGTCCAGGCCGGGTCAGGTCAGGTCAGGTCAGGTTAGGTAGGTAGGCAATGTAATCTCTTACTGCCAAAACCCCTTTATTCACAGCCTGTGAGTGCCCCACTCCGTCGCTGTCGCTTGGCCCCTGCCACCCCAACCCAAACCTTGGAACCTCCGACCTCTACTTCCACTGCCTCTTTCCTCCATCCATTGGGAAACAACCGTCACGCCCGTTCTTCCTCCTCCCGTCCATCTTTGACTTCCACCCATCGCCTCGCCTGCTTCTCACCAGCCTGCAATCCTCCACCACAACCGCCAGCCCTTCATCTCACAACCCACATCCTCCAAAATGGCAGAACTCCGCCGAAAGCTCGTCATTGTCGGCGATGGTGCTTGCGGAAAAACGTGTCTGTTGATGTGAGTAGCCACTCCTCCTCCAGCTGCCTCTGCTGCCTTCTCTGCTGCGACTGCGCCTGCTATCATCTGCCTATCTATCGCCTGCTTCATCTGCCACCGCCCATCGACCATCTGCTCATCAACAACCTGCCATGCCCGCCCCGTCTCTGTTGTCCTCGCCGTGCTGACCTCAATCCCAGTGTTTTCTCCAAGGGTACCTTCCCCGAGGTAAGAGATACGCCCGTTTTGCCGCGTCGATCCCGAATTCGTCATCTCCCCCATTCACCGTGCCCCCTGTCACGAGGCCGCCTATCTGGCAAAAGTCAACAACAACAACAGCAGCAGCAACAAACCACCACCAGGCCATCTAATCCCCGTGGCCGCTCTCGCCCACACCCACAAACACCGTCCTCCACCCTGCCGTCTATAACAAACACACAATGCCATCTCGCACTCACAAGCGCGTGTCTAATTCATCCTAGGTCTACGTCCCCACCGTTTTCGAGAACTACGTCGCCGATGTCGAGGTTGATGGCAAGCACGTCGAGTTGGCACTATGGGATACTGCTGGCCAGGAGGATTACGACCGTCTCCGACCGCTGTCATACCCTGACTCCCACGTTATCCTGATTTGCTTTGCTGTCGACTCCCCCGACTCTTTGGACAACGTTCAGGAGAAGGTAAGGCCCTTAACCCTCCCTCCCCTGAAGATGTCCCCCATCCAGGCGAGTCACCTCGTGAGTCACCTACTAATGTTGATGCCTCCTGCAGTGGATTTCTGAGGTCCTGCATTTCTGCCAAGGCCTTCCCATCATCCTCGTCGGTTGCAAGAAGGATCTGCGTTACGACAACAAGACCATTGAGGAGCTCCGCAAGACAAGCCAGAAGCCCGTCAGCCCCGAGGAGGTAAGTGTGGCCCCCCTGTGTCTGCCTTGAGACAAAACGCTCCTGTGGCACACCAGGCCCGGCACCTGCATGTGTGCCTGTTTGGGATCGACGCAGGTTGCTAACGGGCATGCTATCAAATAGGGTGAGGAGGTCCGCAAGAAGATCGGTGCCTACAAGTATCTCGAGTGCTCAGCCAAGACCAACGAGGGCGTCAGAGAGGTTTTCGAGCATGCCACACGTGCTGCACTCCTGCAGCGGAAAGGCGGCAGCAAGAAGCACAAGTGCCTCGTCCTGTAAGGGACCCCCACTTTGTGCCTTCTAAGGCTCCTTTCGACCAAGCTATTCCGGTGATGTAAACCATCATTGGCATTGCCACGACTAGCCTACGGTCCCTCAAATCTTGTCCTTGACTTGATTCGTGAGCCACCAAGGCATGATCTAGAGACGGTGATCAGGAACATGTCAAGATGGCATAAGAGTATCCAGGGGTGACGTCTCTCTTTTATTTTTCGGCTGGCGTTAATACCAATCGGCCGTGGTCGTCGTGCACGCCTCATATCACCGCATACCTATCTTCATCGGACCGGCGTGTCCTCTCTGGTCGGGGCAAATACACACGGCGGGGTTTAATCGCTCGTATACTTCGGAACAGGAAACAGCGGTGTCTTTTAGCCCGCATCTGACAACGGCGTGGTCTGGAAGGGGCAACGGGGATTTGCGAGTGGTGTCTTGTGCGTGCGAAAGGATCACAGAAATCAGAGACAAGGACACTGCGTGTTGTGTGTAAGGTGGGCACGAATTGACGTACCGGGGGATCCGCCACGGCCGAGCTCTCGTAAATATCTCTCCATCATGCGCTATTTCATTCCCCTTTCCCCCTCAACCAAACACTTCGATGTCTCTTTGGACTGGGAGGAATGCATGAGCCGGAAGGGGAAGGGACAGGAGAGACGAGCCTGCTTACGTACAGTGATCTCGGGTCACCCTGGGTTGTGTGGTCGTTTCCTTATATCTCTTTTCGACTCTTTTTTCCCTTTTGATAATTTAACGGGCTGCCTGCGTTGTCGTGTCGCCTCATTATTTTCCGATTTTCTGGGGAGATGGCTGCCCGGGGTCTTTTAGGTAGCCTGCTTTTCGCGATACAGATCCTCATTGCGATTAGTGGATGCATCTTGTGTACAATACTAGTTAACTTGTCTCCAAACCGCCCACCCGCGAGCCTTGCACTCCTAAGCATGCCATGCCATGTCATAATGGAGTGGTACTGCACGTCTGGGTGTCCAGGCGGCTGGGCCTGCTGCTCGTTGATAACGTTCTGATACGTCAAGCTCAAGTGCTACCCCGATGTCTACGTAACCGCACATATCATCAAAATGGTTACGTCTAGCTTGATGAGCCCAAGATCGCGAAGGCAAAGTAGTCAATGGTGCCGATCCCGAGCAACAAGTATGTAGAGGTTGGAAGCCTCGTTCATGCTGGTGATGAAGGGTTACCAGTATGTCGCCCACGAAAGAGTCGATTGGTTCTTGATGTGAGGACACCCAGTCAAGGGAGACTGACCCAAGGCCGGAACGTGGTTATGTCACGAGCACAGGACCCTGAGATTATTTGAGACATGGCGCGGACGTTGATAGAATAGGGACTAGACTGTCTTGATCACCATAGATACGTGTGTGTCCGACAACGACCCAGTTTCAGCAGCACTCGAGCTAACCTGACGCCACCAGAACCGCTCCAGCAGAAACAATCTCCGCCCAGTCTTTGACAGCAATGCTGCTACATGACATGTAGGTCGACTACTGAGGGCATGTCTGCGGGCGCGCTCGAATGGTCAGCACATCACGATCTAAGCCGGTCTGGGCGAGACAGGATATTGGGGGACGGACAGCGCCACAGCTTCCGCAGGTCTTGCTAGAGCCGTCGGACGAGGCTCCGCACTTGGGGCAGGCAGTTCCGTGCATGTTGGGTGAGGTGTTGGATTTCTCTTGTTGTGCTTGTATGCTGTGAAGAGGAGCTCCTTGTGCGCGTGTGTGCGTGCTGGGTTGTGGTTATCAGACGTTATCGTGAGGTCTTGGATATGTGGCTAACAAGGTGGGCTGCAAATAATCACCTTACCCAGGGAACCCGAAGCAGTGGCAAAAGGCGGGGTTTATATATATGATGGCATTAAGAGCCTGGAAGTGACTGGACTGATCTGATCTGATCTTGGGTCTTGGGATCCGTTATCTTGATTCAAGGCGACCAAACCCGTGATCCCCCCCCCCCCCCCCGCCCCGTCGCTTTAGAGCCATGCAGGCCAGCCTGCTGGTGTGGGTAGTAGGGTGTGGGAAATGGTAAGCCGGTCAAGCGTTTACATACATACCCGCCGCACCCGGGTAGAATAAGATACCCTGTACTTGCTAGTGGTGATGCTTTTCATGCACGCCTCGGGTTCCATTTCTTTACTACCTACCCTCCACGCCGACTATCTGCCTAGCAGGCAGGCACCTTGTGCGCGTTCGGTCTCGCGCCGAGGCGCGTGGGGCTACGTACGGTCCGGAAGTCAGGGTACATGCTCCCCCAGGGAGAGACAAAACGTTCTCTCCCCAGACAACGAACGCTCGGCAACCTGAGAGGTTGGAGAAGGGCTGGTAGGCACAAACAAGGTCACACCCGCGAGCACAAAGCGCACCTCTGCGCCCTGCTGACCCGCCAGGCACGCTCCCGAGCGGGCGTGGGCTGACTTCCATATCCCGCGCTTCATGGTCACTCTCGAGTAACTCACCTCCTCGTGGCTCGTAGCCCCTCCGGCCTAGATCACCCCACACCCGTGTAACCTGTCGGCGCTCATCACCTGCCGAACTGCAGCAGTTGTTTGTCCCGGCTCGGCGCCCGTAAGGCTGAGAGCAGCAGTCACTCAGCCGTACTGGAAGGCAGGTATTGGTCCGGTGCAATTCCATGTTCTATTGGAAGCAGCGGTTTCCCGCCGTCTGGCCCGGCCTGGTACCGTGGCCTGGTATGACCTACTTGTACTTATCCAATTTCATCTAATATCTATATGGCCATTTCCGCGGCGAGCGGGTGTGCCTTTCCTTTCTAGGCGGCGCTTTCTTCTACATGCATTGAGCCACGCCCCCTTCGCCTGGTTATTCGCAAGAGACGTCAGTTCAGCCTCGACTAAAACGAGTCAAGGAAACGGGAGCGACGGAGAAGGGCAGGGCGGACGAACCTCTGATTATTTTGCCCACCGCTTGGAGCGTACTTATGACCATGACACAGCAGCCGAAAATGGCGACGGCGACGGCGACGTACGTCTTCCACGACCTCGACGACAGCTTGATGTAACAGAGCGGCGGGAGTATGTAGGCCATGGCGGAGGCGCTCGTAGCGCCGACGAGCTCGAACACGGAGCCGAGGTCGCAGGTCATGACGCTCAGCACGGTGGCGCTGATGACGAGGCTTGTGCTGAAGATGAGGTGGAGGTGCATGTTAAAGGGCTCGCCGGGGAAGTAGTAGTTAAGCATGACCTCGCGGCAGACGAAGGCCTCGAGGGGCAGTGTGGTGAGCATGTTGAGGCCGAGGCATAGGCGTGCGATGTTGACCATGGTGTTGTCGGCGGGGAAGTTATTGAGGATGTTGCCCAGCGTCTTGTCGCCGAAGGTGACGAAGCCGGCGAGCGCCATCAGCAGGCACGCCAGCATCGACACGCCCGTGGAGAAGTGCGTGACGCGGCTGAAGCGGTCGATGGTCGGCGTCTTGAGGGAGCCATAGATGAGGAGGGAGTTGTGGTGGCATACAAAGGCTTCGTAGGCAGTCAGAATCACGACAGCCTGGCACAGAGGAGAGTGGTCATGGACATACCAAATGATATTACCCCTATCGCCGAGAGTATGCCTGAGTTCACCGTGAGCAGTGGCGTGCTGAAGGATCCACGATCCTCTGAGGGCACCAAAACGCCCTGGATTACGACAGTAACTAGAATGACCATCATGCTGATCAAGGCAAGCGTGCTAGCTTTGGCAAGCTTCTCGAGGGTCAGCATGCGTCTGGCAAAGATCCTGAGATGGATGGCGGGAGGGACATTTGACACAAGGAAGGATGTACTCACCTTCGCGATGTCCCTATATAACGTCAACGGGTAGCTGACCCCAAGTATGAATATCACAATCACAGCCCTCCTATCCGCCAGTATCCAGAGCACCGGCGTGTCCCTGAGGCCGGGCCAAACAGCCTGCAGCACGTGCGGTATGGTGTCGCCCACGATGACCCCGAACGCGACCATGCCGCCGAACGCGAACAGCCACTGGGCGAGGCTGATGGCGATCAGGCCGCTCCGGCCGAAGCAGTGCTCGACGGTGCCCTGGAAGCTGTTGGCGCCGCTGAGCTTGCTGTTGACGACGATGAGGCAGATGGTCCAGTCGACGACGAAGGTGAGCCCGACCAGCAGGACGACGCCCGACAGCAGGCCGGCCTGCTTGAACGCGTAGGGCTGCCCGATGATGCCCGCGCCGATGATGCTGTTGGCCATGTTCATGAAGGCCGACCGCAGGCCCGACTTGGGCCGCTGCCGCTCGCTTTCAGCCCAGCCCTCGGCGTCCTCGTGCTCGCCGCCCCAGGGCCCGTTGGCCAGCGCCACGCTGGGCGCCTCGATGCCCGTCAGCAGCGGCCGCCGGTGCTGCCCGTCCGCGTCGCCGTCGGGCCCGCCGCCGCCGATGTCGAAGTCGAGGTCGTCGAAGCTGTCGCGCTGCGAGGACGACGACGACCCGCGCCGCTGGCTGTCGAAGCTGTCCGCCGTGCCATTGGGCGTCCGGCCGTGGAGGATCGTGGGGTTCGGGTCGAAGCGGACGCGCTGTGGCGTGCGCGGCGTTCGCTGGCCCGGTGGTGTCGGCGTCCCTGGGGACTGGGGCGGCCTCATCGCGCCGTGCGCCGGCCTTGTTGCCCCATTTGCGTCGAAGGCCGCTGTCGGGTCATGTTGTTGTTGCTGCTGGTGTTGTTGCTTCCCGAGATCGTCATCGCCGTCTGAGGACCCTGCGTCGTCGTCGAACAGCAGGGCCTCGGCTTCTGGGTCGCGTGTGCTCGCTGCTTCGGCGCTGCCGGCGTGGTGTTGCGATCTGGCCTCGGCCATCGTTTGTTGGAGCTTATCGCGAGCTCATTGTTGTGCAGCGGGCGTCGAATCTCTGGGTTCTTCTCAGCCTGCTGACTGCGTCGACGAAGGTGCAGTTGGGTACGGTGTCTTGCCGGCTCGGGCAGGCTTATTGTGCTGAATGGGTCGTCTTTCCTTCAAGTCGTGTCAGCTCGTCAGGCGAAATGTGTATGTAAGTAGGACATGTATGCGTTCGGGGTTCAGGGGTCTGCTATTGAACTACGGATCCGGCCTGTGGCCTGTGGCCCGTGGCCCGCCCATGCCGGGTCGCAAAGCAGTAAAGATCTCCCACTGCAAGAGTCAGACACCATCAAGGTTACGAGAATAGGAGGGAGCAGAGGCTGTTATTGTGAATCGAAATATTACTGTGCGTATATTCGTAATATACACATTACAATGTGCTATGTATACATGTATGTATGAAGTGCCCGGCCCATTCGGGCTCATTTTTGGCGGACCCTCAAACCTTCCGGCCGAGGGTTCACGGGTATCTTGCTGCGGGATGGATATCATGATGCCTCCTTTTCTTTTATTTTGAAGCTCTCTGCTTCTCACTTGTACAGGCCGCTCTGGCCAGCACCTTCTCCCCTTGACTTGGCCGCAATTTTCTTGGTCTCGTTTGTTTCGAGGTTTCTTTTTGCATGTAACCTTCCACTACTTCGCTATTGTGCCAGTATGACCATGACGCCAACAGCGAACAATGCTGATGTGCATGTTCCAAGCATCAACTGCTTGCTCGGCGATGATGCCGCAGATGTCGTGATACCGCCTGTCTCCGCCGCGGCATTTGCTCCTGACGACGAAGTTCCTGTGGTGCTGCTTGCCGTCGAGCCTGCGCTGCTGGTGCTTGTGCTTGTGCTCGGCTTTTTCACGACCTTGGTTGCAAAGCCTGGTGATGAATCAGTATTGAGTCCTGTGTGTTCGATCATAGCGAGCGGCTCGAAGAAGAAAAATCAAGAGACTTACCAACCCGCGTCTGGTCGATATCGAAGACGGTATACACATTCTTCAGGTACACGGCCCCAAGAAACCATGCACCGGTCACAACTTCGCGGCCGAAGATATTGCTCGTGCAGACACCGCTATCGGACGGGTCTGACAGCCAGTCCTTGACCGAGATGTTATGCTCAACGCCGGAGAACGTGACAGTGATAGACTTGTCACTATCGCACGGGGCAGTGAAAGTCACCCCGTCGGAGCTGTTGGCACCCGGAATGATCTTGTGGAGGGCCGCGACATCATCGGGCGGACCGAAAGCATAGGTTGTTCCAGTATCGATGTACGCGAGCCTTCCGGTAACATTGGCCTTGTTGCTGTCGTAGCCGATGCCAGCCATCGGAATTGCCCAGTCCCCATTGGCTGTGGCGTTGACGGGCGTGTAGGTGATGTCTCCCGTGAACTTGCTGGAGTCGATGCCACCAAAGGTGATCTGTCCTGTGTTCGGGCCGTCCTCAGCTCTGTCGAGAGCCACACTGAACACGTTGGACTTGAGTAGCTTGTCTTCCTTGACGCTTCCCATAAAGTTATCAGATGAACCGTTGTTCATGGACAAGCCCAATATCCCGTCAAAAGCAAAACTTTTGAAATCATCCGAGGTTGTGTTGGCCACGCCGAAGGCCATGGTGACTTTCACAGACGCAATCGTCATCGAGTCTTTTGTCAACGTCCCGTTAACAGCCCCAGTGCCATAGTTGAGGGAGAATTCATCGCCAACGGCTTTAGACGTGGTCGAGTCTGAGGGTCCCCAGGTCGTGTGCATCTTACAGGCATCTGAGTTGCAGTTTGATCCCATCACCCATGTTGTTCCGGCTCCTGTATCACAGAGCATGTACAAGGGCTTGTCGCTGGATCCCAGCTTTGCTTCGATAAAGTAGGAGAAATCCGTGCCATCTTGGTCAATCCCAGCACTGTTTGTTCCGGAGGGGGTTGCCGCTGTTGAAACAGAGTACTGGTTGTCTCTGCCGACCAGAACCTCCGGGCTGGGCGAAGTGCGGGATGCCTTTGAGCTGAATTTGCGAGTCAAGCGTCGGGCTTCGCGAGCTGCGTTGTCCGCCGACAGGCCGCCATCCCTAGCAGAACTCTTTTGTGAGATCTTGTATGTCGTTGGCTTATCACCCTCTCTGTATGACGGAATAAATGGATAGAATGCCAAAGCAGTGGTGGCCCATGTCGTCAAGATAACGGCACAACGCATGATGCCTCTTCAACCCGAACTGCTGATTTGGTGATAGTGGAGTTACAGCCCTCACAATTCCCCAAGCGAATTCGAGATTCAATGAACCGATCTGATTGTTTGCCGTTTGATCAACTCATCTCAGGTCCAAATTCGAGTTCAGACAAAAGTCAGTCCGGAGGTGGCGCTGGCGGGGATGTGCAAATTGGCGACAGTCGACGCGACAGAGCAGCGTCGATGACTGGCTGGATGACCGAGAACAGTGAAGGCCTCAGCAAGTCCTTGGTCGAGAGTACCAGACTCTGGCTCTTCTTTCGTCGACCGGATTAGATATTAGATATTACGTAGTAGAGGCTGGTGGTAGAAGCAGCTCCAGCATCCCCGAAAGACTTCCACTGGGTGCACACTTGAGACAGGTGAAGGAAACAAGATGTCCCGTCGCAAATGCTGAGGTGGATAGAGCTATCGTGACTGGAACGCAGTGGCTGATCTTTATGAAGTAGCAAAGCTCCGAGACAAAGGGCGCTACTGGACAATGCAAACGAGACGCAAACCACGAAAAATTGCAAGCAGAATCAGTAAAGATGCCGCGCCAAGTGAGGAACAAATACGACGTGCTGGGAGAGGGCAATCGACGGTGGCCTCGGGAGAAGTCGAGGGGTTCAAGGGAGTGAGGAGAGGAAAAACGGACAAGAGAAGCACTTGGCCGAGGAGAGATGGGCAAGACAAGACAAGAGGAGTTCGGGAGAGGAGGTGAACGCGCCTCAGGACAGAAGAGGAAAGTGATCTGGCATGGAGTACAGTAGACAGACCACTGCTGGATGCAACACAAGCTTGCACTTGTTGCTGTAGTACAGCACGGCACAGCTCGATGTGCCGGGTGGAGCGGACTCGGGCAGGGTTACTTCATGCTATCAACGATTGACTTCAACCCCAGATCCACCCACCCACCACCGTCCACATTCAGTCCAACGGGGCTTAGCACCGAGTCCAAGCTGGCCCAAATGGATCGACTAGCCAGGGGCAAGCTCTGGCTGGGCCTGAGCAATGGGGGCCACGCTCGATCTTCCCCTGGCAATCAGCGCCGACGTGCCTGCTTGCCCTCTTCCGTCCTGGCGCGTGCCCAGGCCGTTGATAGTGCGTGTGGTGTTCTTGGTCCCGGCCGCAGATCGAAACATTGGATGAGCGTTGGAGGCTCACGTATGGCTCACGGGCTGGCGGGCTGGCGGCTTGCTCTGCCTGGGTGCAACTTCGTCACTGCATGTTTAATTGGACCTTGGCACTAACCAGGACAGAGATGCACGGAGTGGGCTCTTGCAGATCCTCGAAAGATCACTTCAAGCAGCACCGGGGCTTTTTTTTTTTTTTTTTTTCCTCGTTCGTTTGTTTCGCGGCAGCAGCAGCAGCACATTCCAGGTTTTGCACGACAAAAAACAAACACGAGAACTCTAATCCGGGCCTTCGCGACCTTGTCATATTCCCTGCACAACCGCCCTCGGTGAATCATGCAGTCTCTTGTCCGATGGGCGACAGGCGGACAGCTTCGGGGCGCGGCTCGGGGGGACACCCCAATTTCGATAATTCTTAGACTAGAATCGATCATGGATGGGCCAAGCCCTCGTCCATCCACGCGCCCAGACTCGCCAGAGCCAAGTGTGCAGCCAAAAAGGGCACAGACGGGGTCAGGGGTCGGCATGTCATGTCAGATGTCAAGGCGATTTGAGAAGCTCCACAAGCAATAGCACAACTTGCTATCACGAGACTGCCCGTCTCGGCGGATTCAATGTTGTAAGCTTACCAACTCGCAACACCACATGTTCGTCAGATTCAAGTGCTTTGGCGTTAGTGTATGCTTCCCTGTGTAAATCGGTCTTGACAGGAATGCTATAGTCTGCTGGGCGAGTAGACTCTGCCCGTGACATGTACCCATTACACGAGATGAGCGCATCCCACCCCATCTAACCTAGTACCAACCGAGATGCGAGCCCATGAACCAACGAGTTGCCGCTCCGGCTGAGCCAGAACCAGAAAAGAGTTCTTTCCACAATCAGGGGTAAAATCAGAACTCGTATGCAAGCCAACATGCCATGACCACCACACTCAGCCGCATCTAGACTGTTCGCACCGTTGTCCTTTGTGCTGTGGTATTAGGCTGTCCGCAAGCGAGATGTCTCATAATCTCACACACACGTGGCGCATCAATGTCCTACCGCAAATACGCGCGCAAGGTCCAGATCAAGCGCGGTGCAGATTCGCCTCAAACCAGGTCTGGGCCATCACGAGCGCACGTGATGCCTCTTCAGAGTCCCCAGTCTTGTGTAGCAATGCCGTCCTGGTGTCCTGAAAGAGCGTGGCCTCCTTCTCTCCCATGGGCGCCGATGCTGCCAGCGTTCTCAGGAAGACCCACGTCGACTCGTTGGTCCACTGCAATGAGACCGCGAGCTTGGCGGCCTCTTCAAAGACAGCTGAGGCCTTGGCAGCGTCGAGCTTCGCGAGCAGGAAGTGCAGGTATGACCAGCCGGATACGTCGGTATGATTTCGGAAGCACCAACGTTTTGTTGGTTCTAACAGCTCCCTGAGGACGTGGTCCTCTTGTCCATCCTGGCCCTCCGGCCTATTGTTGGTCAGCCAGCGGGCATGGCACCAGGCGTAGTAGTTCCTAGGATGTCTCTGGCCAGCTACCATGACCACCTTCTCCAGGCTTTCAGCGACGTTGTGCTGGGAGCCATGGCGTGCTGCCGTCTCGACGAGCCAGCGGCGATGGCTCCATAGAGTCGGGGACTTGGTATGTCTGTGAAGACGGCTGGTGAGCAGACTGTCCACGAAGAACATGTCTCTCTCGATGGCTTCAAGCAGACGTTCTTCAGACGGGGCTCCGGCCGAGACTGCCAGCTTCTTGCGAGCGTTCGCGGCCGTCAGGTGCTCCGGATCCATCAGAAGCACCACGCTCGTGACGGCCAGGAGTCCGTCATACGACAGAATGCTTTCGGTGCTGATGTGGCGCTGAAGGATTTTCCGGGCAACGAAGAAGGCCTGCACAAGACCGTATTTGGAAACAGCTATGGCATTTCCATCCTGCAGGAGAAAGGTTCCTGGTTCAAGCGGATGGCTCTTCCCTAGGATCTCGAATTCCAGTAGTTCGCCGTGTTGGGCCTTGCGTTCGCTCAAAGCTTTGGAAATCGCCTCGTAGGCTGCCGTCGGATCGCTGTTGCTCAGAGCTTCAGCGACTGACTTGTTGACAGCCCTGGACATCTTCTTGCCTAGGACTTAAAAGCTCAGTTCACGCCTGTTGTGGCCTTCGGGTAGTCAGCAATGCGACGAAACGCTCATGGATATTTGTCTTCTTACATCCCAGACCACCTTGCAAACAGGGGCTGGTTTCCAGAAGATGATTTGCGGTTGCCTACTTAATGAAAATCTCTGCTGTCATAGCCGTTTGTCACTTAAGGAGTTATTTTCATCGATCGTGACATAATGCTGGCACAGATACTCGTTGTCAGTATCGGTGCGGTTGACTGGAGATGAATTCCATGTGAATCAGCTGCCCTCAAGCTCCGGTCCCCTCGCTCGGGCCCAGCAATTTGAAGTGACGCCCTTACGTAAGACACTGGCGGCTCAAGTTCAACACACTCCTAGGGGCGCTCAGAAGACACTCGCGGAATGAATAGGAAGATCAACCATGAGTCCTCGGAATTTGGGAGTTCACACTGAATGGCAACGGGTGTGTTCTGAGGCTGGGTTGCCAACGCCGCAAGCAGGGCAGACGGCTCCCGTTCGTGGGGCACGGATAATTCCATTACTTGTTATGCTGCCCTCTTACACAACAACGGTGATATGGTATATGAAGTTTTCTTGGTCAGGCTTTCGCCGTTCCATTACGCCCACTGATATCTGCCAGTGTCGCAAAGTGATGCCTCTGCTCCCTCGTATCATTCGCAGTACTGAAAACTGCCAGAGAACTGCCGCACCGGTATGCCTTCTCGTTCATCGCTCCTGGTAGCTCCCATTCGATTCCGATCTCTATGCGCCGCCAACAAGGATGTTGCTGCAAGTACGTCCTGTTAGTTACTTCCATTCATCATTGACATCGCAAAGAAGATTCCTTGGATGTGCCGGTCCCTGAGACTTGACTCTCCTGGGACTCGCGTGGCACGATCACCACGAGTGCCAGCTACCCCTGATGAAGCGAAGAAGGGAGGATGCAGTCTGAGGAGATCTCTTACTTGAGGGGAATGTGTATCAGCTTCACGATGTATCCGACGAAGCCCATGATCAAGACTGCATGCCAGGGAGTCAGCATCTGGAGCCGCACGTCGCGCGATCGAGTTTGGTGTGAGGATTCGAAGGGGGCAGTCTTTCGGTGTGGTTGCAGTGCTTGTGCGACACGGAGTAGTCGTCTCTAGGGACGACATCGAGCGGTTCACAGGATTACTCACAGCCGACGCCAACTGCTTGCGAGATCTGCACACTCTTGTGTTAGCATTTTGCCAGATGCTTCCAATATTGAGGAAAGCATACCTTGAGGAACTCCTTCTGATCAGGCTTCTGGCACCTTGTCACTAAGAAACAATTAATGTTAGCATCAACAGCCTGGACAGGTGGAGATCGTCTGGAGCGCGATAGGAGGCCACTTACTGAACTGTACTCCATCCTTGACGAATTCCCGGGGCACCTCGAGAGCTTCAGAGACTTGGTCGGCCATTGTAGATGATTGTGGAGTTGAGAAATCCGAAAGAGAGACTGGGCAGCTGCGGGTAGACGAGGCGGGTCGATTTGTGATTAAGGAGAGGTTGAGCGAAGAAGGGTGGTGAGAGAGCGAGTTGGTCAAGGTAATTGATTGCCTGCTAAACACGTCGCCTCATCCGGGTTGAATTGAAATCGCATTGCTGGCCTTCCGGCCGGCGCAACTCAATCGACAGGGTATCGGCTGCTCCAGGCGCCGCCAAGGGTCTGCCACTAGCGGGCTACAGCTGTGCACCGCCCGGCAGAATCCAGAAAAAGTTACCTGACTTAAGGTGAAGAGGAAAAAAAGATGGCCCAGCAGTTCTAGCTTTCTCTCTAATATACCATTTTCCACTGCAAATAAGGCATTGAACCTCGAATTTTGCCCAGCATGCCGGTGGAACTGCGACCTAGAAGGTCGAAGGGTACGCAAACGATCAAATGCAAACCTCATGTGATTGAACTACGCTGACCAGAGAAAAGCTACCGCGTCTGCAGAGTCGGCCGCGGTCGAGGAGACGCCCAAGCCCAAGGTTGCGAAGACCCCAAGGTCCACAAAGCGCAAGGGTAAGAACTAGATTTTCCTCCGAAACCACAGAGAAGCTGTGCTAATTGATTGTCAGCAACCGAGGATGGCTCTCCCACTGCCACCAAGAAGCAAAAGTCTGTGAAGACCCCGGCCAAGACCAAGGATGCCACGGACGCCCCGACTGAAGCTGCTGAGCTATCGACACCGGTTCCAAAGTCTGCCAAGAAGGCGAAGACTCCGGCGAAGAAGAAGGATGTGGAGGAAGGGCCCTCGGAGGTAGCTGAGAAGCCAACCCCGAAGCCCAAGAAGGACAAGACGCCTGCAAAACCTAAGGAGACTCCCCAGCCTGCCGTTGCGGACACCCCGAAGCCCGCCAGCAAGGCCACTCCAAAGTCCGCCGCCAAGGAGACCCCGAAGACTGCCAGCAAGGCGAAGCCAAAGTCTGCCCCAGAGACTGCCCCAAAGGAGACACCCAAGCCCGCCGGCAAGGCCACTCCGAAGTCTGCCCTTAAGTCTGGAGCAAAGTCTGCCGCGAAGGAGACCCCTAAGCCTGCCGGAAAGGCGACGTCAAAGTCTGTCTCCAAGGAGACACCGAAGTCCGCTACCAAGGAGGCCGACGAGACCCCCGCGCCCAAGCCCAATGCTAAGCAGGAGAAGACCCCAAAGAAGACGCCGGCCAAGGCAACCCCGGCCAAATCCGCGAAGAAGTCTGGGAAGAAGGCCGAGCCCGAGCAGATCGTTGAGGAACAGGAGAAGATCGTCCAAGAGGTTGAGAATGATGCCACAGCCGCCGACGAGGAGGAGCAAGCCTCCTCTGATGAGGAGGTTGATGAGCAGACCAAAGCTCTTGTTCTGGCTGTCGACAGTGGAGATGAGGACGAGCAAGCTTCTGGGGTGATCACCTTCGATCAAGGACAAGACGTGGGCACAATTCCTGACGTCTCTAAGGAGCTTTCCAAGAAGGAGAAGAAGGAAAAGAAGGCACTCAAGGCCGCCTCTTCAAAAACCAAAGACTGGAGTGATTTACATCGGTCGTCTGCCACATGGTTTCTACGAGCACGAGATGAAAAACTATTTCTCCCAGTTCGGCCCTATACGCAACCTGAGGGTCTCTAGGAACAAGAAGACCGGCAGGGCGAAGCATTTTGCGTTCGTGGAATTTGAAGAGGCCAGCACTGCTGAGATTGTGGCCAAGACCATGGATGTGAGTTGTGCCCCGTATTCTTTTGGCTGGCGTTAAGTGCTAACGTTTGCTCAGAATTATCTACTTTTCGGGCACATTCTCAAGTGCAGTGTCATTCCGAAGGCACAAGTCCACAAAGATCTCTTCAAGGGATCGAACAAGAGGTTCAAGGTAAGTCCACATCTCTCGGTGCTCAATCACCGGCTCAACTGACGTCCATACCTAGTCGATACCGTGGAACAAGATGCAGGGCAAAGAGATGGAGCGGCCGAAGCTTGAAAAGCAGTGGGAGAGGAGCATCAAGCGCGAAAACAAGAAGCGAGCTGCCAGAGCGAAGAAGCTTGAGGCCTTGGGTTACGAGTTTAACGCACCGGAAGTCAAGTCCGTCACCGAGGCCAAGGCCATCGCGGAACCGGAGGAGGCACCAAAGGCGATCGAGGCGCCACCACCGGCAGCTGAGGCCGAGTCGGAGGCTGCTCCTGCTGAAAACGCTGTTGAGGAGAGCACTGTCGAGGAGCCAAAGGCAGAGGTGGAGGCAACGCCGGCTAAGAAGGCCACCAGAGGCAGAGGAAGACCTGCAAAGACGCCCCAGAAGGCCGCCGCAGCAGCAGAGACGCCTAGGAAGACGAGGAGGACCAAGGCGTAGAACATCGACGTCTAGTCGCTTAACATTATCACTGCATGTCTAGAGGTGCAGATGCTACAAATTTCAATAGTCATATCTCGCGCCAGCGAACCTGAAGAGTCCACTAGAGACGTATCGTCTCGGACAGTCATCAGGATTATATAAGTGCGAATATCAATCTGCTTCGCAACATTCAGTGAATGCGACAGAACTCATGTGTGTAGACAACATCGAGCTCTGGGATGGCGAAGGTGGAAATGTGAGGAGGGAAAGAAAGAAAACCAGCAAAAATTCCTGCGCCGATACGAAGAGCTATGTACCCAGGGTCGGCGAGCCACCCACTTGCCTGACCCCCGCCCCTGGCCAATGAGCGCTGGCGCCCGTAGGAGCCACCTTTTCCGCCTAGGCTCCCGGTTCCGCTCCCTGGGGGCCAGGCCTGCCCAGGTGGATATCGAACCTGGCAACACGGCACCCGCAACTCGACCGACGCCTCGAAGCAATCGATCCAATGCCATTCGTTTTGAGACGCATGCGTCCCAATTGATATCATGTCTTCGGCGGCCCCACAAGATGCGATTACAGCAGCTCAGGGCCAAGCCGCCGGCTCGAAAAAGAAGAAGAACAAGAAGAACAAGCCCAAGAAGGCGCTCGACACCAACAACGCCAACGATGGCACAGGCTCGGCTGAGCCCAGTCCTCGCGACAGCAACAGAGACCTGTCAGCCGACGAGGAGCCAGACACCCCGGTGGTAAGTCGAGAAGCACGACCCAGAGGCCCCAGACCCACTCTCGCTCTGCGGACCCGAGCTCCTGGACACATAGCTCATAGGTCTGGACCGCGGCATCGTTAGCAAGGGTCGCTCTCCCACAAGGCTGCGGTGGCTCATTTGCATCGTCAACCCCTGTTCCTAACATGTATATATGACAGACAGAGAGCAGTGATACCAGAAGAGAGAACCAAAAGTTACCGTCGACCTCCGTGACGGCACCCGACACGCAAGGGAACGGACATGTTCGAGCGCCATCCGGGAACGGTCATCCTGTCTCCTCCGACCCCCGTCCAACGCAAGCGATCACCACGAACGACACAAGCGCAAAGCTAGAGGCTATGTCGGAAGAGCGAGAAGCGCTCCGCAAGGAGGTGGAACAGCTCCGAAAGCAGCTCGAGACGATACAGGAATCCCACACGTCGGAAGTGAGCAAGCTGAAGACGGACCTCGAAGAAAGCGAGTCTGCGAAGGACCAGGCCGAGGAGCAATACCAAACACTGCTCGGAAGGGTTGAGAAGATCAAGCAGACGCTGGGCGACCGCCTAAAGAGAGACAGGGCCGAGCTGGAAGAAGCGAATCAACGTATCGAGGAACTCGAGGCGCAAAATGAGGAGCTACAGAAGGGCGATTCCTCCCACGAGGAGGAAATAGCCAGGCTTACAGATGAGCTGCAAGAGTCAAATCGTGAGCTAGCGACTCTGAGGAGCCGGAACAACCTGGCGCAGCAGAACTGGCTAAAGGAGAAGGACGATATGGCGAGACAGGTGCAGCACTTCCGGAGTGAGCTGGAGTCTACGAGCAGCGCCATGGGCGAATGGGAAGTCATCGCCATGGAAGAGCGGCAGGTGAGGGAGAGTCTCACGGAAAAGGTCGCAGATCTCGAGGAGCAGCTGTCATCCGTCAGGGAGGCGTACGAGAGAGCCGCGGAAGAGAGGGATAGCTCCCTGCAGACCATCGATGGGTTACAAAGGGCTCTGCAAGAAATCCAAGAAGCAAGAAGGAAAGAGCTGAGAGATCTCGTTGAGTCTTCGGAAGAGCAGCTTCAGGAGATGAAGAAGCGGGTGGAGGAAGCCGACAGTCGTGTAGCAGAGGCCGAAGAGGCCAAGGAGAGGCTCACGAAAGAGCTGGAAAGGACAGCCCCGTTCGAGAAGGAGGTCAGGGAGAAGAACCTGCTCATCGGGAAGCTGAGGCACGAGGGTATCATACTCAACGACCACCTCACGAAGGCTCTGCGGTATCTGAAGAAAACGAAGCCAGACGAGCAGGTGGACAGGTAAGCGCATATATCACACTACTACCGTAAGGATTCCATGCTTACATTTCAAAGGCAAATCATCACAAATTACTTCCTGCAATTCCTCTCGCTGGACCGGTCAGACCCAAAGAGGTTCCAGATCCTACAAGTCATCGCGGGCTACCTCGCCTGGACGGACGAGCAGAAGGAACAAGCAGGCCTCGCCCGCCCCGGCGCCTCGAACAGCACCCTCCGGCTCCCAGTCTCGCCCTTCCACCGGACACCCAGCACACCATCCCTCAGCACCGAGTTCTTTTCCGAAAATGCGCCGACGTCGGGCAAGGAATCTCTGGCGGACCTCTGGGCCGGCTTCCTCGAGCGTAGCGTGGAGGAGGGCCGGCCAATCGACACTCTAGGCACCAACTCGAGGAAAGGGAGCGTGTCTAGTAGCACGGGGACAGGGACAACAGTAACCAAGCCAGATGGCGGGAAAGGATAGACGGTGAATCCAGGCCGCTTAGAGACTTCGAGAATCAAGATATTTTAATGGCATTCTGTTGGCGTTGGGGCACAGCAGAGGGAGGGAGTAGCATGTACGGGACGGACTTAGACAAGCACCCTTGGGGGAGAATATCACCAGGGCCGCTAGATGGAGTCCATGTGATGGCCACGTTGAAAGATCACTTGAAAGATGCGATCGTGCGGTGACTATCGTGGCGTTTCTGTCTAAACTCATGTCATGGCCTGCTGCAACACATCGCGAGCGTACGTCTCGGCAACCTGCCCGATATTATCCAGGTCGACCCGCCTGTTCTCCACAGCGTCGCGCATGCTGCCCACGACCTCCTCGCTCTCCATGGCCTCAGACATGATTATAGCCTCGTGGGCCCAGTACCTCGCCTCGGCGGCCCTCAGCTCACCGTCCCTAGCGGTGGTGTTCTTGATGACACCCGCGGCGTGCAGCTGGTTGCGCGTCTTGGCCAGGCCGGCGGTGACGCCGTCGACGCACTCCGAGACGGTCCGCGCCACGGGGAACATGCGCCGCGTGCCGCTCAACCACAGCGCGCCGGCGACGAGCACGTCCAGCGCCGCCAGCCCCAGGTGCCGCAGCGCGCGCGCCCGCCAGTGGAAAAAGGTCACCTCGCCCAGCACGCGGGCCTTCTCGTTGCCCGCCACGTGGTCCCAGGTCGCCAGGAGGTAGACGTCCAGGGCCGCGGCGCCGACCGCCGCGTAGGCTGCCAGCGATCGCCACTGCGAACCCTCCTTCCCCGTCAGCCAGGCCGACGTGCCGGCTCCGAGGAGCGCGGCATTGAGCAGGTGGACGGCGGCGATGGCCGGGGCGGCGTACAGGAGGTAGGTCGTGGGCTCGTTGGAGTTGCAGAAGGGGCAGTCGACGAGGGCGTCCGGGCCGTACTTGTAGTAAAGCAGCTTGGAGGCGCGCGACTCGAACTTGTCGTGCAGGACGTTATCCCTGGGCGTCAGGGCGCGCAGCGACGACAGCCGCGAGAGGATCAGGTTGTTGGAAGAGGTCGGGTTCGAGCGCGTCACGGCGAAGACGTTCTCGGGCGCCAGAATGGGCAGCGTGCTGGCCGCGAGGAGGGACGCCGCTGCGGCGAGGAGGATGACGGCGGCGAGCGTGCGGGTGGGCAGGGGCCGGATGGGCTGCTTTGGGTTGCGCTGGGCGGCGCGCGCGTTGAACCAGGTTATGGCCTTAGGGAGGAGCATGGGCCCGAAGAAGATGACGAGGGACTTGATCCTGGAGGGTGGATGTGTTAGTCTGTGTAGCTGGTGAAAGTATGAGTGGTGTTGTCTGGAGAGGTGGCTACTCACGTCCCCCATGATACCGCCATGGCTGCTGCCGTTGCTGCTGCTTTGCTGAACGAGAGTTGTGTTGCAAGGAAAGGAGGCATTTGGGATAGGTGTTCATGACAGCCGAATTGGAGTTGTATTTTAGTGGACAAGGCCCTTTGCTAACCAGCCGGGGTGCGACTGCCGATCTTGACAGCAAGGGGATGGATGAAGTGGCGCTAACCCAGGTAGCTCCGATAGTGGGGCGTCCTGAGGAGCTTACAAAATTCGAGAAGCGCAAAAGTTCATCCAGCAATCGTCCTCTGTCTTCCACAAACCAACCGTGTACTCTGCACGCAAGGATCGATATTTCACGGCCTCTGTGTTGTGAGATCTGATCTGGGTATTCTGCGAAAACTGGTTTTGTCCCTTTCGATCCCTTCTGAGTTCTCAAACTTTGATATTGAAGGCGAACAGGAATCACGGTAGGTTGACAGTTCAGCGTGCGGCTCACCAGCGAGCAGCACTACAACAGAACCAAACATTCCCCGGACATGGGCACTTTCGAAGCTTTAGCAATCTTTTTCCTCAGTGGTTGTCAGAGTCAAAGTGTTGCCCAGAACAAGCCCAAGTACTCTGCCAAGAGTCATCTCACTTCGTGTTGCTGAGTTTCAGCTCCGGCTATGAAGAACTCTGCGTCAAATTTGCTGAGAGACATACGCGATCTCCATATCTAGAACACCAAGCTTTTAGTTGTCCCTAGGTTGTGGCGCCGCAATATGCAAAATGGCCACGCTCATTATTATAACTCCTTCTTGCTGCTGTCCTCCTTTTCCTGTGACTTTTCCGAGCCCGCGGGGGCGGCAGAAGCCTTGACAGGTTCCTCCGCCTGCTTTCCCTTCCCGCCCTGCATCGCGGCCGCCACCAGACCGAGGACCGCCGTGATCGTGTCCGCCACCAGCGTGATCACGCCCGTGCAGGCGAGCTGCCACGACGCGACGCTGACGCTGCCCATGGGCGCCCGCGGGAACGAGATGATCCACTCGGCGTAGTAAGGGAACCAGCCGTGCGGCAGCCAGAACATGGGCGATTTCGAGTACCAGAACGGGAGGAAGTAGCGCAGGCCCGAGGTGCACAGCCACCGGGCCGTCGTGACTGTCTTGTCGAAGGCGGCCTTGGAGCCGTCGATTCCGGTCTCTGTACGATGGGGAAAATGTCCTGTCAGCTTCTCTATCGTCACCGAGTGATGCCCTTTACCACCGCTGTCCCGGTCCCAGGGGGAGATCCTGTATCTGTGTGTTTGTCGGGGACTCAGGGATGTTCGAGGGAGGGAGGGGACGACGCACTCATCTTCTCCAGCTCCTCCAGCATCTTGTCGTGCTGCCGCCGCAGCTTCGCCCACTTGGCGAACTCGTCCTGGCTGCTCGTAGCGTTCAGGTCACGCCGGACCTTCAGGTAGTTTTGTTGTAGCTCGCGCTGGTCGCGGATCTGCTTCGAGGTGCCCAAGGGGGTCGCGATGTAGAGCTTCCATAGCTTCGGGGGAGGGAGCAACAGGTCAGCCAGGTTACCTCACGCACTCATCGGTCTCACCACGTCGGCGTCGTGACCGGGAGCAGAGGTAGTGTGGGCAGAGCATCAGCTACTCACCAGGTTGTTGATGGTCGCTGCGCCGATGCTGTTCACCACGGCGACGGCAAGCTCGACCGCGAAGATGACGAGGAGGGACGCCATCGTCGACTGTGAGTTGCTGAGTGTTGAGTTGGAGAGCTATGAAAAGGCAGCCAATGTCTCCAGGACCATGCTGCCAAAGGTGCGAGCGTGGCCTTGAGGTTGTGGAGAGCCGGACTGATTGCTTAGTGCTGCAGCTATGGAGGAGTGGGATTGCTTTTCAACGTGTTGCATCATACCCGAATTGCAGCCTTGGTTTTTGGTGCAGCCCCCAACGGTCCTCTTTCTGTCTCAGCAGACCACACAGACTCGTGGAGATTGAGAGCAGAGAACCAACAGGCGCAGTCTTGAATAAATTCATACCTAAGTTGCCACAAACAGTATATTGATTTAACCAGTGAATTCTTCCTCATACACAACTTCCTATATGCTGCATGGAAAACTGTGACACTGTGCAAGATAAATTCCCGTTTGGGCAGGATAGGCCTCTCTTGGTGCCTTTTTATGCTACTGAGAGCCTGCGCATGTCTTGGGAATCCCAACGCCTTGGACCTACATGTACAGATACACATGAGAGACACAGCATTCTGTCTCACTCTCTCCTTCTCTCCATACCTGCCTCTCGCAACATCATATACAATGATCACACTGATCGTGCAGTCCAAAGCAAAGCCGATTAACTCCACCCATCAACATTTCCGTTCCTCATGGGGTATTGGGCAGCGCCGTCTAGATCCAATACAGTGTCCAATTTTCCCACCTTCCCGAATGCATGAGATCATGCATAGATAGAAAAAGGCCCAACCAAGCTTACAGTGCCCTTCCCCCTATATACCATTTTCCCTTGATTGCCCCGTCAGATGCATCATTAAGTCGTTGACCTGGTTCGGTACGTAGAGGTTGTAAGACCCTACGCCAGAATATCACACACAATTTTTTAATTTGATGGCTGTCAGTCGTCGTACTCGGCGCTCTGGTCGTCCACGAGGATGAGAACCGTCAACGCTGCAGCATAGGCCTCCCGGATGGCGCATGCCATGCTACACCGTGTTTGTTAGCAATCCGTTTTGATGCCTGTCATCTGCGAGCATGGAAGAGAATTCACTCACCAGGTCTTTCCGATCACCGCAACGACCGCACTCATGCCCCAGTGAGCACACCAGGCCCTCGCGAGGACCTCGTTGTCGGGCACACCGAAAGCCTCGATCACCAAGACCTTCTCGTCGTCGTCCTCTCTGTCATAGCCATTGCCATTGATGTGGCCGTTCGTCGCGGGGACGCCCTTCGACGAGCCCTCTCCGGCCGGCGACTCCGACTCGCTGCGCGAACCATGGTCAAAACCGTTACCGTCCAGCCTCGCCCTGCTCTTCGGCCCGTAGAGCCCCGCCCAGTCGCGGATCTCGATAATCTCGTCCACCTTGACCGTCTGGTGGGCGTAGTCGAAGAACAAGGGGTGCGGCCCGTCCGTGCACGGCCAGGCGTGGATGAAGCTCACGTCGTACGTCAGCCTCAGCGGCCACGAGACCCCGTCGATGGCGAACTGGATCGCGGCGTCAAACCACTTCGGCCCTGGCTCCCCTGCCCTGTCCGCGCAGGGCTTGAGCGTGAACATCTCGATGCGGACGGTATCGACGATGTCGTCGACTTCGGGGTGCACCAGCTCATACTCCTTTACGGGGAATACCTCGGTAGGAGGGCCCAGCGGGTCGGATCGTTCGGACATCGAGGTCACATCGTCGGACTTGAGGCGCTGCCGAGGCCGCCGAGATCGTATTCGCGCTATCTGTGACCGCTTGAGGTGGGGAGTTGGCCTTGCGGGGCCAACCCAGCCGGCGACTTCGAGGCACGTTGGCGCAAGGACCTTGCCGACGATCGACGTTGAGGTCCAGTATGTATAGCTGTTGCGGTACTGGAAACCGCAGTTGGGGTTGAGGTGGATGAGTAGAGCTAGGTCGTCTGTGGCTTCGTCCGGGTCGATATCGATCAAAGCATTCATCATGATGAAGGGGAAGGTGGGCTGTTCAGTGTTAGCGTTGGAATACAGGCAAAAATGCTAGGAAGGGATGTCAAGTTCTCACCCCGGGTAGCACCAAGCCGCTGAAGAAGGCCATGGCATGGGAGCTGACGGCATCGAGGTTTGCAGCCTGATCTCCTTGCCTCAACGCTGCGAGGGTCTCGGCAAGGTTGGGCCACTTCATCATCTGCGCGAAACGCTTGATCATCTTCACCTGCCGCCGCTTGAGTTTGAAGCGCAATTTGACTAGGGGCGAGTTAGTGTGTCAATCTTCTCGCCCAGACGGACTATTCCATACCTTGATCTCCCGTGTTCCCATATGCCTCTATCCTCACGTTGTCCCGCCATCTCCTTGAAAGGGCGAGATTCCATCGAATAGTAGGAGGGAGCTGCTCAAGGAGTTTCTCCTTGGCCCACTCTGTATGCTGCCTGGAATGTATCCTCAGATCCAGCTCCATGCTAAGAAGAAGCTGGTGGAAAAACTTGACGTATTGGTCATGGTTCGCGTGTCCTGTGTCGAAGATGAATCTGGTAATGATGTGATTTTTGGGGTTTGAGAAGTCGATCCAGTGGTCGGGCCGGGAGAGAACGAGGATGAGATCGGTGATTTGTTTGTCGAGTGTCTTGTGCGGGCTGAGCATTCGGTCGGGGTCCTTCAGAAGCTTCCTGTAGAGATTCTTGTACATGTACTCCAGGTCGTCGTCCTCAAGGCCACCCTCCAGATCTCTCAGCCTCCCGAATATGCGGACCAGGTCCACGTCGCGGGGCTGCACACCGGAATCGCGTATGTTGAGCGCCGGCGGGTACGCGCTCGCAGTGGACGCCCATTGATTCAACGTGACCGTGCCAGGCCGTTCGCCAAAATGGAAAGAGAAACTGGGCTGTTCTATGGTCTCCCAGGGATATGTGGCAGGTCCTGGCCCTTGCAGCCTCATGGTCATGAGCTGGGTCATGGAGTCGTGCTGGTTCACGCCGTCGGTAGCATCGCCTCTGTTGCCGGCTGTGGTGGCGTAGGTCGAGAAGAACTGATCTGCGAGATGCGGTATTGGCCTCTTGACGCCTCTGTGGGCAGGAACGCCCCGACATATGAGCTCCATGGCGTGGCCGAGATTGAGCTCCTCGTCGCTGGCGCACCCGGAGGGTGGCCATTCGGTCAGGGTATAGGGCGGGCTGTAGGGCCCATTCCCATTCGGCAATTGCCGTCCTTTGCCCTTTGGCGGAGGAGGGTCTGAGACGGGGCGCTTGAGCCGATTCCGTGACTGAGCATGGGGTTGAGAGCCGTTGGCGGGCTCGAAGTGCTTCGATGGGTTGGCCTTCTGGCGCAGGTTGTCACCCTCACTTGCCCTGCGCGGCCGCAGCTTCAGCCTCTCGCCCTGGACAACCCCATTGTCCTCAGTGTCCTGTTCGCATTTGGTGTCAGCAGGCGAGTCGCACGGCGGACGGGCACATGGCATGAGATGAGCGCTGTCGCATAAGTCGAGGCGGAGTGGGGGTGGAGTGAGGTAGCAGCCATGCTTACCGAGAAGGCACCGCCGCCGCCGCCGCCGTGGCCGTTGCGGGCTGCTGTTGACTTTGTGCGGAAAAGGGTCCTCCAGAAGCCTTTCTTCCTGTCCTTATCTCGACTCATGTCGACAGCTTGGATGTCGAGCCCCCGTATTCATGCGCCGTTGAAAAGTCATGAATGTGCCTGGTTGTGAGTGATGTATGGGAGCGACTAGACTCGGCTACTGAGCCGGGGTGGTTTCAATTCAGCAACACAGGCCTCTGAAAGGCAGGGCAGGCACAAGCACAAGCACAAGCACAAGCACAAGCACAAGCAGGCACGAGCACAGGCCCAAGCATGAGGTGTCAGCGAGGGCGCTCGGATTGCCGGGTGCACGTCATAAAGTTGGAATGTTCAGATGAGCTGGCGACCGCAGTGAGTGAGGCCGGGAGGCAGGGCAAGTCGGGCGAACCCTGGGGCCTGTGTCTCAAGTGTGATAGGGCAATTTTTGACAGTCATGCGTTTGGAGTCTTGGACCGGGAGGTTGGGACGAAGGGTAGGGGTTGCGAACGGGGAAGATCGATGCTGGGAGCGAGAGCGCAGCGAGGTTGAATTGCCTTTCGGATCGCAGATCAGATCATGCTGCCAGCCTGCGTGCTACGCACTCTTGTCCTCCTCGCTGAGCAGGCTACTATTTATTAGTGTGATTGCAGTCAACGGCTGCATCAGCCAGTCGCGACGGAACGGAATGGAATGGATGGCCTGCGAACGCCAGAACCGATGCAGGACCCCACCCCAAATCAGGCCGAGGGAGATGATTGCTCTATCGAGACGACGGCCAGCATGACTCTGCCCTGCCTGAAACCAGTGTCTGTCCTTGTGAGCCATTCGCTGAGGCAGTGAGGAGAACCTCTGCCAGCTGTGGTGTAGGACGTTCGAGCTGCATGCAGGTGAGCCCCAGTGGGTAGCAGCAGCTGCAGGAGGGCAATAGAAGCTGTCCTAGGCATGTACCCGGTACAGTAGTCTATAGAGGCAGTGAGATATGAACAAACGGCCTGCCCATCCTTACCAAGCCTCAAACCGTGACAACGACGTGGCCCAAGAGACGGTCACCGGTGCTCCGAACTGCCGTGCGTGGTACACTTGGTCGGCCGCCGGCCAAGTACCTGCACCAGCTATGGGCAAGCGTGCAAAGTGCGCTGTTGTGTGCCTGACAATCATCTCTCGTGCCAGCGCCGGTCAATGCTCTACCAAATCCGCACGCGCCAACGGAGCTCTCGGCGAGCACAGCCCTGTGGTAGCCTGCCTAGCCGACTAACAACAACCGCCATCCAGGCCGTCGTTCGTTCGTTCGTTCGTGCACGCGTGGCCATGTTCACTTGTCCAAGTTCCCACGCCACGCTACACCGCACTACACTATACAACTCCAGCCAGTCGACCAACCCCCACGCAGACTTGAGTGCAATTCTGGCCGTCTGGTCACTGGGTCTCCTGCCATTTCTCGCTGTCGAAGTTTGAATTGCTGACTGCGGCTGCGGATTGGCCTCAAAAACCAGTAGAGTTCTGTAGCGCTGATCCTAGCCCTGCCAACGCAGACCCCGATCTCAGCCCCGGATGTGTTTTGGCCATGTGCCGTCCTTGACAGCGGGAAGGGCACGGTCATGAGATGGCTTCGGGGTGGCTTGAGGCGCCGGGGGATCTGTTCAAGACCAGACCGACCACTCGTGGAGGTCCATGCGCTGCAAAGTTGAATCGAAATCGGGCGGGTATGGCTCGACGCCGGCTCCAGCCCCCCAGCCCTCCAACCGCCTCGCTGTCCGGTCCAACCTCTGCGTTTTCCCACTTCGCAAGCATCTCCCGGCAAGCAACCTCAAGACCGTGCAAGAAGCCGGTTTCACACCTCCGACTCACCACCGCCCACTGCTATCTGCCCACTCCACGCGGGCCGCCTGTAGGGAGGGAAAACTGCGGCAGCGGCGGGACAATGTCGGATGGGCGAGTCGTTCACCGGCAGGATGAGGAGCCACAGATACAGCCCAAGGTCCCGCTGCAATATATCTGTTGCGGCCTGACGAACATCATGTGTGTCGGTCAGTGTTTGGACAGTCAGACTGGCAGGCAACGGACGTGCACGAGTTGTGTGCATGCGAGGGAGGTCGTTGTCTCGGTTCACAGCACAGAGCAGGATGCACCGATCAACGGGTCCTTCGAGAGGCGTGCTTCGAGCAAAGGCTCGAGCATGACTTTGCTCAGTCGTCGAGGACTGAGCCAAGTTCAAAGTTCGCCCGGGCTGATCTCTAGCAAAGACACCACATCCATGGTCTGAGATTCGTGGTGAGTCGTCTTCGAGAACGTGGTGTAGGAGGACACACCAGCCTGGCTGGACTGTCGCTTAAACAGCGTGGCCGCCACCGAGGCTACGGGCAATCGAGACTGCGTCTGGAATGGCTGCTTCCCCTAAGGCAACTGACCAATGCGACTCAAGTAGTAGTGTATACTGCTCAATCCTATAGGATTCTAAGGTTCGCTTCTTGTAAGATGACCTCTCATGGAATTACCCCTTCTGGAATTACTCCTGCACCCGTCAGGATAATCTTTGAGAATCCGGACGAGGTCTTTTTGCTCCCTTCCACATGCCATTGATCACCGACGCAGAAGTTTGGGGTGCCGTGCGACCCATGAGGGAACTCTACCGGTTGGTTGACAACATGACGGAAAACTCTCCAGATATTCAACTAGGTAGATGTGTAGTCGATTTATGCTAGGTGTTCTCGATTCTGGTAGCGTATTGTGCTGTTTAGCAGCAACGGAGAGGTTGCATCGGCCTCGGGTACCGGCCGGAGGCTGCACCGATCAACGACTGCCAAATGGAGCTGCCTGCCGCTAAACGGCCCAAGCTCAAAAATTCCCATGCCTTACGAAACCGACCTACATCGCGGATTAGACCCCGTCGACGGCCAGCCAATTCGACCACGCTCACAGTGCTTGATCCCGACAACACCTGCCCCTCCTGTCCCGGACTCTGTCGAGCAGACAGCCCTGTCCTAGTCCGGTCAATTCGGGGGAGCAGCGTCGCAGAAGCAGCCCCCACCACCTAGCGGCTGGCGTGCGGCCGCGACCCAACCCACGATGCAGAAGCTCCTGCGGCGGACGGCCCAGGCCGAGCGGCAGGTCATACGGCGGAGTAAGAAGCAGGGCAAAATGATGAAGATGGCGCGCCAGCGACAAGAGTTCAGGCAGCGCATGGGCGGCACACAGCAAACACACGCCTCGCTAAAGGACGCCGCACGCAGGCGGCGAGAGGACTGGGAGATGGGCGCCCTGGCTCCCCAGCGCGACACGCCCCTGCGGGATGCCAACGAGTCCTACTGGGGCACTGTCAGCCTCCAGCGGAACCTGGCGGATACCCTCCCAGAGAAACAGAGGGATCTCGCCTGCCGGTGGGCAGGCGGCCGCAAGACCCTCTGCATCAAGGCAGGTGACCGGGTGGCCATCATGGATGGCCCAGACAAGGGGAAGATCAGCGCCGTGAAATACGTCCAAGAGGAAGGCGCGTTCGTCGCGCTTGAAGCGCAGAACTTGATGGTGAGCTTGTTCCTTGGCGGCCTGTGGAGTGCGGTCGGCAAATCCATATGCGAGGCGAACCGATGGGCTGACCATTCTGACCCGCGCAGCAAAACTTCACCGTCCCGGACTATATGACAAAGTTGCAAGGTGAAAAATCCGTCCATGTCCAACTCGCCGAGTATCGTGCCCCGATCCACGCCGTCCGCCTCGTCCACCCCCTCAAGGACCCCGTGTCAGACGAGATCCGCGACGTGGTCATCAACGAGCTCGTGGCCCGGAACTACTACAAGGACAAGGTCACGGGGCGCGAGACCTGGTCGCGCGTTGTCCCCGGGCTGAACATCGAGATCCCGTGGCCCAAGGCCTTCGAGGACGCGGAGAAGCAGAACCTGGAGGGCACCTTCGAGGACCACGCGTGCGACACGCTGCGCATCGACGTCGAGGAGAAGACGTTCGTGCCCACGCTGCTACGCCCGCCCATGCCCACCGAGGTCATCGACGAGCTGCGCAACCGATACTCCAAGTTCCGCACGCGCCACGAGGACGAGTACGTCGCCAAGAAGGAGGCCGAAGAGGCCGAGAAGGCCGCACGCAGGAAGTCGATCAAGACGATGCGCACGCCGGTCCAGGAGCTCAACGCCAAGATCAAGGCCGAGAGGAAGGCCCGCGGCCAGCCGGAGCTGACAGAGGAGATGCTGGCCAAGATCGGGGAGGTCATGGCGAGGAACAGGAATCGCACGTTGGCTGGGGCTGGCATCGCGCAGATCGAGAGTCCAGCAGTCACCGTGGATGTAACGGCAGCGCCCAAGGGGACCGGAGAATCCCCATCGCCATGATTATGTATGAGAAAACTAGATAAATAAATGCACAATACTGCCATGCCACATAGGATGGGCGGCATTACGGGCTTAGGGAGACGGACATACGCCAAGATGTCCCGAGCAAGAATATGCTTGTTCTACCCAGCTATGCGTGCCATGCTATGTGTGTCCCCCCTTTGTGCACATGCTCCGATCAAGATCCAGAATCATTGGCCCAGAAGAGTCAGTTTTGAAAATGCCGTGATGACAGGAGCAAGCTGCCGGCCGTTCACGGCGTCCAACGAGGCGTGGAGCACCGCATCCGGCCCGGTCGGCCTGTACTCCTCCGCGCCCGTCGCGCCCAGCTCATCCTCCTGCGCCTGCTGCTGGTCCTCGGGCTCCCCAAATACCTCGACCACGGCAGCCCTACAGGCGGTGACAACCTCGTCCATGAGAGCCTCGACGGCCCTGGCGCGCTCCGCCATGCCCCTCCGCATGAGCCCGAACACAAGCCTCTCGGCCTCCCCCTTGCTCCCCTCTACGCGCTCCACCAGCCGGCGCACGCTGTTGACGAGGTACTCAGCCTCATAGACGGTGCCCTTGCGGCCCCGGGCGCGTTTCTTCTCCTCGCGCCGGCGGTTCTTGCTCGTCGCGCGCGACACGTTGGACCCCAGCGTGCCGACGCTGCCCTGCTTGCCCGTGTACCGCGTGAACAGCGACGCGCTGGTGCTGACGCGCGACGAGGCCGCGACGGACACGTCGTCCGGCAGGTCCGCCAGGGCGCCCGGCCGCTCGCCCTCGTAGAAGGCCAGCGGGTCCTCGATCGCCTTGCGCCGGAGCTCCGCCAGCCGCGGCACCTGCGCCCGGAGCTGCGCCTTGCAGTCCGCCAGGAACTCGGTCGTGCCCGACAGCGCGTCCGCGAGGCCCGCGTCCACGGCGGTCTCGAGGAGGTCTCCTCGCCCGCGGCGCGCCGCCAGCCGCATCGCGTCCGCGAAGTGGTAGCCCTTGCACAGGCACCTGATCGCCTGCTCCAGGGAGTCGAGGTACTCGAGGTGTATCGTCGCCGCGGAGGAGTAGCCCTTTGCCTCCCAGAGTGCTTCTGCCAGGGTCGTGGCGAGCTCAGAAAATGAGTCTGCTGACATGGGTGGGTCCTGCTGCTGGGCAGTGAAAAGACATTCGCGCCAGCAGGTAGCGCCAGCAGCCCGGTAGCAGGCAGTGGCGCGGGCGAAGTTGTTTAGGGATTCGTAGGCGAGGCCGGCTTCACGGTTCTTGGACTGGGATTCAAGGTAGTTGGCATACAGGTCTGTGAGAATCCTGTGTCGCTCGGGTTCATAGCGATAAAGCCGCAGTGCGGTCTGGTACAGCTTGTATTTCGTCGTATAGTTCTGGACTTCGTCAAAGACACTGATGGCGTGTAAGTGTTGTAAGGCTTTCTCCCGCCGGTCCAGGTGGTCATCGATAGCGAACTTTCGTCTGAGCTCAGGTAGTTGGTGTAGATCTTGGATAAATGGCAGGTACTCCCGCGGATCTCGTTGTGATTGCTGGGCAACCAGTAGAGCAAGGTCCAGGTTGTAAAGTCCCAGCGCATGGTCATAAAGTCTATTGACGTCTTGCAAGAAGCATATGTGCTCAACAGCCTTCTCGGCCATTGTCTCATCGTCCTGCATCAACTTCGCAACTACAATCAGGCCATCTTCGAGAGCTGGTGGGTTCTTGCAGACGTTGGCAGTGATGATGTTCTGTAGGTTTGTGTCTTTTCGGCCCTGGAGTGTTTCCAAAACAGAGTCACATATTTTGTTCACCTTGGAGGAAGTCCCATTGCCGACAGTGGCGAAGTTCTCTTGAGGTGGTGCGTTCGAATCTTCCATTGCCGTCTCCTTGGAAGTCTTTGTGTTCTTGTACATCGTCTTCGTCACATCGTCCTCGCCGAGTGAGGCCAAGAACAAGTCGATATGTGCCACGTCGCCAAGCTGGTCTAGAAAAAGGCCAACGTTCGATAGGAATTGGTCCGGCTTATGGTCATAGAGTATGTTCATGTCCACTCGTTGTGTTCTGCAGTGAGCGAAGGCCTTGCCATATTCCTTGGCATCAATCAAGGACCGAATACCGGCCAGGACCATGGCCCGAGGGTAGATGGTTTCCAGGTTACCGCGAGGCATCTGGAGCACGACACTCATGGTTGTTGGCATGGCTGTGACAAGTCTGGCGCCCCTTTCGATGCTTCGGCATCTCTCATCGTTCTCCGGGTCATCAGCAGGTAGGTTGAGATCTGTCCAAGTCAGCATAGAGTCTGTTACAGCCAAGGAATTATATGGCACAAACCTTCTGGCCTGCCCAGATGGGCAAACTTCAGTAAGTGGTTACTTGTGGTGAATATCAGATGGTCGCATGTGACCAGGAACGAGGTACAATTCTTGACGAGTAACTGAGAGTTTGCGTAGAGATGGCCACTTCTTGACAAACCAAAAGCGATAAATTCGCCGCCGATCTCAAAGGTTTCAACCCATGGGAGTTGAAGTGGAAAGCGGACAACCATGGGCCCCAATGCATCATCCTTCTCTGACAAGCGAAAGAGCTTCCCAGATCTGGCTTGAACACAGGCCTCAGCGAGAGACCCACTGTCCGATGCGTTCGTGAAGGAGGCCGTTTGTGTGAAGAGGACCTCCTCCTCAAGCGGAGTCAAGTCATCAATTATGAGGTCGCCGGCGTCGCACTTGAAGCTCAGCCGGCAAATGTTGAGCCCGTCGTTGAAGTAGAGCACACGAGGCTCGTAGCTCGATGCAAAGCAAACCTGAAGGGCTGTTCTCATCAAACCGTCCATTTCAGAATCGAATTTGGTGAGAAGTCTTGGAACCAGTGATCGACCATTCTTCGTCTGCCACTCGTACAGGTCGACGCCATTGTGGTGCAATACAGCCATCGTCTCGTTGTTAGGGGCGAAAGCAATGTCGATTACGGTATGGCTGGCCGTAATTTCGAGCATGGCCATGGGTGGAGGCACGTTCGCGGTCCGGAATGGTGTTATTTTAACCGTCTTACCATCGATGACAGCAACCGCTCCGAAGTCATCGGGTGGCATTAGCGAGCCTCGCGTCACAACGAAAGCGAACTCGGTATGAAGTATGTTGTCTTGAAATCCGTCAGCAGTGGCTTCTCGTGGGACTTCGGGTGGGTATACCAACCTGTGTCGGCAACTGCGAGGCGCAAAGCCTTCTCCGGGTGCCATGAGGCGTGCGAAAAAGGTGATTTCAGGAGGATCTCTTGCTTCAAGTACCAGTGATAGTTGCCCGTGGTCCAAAGCTGCACGGTGCTGGCAAACGAGACTGCGAGCACCGTCGAGTCTGCGTTCCATTGCAGGCCGATGTTCAAGGAGGGGTCATCAAGAGGCTCGGTCGAGCGTATTGTGAACTGGCCATGCCTCAGTCCGTTCCTCTCAAAGAAGACAACATCAACGTGGTCAGCAAAGCGCTGGATGCCAGCCAGCAGATTCCCGGCGGGTCTCCAGCTCAAAGCACCTTCCAGGCCGTCGACCGGCTCGCTCACGCTATCGAGAACGCCCTCTCGGCTGTAGACGCGTATGACTCTTCTTGACGCAGCCTCGACGGTATTGATGGCAACATAGGCGCCGTCTCCTCTCCAGCTGACCACCGTGCGCCCGTCGTCGTTGGGGCTGACCGTTCCCTGGTCGATCTTGTCGGGTATCGTGGGATCACGAAGAGCCTTTGCCTTGGCTCCCCTGCCCTGGAACTGGGTCTCCTTCTTGCCCCAGCCGACACTGACGTGCTTGGACGATGCAAGATCGGCAGAGGTCATGGCTGCCTCGGCGATACCATCGAAACTGCGGCTCATGAAGACCACTTTCCCGTCCTTGGTGGCGATGAGCAGCAGCTCCTCGTCCGGCGACCACCGTGCAGACGTGATGCCGGCGTCTATAGAGCCCATGATCTCGATGTGGACATCCCCAGGACTCAAGCCCTCCTGCACAACAATGAGGTCGCCTCCCTCGAGGACGAGACATGCCGTCGTCGTGTCACTAAAGTAGTGGAGACTCACAACTCGGTCGACAGGCACGTCTGGGTTTGGACTCGGCGCATCCCACGAGGCTATACGTTCGCACAGCCTGAATTGGGGTCAGTATATGGTTTAAGCGGCGGTGGACATGGTGAGTGACTGCGTGGGCTCACAGTGGGAGTGCCGGGTCCTGACGGGTGACATCGTCGACCACTCTTAGGAGCTCGATCTTCTGGTCGGGGGTATTCGGGCCGCAGGTGACGAGCACCTCATCCTTGCTGGGGTCCCAGCATGTTGCCGAGATATCTGACGGGGCCTTGCCGACTCTGTGGCAGATGTTGCGAAGATTTCTCATCGTACTGGAGGTCAACGAGCGATCAGGCCCTTGGCAGCGCCGACTGGGGTTCCGCAAAGAACCTTGGAAGGCTTGATGGCTTTGACACCTGCTCTCTTGCTGGTAGGCACCAGAAAAAAAGTCAAAAGAAGACTTGTTGCCAGGACGTTTGCGAGAGTGAGAGTGAGGGTGAGTCTGGATGTGATAGTGAGTCTGGACGCACTGTGCTGCAAGATGGTCACCGTCCATCAATTTTTTTTCCGAGTTTGACGGACGCCAGTCCGTACATGCAAAGCATACATAGACACATGCGTCTCACAGTGCAATTCACCGTCTGTCTACGGCATGCTTCTTCTACTTGCTCTGCCCGTCCTGTTCGAATCTAACTAGGTATGTCAGGTCCGAGCCAGGGTATAACGGCCTAAAACACCCCAGCTCGCAAATTGGGAAACAGATTTTACTGGCATTGTTTCTTGTTTGATAGCAGACGTCAAGGATTGTCAAACCACGGGCATTTCTCTCGGCCCACGGCTGAGGTGAGGAGGAGGCACTCTCTGGCCCAGGCCGGTCCCGTTCGGCTACTACTCGTTAGCTTCTTCGGCTCAGCATGACCTATGCCCCTAGTTGGGCCTACGCTGGCCCACCCCACCTCTGCCCACTTCTGTCCCTGCTGGCCCTCGAGTTGCCCCAACCGGAAACAAGAACATCTCATAATCCGGGGAGGTGCGACAAGCTGCTGCTGCTCCCAACGGCTAACCACGACAGGCACATCACAAGAGTCAATCCACAGGGCCCATCAGACCACACATCAGCCGTTTTCTACTCGACACCCTCCGCCACACGACCTCCTGTGCCACTCTCACAAGCAAGTAGCCGAGTCAATTGGCTGCTGCAAGGCCTGGCTGGCTGTTTGTTTATCATCTCTACCTACAGACACAAGGACCCCCGGGAATAGCACCTGGCCTGACCTGCCGCCAAGGGCGCAAATCACGTCAAAATGGACGCAGCATCTGCTTATAACCAGCATTCGAGCCAGGGCCGCCGAAAGAACCGCTCCTTGACGAACCTCAACCACCTCTCCCTTGCTCCGTTGACCACAAAGCTTCCAATCAACGACACTGAGATCATGTTTACCGAACTGAACATCCACACCTATTCTACCTCGTACATCCAGGGCAAGTCCGCCCCCACAACTCCCTCCCTGCTGAGCCGCTCCCCCAGGCGAGGAACCTCCAGGACCCGGCACCATTCACGCCAGGGCTCCGCGACGCCCCTGCCGAAGAGCAAGTCCGCCGTCCACATAGGCCCACAGGGCAAGACGCCCAGGTCCGGCACGACATCGCCTGGCGGGCAGCGGCGCGGGTCAAGAAAAGAAGACCATGTGTCTGCCCGCGGCCGGACCGACAGCGACTGGCTCCTCCGCGCCGGGGTGCTTATAAGCAGCGAGACGCGGGAGTCCAAGGGCCAGTCATGGCTGGTGTCCCGCGCGAGCTCGACCAGCCTGACGGGCATGCAGGGCGACCGAGAGGACGACGAGGACGACCATGACCCGGACATGTTCGAGAGGGAGAGGATAGCCCGCGAGAACGCCATCGCGAGCAAGCATGCCAGCCGGAGGGGGAGCCTGGGCTTGTTTGAGGGCGACGAGTCGCCGCTGGTCAGTCGTACCGGGAGCTTCCACGCAAGCCGGACAGGTAGCCGTAGCCAGCTGATCACACCCGGCGAGAGGGCCAGCATTGAGGGCTACTTTGCCTCCCACGCCCCGCACGGAGACTACGCACCCGGTCCGGACTTCGTCAACCTCGACGAGAAGCTCGAGGCGATTGGCTTCGACGGCGAGATGGATCAGGATGACGAAGCCGACGTGAGGAGGCTGGTCAAGAATGGCCAGTCCCGGCCGGGCACCTGGTTTGGGAACATCTTTGGGTGGACCCTGGCCTCCGTAGAAGAAAACGACGAGGACGACGATCCCGACGGAGAGGGCTCAGATGGCGAGGCAGATGTGTCTACACCCGAGACACCTTACGAGAGGCAATTCGAAGGGGCTACCATCTTGTCCGAACAACGGATGCCCGCCCCTAAGGCTGAGGAAGGCGGCTGGCAAGACGCTGCCTGGCTGCTGAGTGTTGCGTCCAAAGTGGCTTGGTCCTGAAAGAGCAAGTACAAGCACGCACTTGTCGGTTGCCGAAAATGGAGGAAGATGACGGGCAGCGATGGACGACGCAATCGGTCACTTTCACGATTGCGGTACGGGGCGTGGCTTACCCACACACCCGTGGGGCCCAACCCCGCCGTGACGGCGTTTGGGAACCTACTCAGACACTTGCCGTGACGAGGCCCCTGCCACGGCCACGCGCGGCCACGGCTCCAGAGGAAGCAGAGTGACCCCAGGTCCGTCGCCTGTGCTCTGCGGCTTAATGAGAAGCCACTTTCTGTCTCCGGTAATCAACTGTATCTCCCCGGGCAGGGTTGTCTGACGGTGCCCTAACAGATGCGTACGGAGGACTATGGTCTGATGGCGTCGATGACAGTGACTTATTCGGCAGGCAGGCGGGCCGGTCTCACGGAAAGCCTGCATATATGGACTCGGCCAGACCGTGGGTCGAGGGAAGGCTACTGGCTGGGGAAACTGTCAAAAACCTGTTTTTGTTGAAGAAGTGTAACTCTGGCAACTCTGTGTGCATGACTTTTTCTGGGCGAGTTGGTTCTACTTTTTGGGCCGGTCTTCTTCCCTCGCAACACATCTCTTAGTCAAAAACGGTGGGGGAGACTTATTGACGGCTATTTACAAGCCATGTACTGCATAGAAGTGGACAACTGCTCCCGCGCGAATATTTGTCACGGCTGACCTCGCACCAAATAAGATTCAAATACACTGCTGTGTCCGATCCCTGTATTTCAATTTTTGGCTTTCTACAGGCCACAGGAAGCAGGAGCAATAGTGGGATGGCTCGCCCACACATTGTGGATCTGTTAACCCCGCAAGACAAATCCTAGAGGTGGGAGCATGAAAAAAAAAAGGCACTATTACTCTCATATGCAATCAATCGTACCATTTTGGCGCTAGTAACTTGCCTAACTATTAACACCTTTTTTTTCATATATACTTTTTTTACATTTCTTAATTTAGTTTTAATTTATTTAAAATATATATAAAAAGAAAATTATTTTTTTAATTTTATTATTATTTTTTATTATTAAATTAAGTATAATATAATTTATTAAAAAGTAATAAATATTAAATAATAATATTATTTTATATTTTTATATAAGAAATATAAGGAAAAATAACTTTATATTATAATTAAAATATATTAATAAACTTATATTATTTTTTAATATTATTTTAAAGTTTTTATATTTTAATAAAAAAATTAAATAAAAGTTATAAAACTTTAATTTAAGTTTTTTATATATAAAAATATATTAAGAAATTTATATTAATTTTAAAGCTAAGCTTTATTATAAGTTAACCTTAAATTATTTATTATAAGGTGCTTAAATAAGGTTTATATTTAAAGTATAAAGAAAGAAAATTTGCTTTTTATTTATATTTACGCTAAAGCTTATTTTTATAAGGCTAAAGCCCGCTAATTAATTATAATAAGCAAAGCTTAACTTATAATATATCCTTTTTTTTTAAGTCTTTATGTAAATCTTAAAGGGCAGCTATATAATAAAAATAAAAAACACCATGGTTTAATTATAAATTAAACATCGCTCTTTACTTAGCCATTTAATTATATTTTAACGCCTTTTAAATATATTAAAAGCCCAGCTTATTTTTTATAATTAACGCGCCTTTAACCCTTATAATTTAATATATTAATTAAAATAAGTTAATAAAAAATAATTATTTAAGCATAAGTTAATAATTAAATTAATAGCATTTTTATAATCCTTTAATATAAACTTTTTATATAAGCTTTTTTATTTAAAACCTTAAAATTATAAATTTATTATATAATTTATAATTAATTAATGCTTAATTATAAGCAATTTACTTTATTAATAAAAATTTTTTAAATTTTAAGCATTTTATAATGCTAAATTAATTAATATATAGCTAGCCCGCTTTAAGCCCAGGCTAGCATTAAGTTAATAATGCTTTTAAGCTTTACCTTATAAAAAATTTTTATACCCCCTTAAATAAATTTCTTCCCTTTATTAACCTTAATTAATAAAAGCTATATCTTTATTTTTTATAATAATTAAGATAATTATACTTATAATAATTAAGCTAGCTATATATAAAATACTTAACTTTACTTATTAAAATTATTATAATATTAATATTTATTATTTTATTATTTTAAAATTAAACATTATCTTTCTTTATTATAATATTAAAAATACTTTTATATTATTATAAAGTAAAATAAAAAGCTTTAAATATATTTAATTATTTTTATAATTAAGCTAAGCTTTTATTATAAAGGTTAAGCTATTAATTATTAATAATATTTTATATTTATTTAATTAACTTTAAGTTTTTATTATATAAGTTAATTAATTAAATTAAGCAAGAAATTTTATTATTTCTTTCTTATTATTATAATTTAAGCTTTGCTTATTATAATTAATTAATAAGCTTTAACCTTATAAAAATAAGCTTTAACATAAGTATAAATAAGAAGTAAACCTTTTCCTTTGCACTTTAAATATAAACCTTATTTAAATATCTTATAATAAATAACTTAAGGCTAGCTTATAATATATATTTAAAGTTTTCTTATATTATAAACTTATAATATAATTATATAAAATTTAATATAGCAAGACTTAAAAAGAATAATAATAATTTATTAAGCCCTTTTTTATTTAAAAAAACTTTTATCTTAAGAATACTTAATAACTTAGCTAATAAAAATAAAAGTTAAGTTTATAATAAATAAAAAAGTAATTAATATTAAAAAAGCTTAATTCTTTTATATATTTAATTAGCTAAAAACTTTTTATAATTAATTTTTACCTTATATTAATTTTATAAAAATATTTAAAAAATAATTAAAAAGCTTTTTAAAAAAGGTTTGCTTTATATTTAAGGACCCTTTTAAATAAAGGTATATTAAGCTTAGCTTAATTATATTATAATAATATTATAAAAAGGGAATAATAAAATTTCTTATTTAATTTAATTAATTAATTTATATAATAAAAGCTTAAAGTTAATTAAATAAATATAAAATATTATTAATAATTAATAATTTAACCTTTATAATAAAAGCTTAGCTTAATTATAAAAAATAGCTAAATATATTTAAGGCTTTTTACTTTACCTTATAATAATATAAAAATGTTTTTAATGCTATAATAAAAAAAATAATATTTAACCTTAAAATAATAAAATAATAAATATTAATATTATAATAATTTTAATAAGCAAAGTTAAGTATTTTATATATAATTAATTTAATTATTATAAATATAATTACCTTAATTATTATAAAAAAATAAAGATATAATTTTTATTAATTAAAGTTAATAAAGAAAAAAAGTTTATTTAAAGGAATATAAATTTTTTTTTATAAAATAAAGCTTAAAAGTAATATTAACTTAATGTTAACTTAAGCTTAAAATAAACTAGCTATATATTAATTAATTTAACATTATAAAAATACTTAAAATTTAAGAAATTCTTATTAATAAAGTAAATTACTTATAATTAAGCATTAATTAATTATAAATTATATAATAAATTTATAATTTTAAGGTTTTAAGTAAAAAAGCTTATATAAAAGGCTTATATTAAAGAATTATAAAAATGCTATTAATTTAATTATTAGCTTATACTTAAATAATTATTTTTTATTAACTTATTTTAATTAATATATTAAATTATAAAGATTAAAAATATATTAATTATAAATAATAAACTAAGCCTTTAATATAATTAAAAAGCGTTAAAATATAATTAAATAATTAAGCAAAGAATAATATTTAATTTATAATTAAACTATAATATTCTTTATTTTTTATTATATAGCTATTCTTTAAAACCCATTATAAAGACTTAAAAAAAAAAGGATATATTATAATTTAAGCTTTGCTTATTATAATTAATTAATAAGCTTTAACCTTATAAAAATAAGCTTTAATATAAATATAAATAAAGAATAAACCTTTTCCCTTATACTTTAAATATAAACCTTATTTAAATACCTTATAATAAATAACTTAAGGCTAGCTTATAATACTTATAATATTATTATAATATATAATTAAGCTAAGCTTAATATGTTTTTATTTAAAAAAGTTTTTAAATATAAGGCAAACCTTTTTTAAAAAGCTTTTTAATTATTCTTTAAATATCTTTATAAAATTAATATAAGGTAAAGATTAATTATAAAAAGTTTTTAGCTAATTAAATATATAAAAAAATTAAGCTCTTTTAATATTAATTATTTTTTTATTTATTATAAATTTAATCTTTATTTTTATTAATTAAGTTATTAAATATTTTTAAAATAAAAGTTTTTTAAAATAAAAAAAAGCTTAATAAGCTATTATTATTTTTTTTTAAATTTTATTATATTAAGCTTTATATAATTATATTATAAGTTTATAATATAAAAAAACTTTAAATATATATTATAAATTAACTTTAAATTATTTATTATAAAGTATTTAAATAAAGTTTATATTTAAAGTATAAAGAAAGAAATTTACTTTTTATTTATATTTATATTAAAGCTTATTTTTATAAAGCTAAAGCTTATTAATTAATTATAATAAGCAAAACTTAACTTATAATAAGCTTAAAAAATTATAAAATTATATATAAATGTTTTTTATATATAAAATAAAATATATAATTAAGTAATATTTATTATTTTTTAATAAATTATATTATAAAAAAATATAATTATAAATATATTATAAAAAAAATAATATTAAATATAATATATTGTGGTTATGAACATGCCATAGGGGGATAGCAACACTATGGGTGATAAGCATTATAAGCAATTAGCATTAAAGCACCGGCAGGCAAGGGTCACGTGCAGCAACACGTGACTACCCTAAGATAGTTTATAGCCAAAGGGAGGTTTTGCAGCTTACAGCCGCAACCTTCCTTTCTTTTATATAACTAATTTAAATATAACCAATTTATTATTAATTAATATACGTTAACCCAATTAATATTAATTA